AGTTTCGGAAATGGGTGGGTCGCGTCCAGGATATCAAACAGCGGGCGAGCTATGTCCGGATCAATACTATATGACCCCGCAGTTGGTATTGGGATGATTGGACGGAGGCGGGAGATGTAGCGTTCATAAACTTCAGTCGGGGACGTACTGTAACCGCCCCTTTGCACGTTGCGTCGCTGACCGTTGTACCTGGTACCGGTGTATCCTCGTCGGTCATGTCATAGTATGGAGGTCGTACGTCAATCGCGAGGTTCCTGCTCTAGATCCAGTGTCGAGACTGAAGAGAGAATGCAAGCGTCCTCGATGGAGCGGATATCAGCGGCAAATCACTTGGGGGCTAGGCGCATATAGGTGGCTGCCGAGTTGCGAGGTAGATGAGGAGAGAAGCACCATAGTGCGCATACATTACTTACCGGCGCGGTAAGATGTATGCGCACTGGAAACGACTGCAAGGGAAGCCGAGCAGCGTCATGGATCGGTCGCGGAGCTTCTCCTTCACCCGGTGAGATTGCTATTCCATGTGCGCGACTCTCTCGTCGCACGCCCGTGCCTAGTAGCCTTGCTGAGAGGAGGACGGGGATTGTTCGACGCAGACCATCGCGTCGCAGGCCAGCCTTATATGCGCAGAGGGCGCGGCCAGATGTGGAGCAATCGTTCGGCCACAATCTGCCAACGCGAGAGAAGACGACAATGACGACAGAAGATCGACCCTGGGACGAAAGGGGAAGGCAGACCGCCGAACGCGGAAGGTGTCGTGAGATCGCCTTGCGTACACTCGATCGGTGACGACGCCTCTCCTTTGGGATCTGGCTGACGATCTGGCTGTCGAGGGGTCTCGGCGCGGGCCGTGCCAGTGTAAGCGCCTGCGGGTTTCTCTGCTCATTACTACGGTCGCCCAGTGGCCACGTCGTCCAGTGGCCGCACGCTGTCCACAAGCCCGAGGACGCGATGGCCAAGGTGGTTCGCCGACGTCTGGAAGAGACGAAGCCAGATTACCGGAAGCATACCATGGACTTCAAGTGGTCTATAACGAAGAGCGCAGAAGAGATGCCCCTCCCTCAGTTTGCGCCACGGTTGGGCGTTGATCCCGAGGCAGACAACCTCCGAGTCCGCCGTTGGCTGGTCCTCAGAGAGTACGAACCCCTGGAGACCATCGGGACTGCAGATAACTTCCGTGTTGTGTTCTTTGATGTTGTTCGCGGTACGTGGTATTGGATTTTGGGTCTCAGCGTCGCCTCACTGTATACTCATCATGGTCGCAGCGCACCACTGGGTGTACAAGACCTCGAAGATTCTGCATCGTAATGTCAGCCTGAACAACCTTATGTGGCATCGACTAGACGGGAGGATTGTCGGTGTCCTGTGCGATTGGGACCTTGCGGAAGACCAGAACACGGCCGAGTCCAAGCTCATTCGTCGAGCTGGAGACAACTCTGAGGTGGTATGGCGAATATCGGAACCAACAGGACGTTCAGCCACAAAGTCGACGGCGGCGTCATCGACGAGTCTACTCGCCGTCCCCGAGGATCAAGCAGCGGGGCCGCCTCCCAGCGGGCATTGGCAACTGTCCGGCACGGCTACAAAGCCACAGGGTACAGACAAGTCGAGGTATCGCATCGGCACGGGCGCCTTCATGGCTATGGATCTCTTGCGAGTGGGCGAGCCACCCGTCCACAAGTATCGGCACGACCTAGAGTTGTTCTTCTACGCCTATATCTACTTTGCTGCGACATACAACCCAGACGAGCAGGCCTTCGGCTACATCAAGGATTGGCAGTGTGCTTCCCTCGTCGCCATCGGGGACAATAAACGGAGGTTTCTGGAAGAAGAATCAATTCGTCGCGACGTAATGAAAGCCGCCCACGATACTCTGAAGCCGCTGCTGGACGAGGATAGCCCTCTGGCGGACCTCCTGGATGTTTTCCTAGACCTCGAAACCAAGGCGCACTACATCCGGTCTCTCAGGAGCACTGCGAAGAAGGCGTCCCGCAATCAAGCCGAAATTGAAAGGAGGGAGGGGGGAAGGGACGAAACCATAACGTATGGCAATTTCATGAGGATCTTGGGGGCGCCCGAGGTTGTTAATGCGTAAAGGGTGATGCTGGCTTCCAAATGGCATGCACTCATAGTTTCGCCTTTTTGCCAAACTCGTCCTGTATCTCTTCACTTCTGGAACTTCACACTAAAGTCACAGTCACTTTATTTTTGATGTTCTATCTAGGGCTTCTACCAGACGCTCTCATGCCAGTAAGTCACTAGACCTTATCATATGCCGCCGCCGCTGCCAGGAGTCACCGGCACCGTTGCGCAATGCGCCGGCGCGCTAGCGTTGATAGTACTCAGATGGCTTGCACAATTCGGGGATACTGTAACAGCGTTAGCAGAGCTTTATATGTGGCAATAGCTAACTGTTCAGACATTCTTGAGCTCTTGCCGTCAGTCGAACTGGGAGCATTGAACTCAGCGGCACCACGACAGGGCTGAGGGCCATTCACTACACTTGCTATATTGGGACAATGGGTGTGGCTTCTTGAGACGCCCTGCGGGCGCTACGTACTGTTGCGGTTAACGTTCAACCCATTCCTCTGGAGAGATGGCCGTACCCAGAGCCCACCATGCAGCCGGCAACAGCGCCGAATATTGCCTTCCCAGGGTCTCTCGTACACTGATGATTAGGGGATACGAACCGCTGGAGACCATTCGATCGGCGAGCAAATTCCATTGCGTTTTTGTCGACGCTGTTCGTGGTAAGTGGCCGGCCTCAGTGTACTAGTATGGTCTCTGTCTGATTATATCTGCAAGCACATCACTGGGTGTACGAGAAATACCAGATGCTACACCGCAACATTGAGCTCAACTGCATCATGTGGTACGAGCGGGACGGACGGGTCGTCGGCGTGTTGTGTGACTGGGACCTTGCGGAAGACCAGAGTACGGGCGAGTACAGACCCACTCGTCGTGCTGGTGACGCTGCTGCGGTGATATGGCCGCCAGACCCAGAACCAGCCGCGCAGTCGGCGACGAAACCGAGTCTGCCTTCCATCGCCGAGGGTGAAGCAACGGAACAGCCCCAAAATCTGGAGGGCGCGGGACCGTCGAACACGGCGACAGAGCCCCAGGCCGTAGTCAAGCCAAGGTACCGCACGGGTACGGGCCCGTTTATGGCATTGGACCTCTTGCGCGAGGGCGACCCACCTATCCACAAGTATCGGCACGACCTGGAGTCGTTCTTCTACGGCTATATCTATTTTGCTGCGGCATACAACCCAGACGAGCAGGCCTTCGGCTACATCAAAGAATGGCAGCGTGCTTCCCTCGTCGACATCGGACACAGCAAAGGGGACTTCCTCCTTGAAGAAAAAGTTCGTACCCGCGTCATGAAACCCGCCCACCATACTCTGAGGCCGCTGCTGGACGAGGATAGCCCTCTGATGGACCTCCTGGATGTTTTCTTAGACCTCGAGATTAAGGCGAGCTACATCCGACTTCTCAGGAGCACTGCGAAGAAGGCGTTTCGCAATCAAGCTGAAATTGAAGAGAAGGAGAGGGAGAGGGAGGAAGTCGTGACGTATAGCAAATTCATGAGAATCCTGAGGGCGCCCGAGGTTGTTGATGCGTAGAGGGTGGTCCTAATTGGCATGTAATCGTGGTTCCGCTTTCTTCCAATACTCCTCATATCTCATTATGTCTGGTTCATCATATGTACATGCGAAGCTGACGTTTCGTTGCGACAAATTTGTATTATCACTGTATAATCTCAAGGCATCGTCGTCCTCTATCGTGGATCGTGAGTCGACAAGTGCGCCTATTGCAGTCTCGAATTCTTCGGTACGCACGAGCGCAATGCATTTGAAAAGTACGGAAGGTCGCAAAATCACCTGTCACAGGTGGGTTTGGTGTACGCATATGCAGATGTTCGCCGAGTCTCAGACGTCCGTGTCAGGCTGCGTGTCAGCTCTGAGTAACCGAGTCCGATTCGGACGCTAGCGCTGTTATATCGCCAAGCGTCATTATTGGTTTCACCGACTCCCTGAGGATCCAGGAGGTTTGAGACCAGGAAGGCTGATGGATATGCCACCGCAAGGGGCGTGGCTTGCCGCACAACGTGCTTTACTAAGAGACAGTGAATAGGGAGGTCGAATTCCAAGAGATGGAAGGTGTATGTACAGAGTCCCCATGCCCCGTCATCACACAGAGCGTCGGGAAGAGCGCGTTGCACTGAGAGCGAGAGCACGGTGATCCACACCTTCCCGTCCGCGACCACGAGCCAGAGGCCCGCTGTCCGCTCACGCCAGCACCCGGGTCTGCGTCGGGCGAGCCCGCGTATGCGCGGCACGACCAGTCGCATCACGGCCAACCTAGGTGAACCAGCGCGATCGTGTGCTCGGGCTGGACGGAAAGTTGGGGAATACGAAGAGTGCGCACCTAGGCCACAGAAGAGACCGTGAGCACGCCCTCAATGAAGAAGACCCACCTACCATCACAAGCTATCACAAGTCAGTCAGTGCGCGCGAGACGGTAAAGGACGATCGATGAGACGCGCACCGCCAGGCGGTGTGCCCGAAGGAAGAGACTCGAACGTGTTGCTGATGCCAGTGAGGAACCCGCACAACACTGGGGAAATGGGTGTGGCAGCCACCAAGCAGCCACTGTGGCTTCGTGAGACGCCCTGCGGGCGCTACGTACTTAGGCTGTTGCCGCGTTGCGGTACTGTTGCGGCTAACGCTCAACCTCTAACTGACCATTCCTCTGGAGAGATGGCCGTACCCCGAGCCCACCATGCAGCCGGAAGCACCGCCGAATATGACCTTCCCAGAGTCTCTCGTAAACTGATGACTAGGGGATATCAACCGCTGGAGACCATTGGATCGGCGCAAAGATTCCATAGCGTGTTTGTTGACGCTCTTCGTGGTATGTGGCCGGCCTCAGTGTACTAGTATCATCTGTCTGATCATATCTGCAAGCGCATCACTGGGTGTACGAGAAATACCACATGCTACACTGCAACATTGAGCTCAACAGCATCATGTGGTACGAGCGGGACGGACGGGTCGTCGGCGCGTTGTGTGACTGGGACCTCGCAGAAGATCAGGGCACGGGCGGTTCTAGGACCAATCGTCGTGCGGGCGACAACGCCGCGATGGTTTGGCCATTAGACTGGAAAGAAAATTCAGTGGCGAAGGCGACGACGACGGAGTTGCGAGCCACTGCCGAGGATCAAGCAACGGAACAGCCCCCAAAGCTGGAGGGCGCGGCTCCGTCGAACGTGGCGACAGACTCCCAGTGCGTAGTCAAGCCAAGGTACCGCACGGGCACGGGCCCGTTTATGGCGATGGACCTCTTGCGCGTGGGCGATCCACCCATCCATAAGTATCGACACGACCTAGAGTCGTTCTTCTACGCCTATATCTACTTTGCTGCGACATACAACCCAGAACAACAGGCCTTCGGCTACATCAAGGAATGGCAACGTGCTTCCCTCGTCGACATCGGACACAGCAAAGGGGACTTCCTCCTTGAGGAAAAAGTTCGCACCCGCGTCATGAAACCTGCCCACCATACTCTGAAGCCGCTGCTGGCCAAAGACACTCCGCTGATGAAGCTTTTGGAGGAATTCAACGAGATCGAGCTTGACTGGCGCATCATCAAGGTTCTCGGAAGTAAATCCGCGCCATCGGAGCGTACACGGGCCCAGATTCAGTTCCTGGAGCAGGGGAGGGAGGCAAAGATGTCCTTCAGCATATTCATGAAGATACTGGGGGCTCCCGAGGAGGAGAGTGTCTGAAATGTTACACGTAGCCTTGGCTTTCGCCGCTTGGCATGGACTTGTACGGTTTCTGTTCCTCACATTTACTCCTCTGGACTGGACTTCCATATTTAAATGATCATACGTGTGTACTTGCATGGATGGGTGCGAACATGAACATCGACGTACGCACCAACGCGAACCAAGGTGAGCACGACAGCGACGACATGAACTCAGCGAAGCCTATGCACAAGTACGTCACACGCCCAGTTGGACATCATGTCCCACGTAATGTACTATCCTACAGGCACGTTGCATAACGCTTCCAATTATCCTCCTACCCATCCCATCGCTACTGACGACATCCAGGCCTACTAAACAATCCGACAAACAGATACAGAGAACTCTAGCGTAAACTGACAACACTGAACATCCCCGTCAATGTCGTAAACACGTCTGAACGTCCAACGCCGCATGACACCCCACCCAGCCTCGCGCACGCGAACAACCTACTGACCACGCCACCACGCCCCAAACAGAAGCCGAGCAACGCACCGACGACCGCGCCCCGACCGAGCACGCCCGCGGCGCCGCTCGCGACCTGCGCCACGACGGGCGGCTCGACGTACTGGTTCGGGCCCTCGAACCCGCAACACGCCCGACGAGTTGAGGAGCAAGCTCGGCATGACGACCGCGGGCCGACCGCCCATGTGTAGTCCGTGAAGCTTATGGTACCGTTGCTCCCGACGGTGTTTCTCTCGCACGAGCTGATCCTGCGAGGGGGTGCGTCAGGTCCAGCTCCGGCTACGAGGGAATGAGACGAGCGGAAGCGTGCTTACTTGGTCGTGAACGTCGACGTAGCCCAAGGTTTGTATACGGTGATGGTGACGTTCTTCGGCTAGATCGGCGGAACAGGGTTAGCTCAACAGAACTGTGCGGCGACCGATGTTCGTCAGGATAGTGACGACGTCTCCCTTGCGGAAGCGGAGACCATAGTCGCTCTGCGTGAGGACATCCATCTGCGTCTCGATGCCCAGTGTCGTTCACGAGGAAGTTGCGGGATGATATCGTCGGGGGTCAGCGTTCCCGATTATGAGGCGAAACATGCGCCGCGAATCCGGAAATTGAAACGGTCAAGCTCGTGCCAGTAGACCGAGTTTCCTTTCCGCCGTCGCCACGGTCATCCGACCCGCAAACGCAGAGCCTGTACCGCGCGGGATGCTTTACTAAGAGACAGTGAGTAGCAATACCGAACTTGAAGACATGGAAAGTGTACGTATAGTCCCCATATGTACCACAGCGTCACACAGAGCGTCGGGGATCACGCGTTAAACTGAAAGCGCGACGACCAGGCTCGTGAGCGCGAGCGCGAGGCTCCACACCTTCCCGTTCGCGAGCGCGAGCCAGAGGCCCGCCCGCGTCCGCACCCGGGTCTGCATCGGGTGAGCTGGTATCCTTGCGTATGCGCGGCGAGTCCGAAGTCGCACCTCGGCCGAGGTGAGCCAGCGCGGCCATGTGCTCGGGCTGGACGGAAAGTTGGGGAGGACGAAGAGTGTGCACTTAGGGCACAGACTCCGAGACAGAGGAGATCGTGAGCGCGCGCACAACGATTCTGAAGACCCACCTGCCATCACAAGTCCGTCAGTGCGCGCGAGACGGTATGGGATGAGACACGCACTACCAGGCGGTGTGCCCGAGCCTGCTCTGCATGCCAGCAGGTATTCAAACGTATTGCTGATGAGCCCGCACGAGAGCACGGCGGTGTGCACGCCGAGCTCCGCGCACGCATACCACTTGGAGATTGAGAGGAGGAAAAGCACACCGGGGAAGGCTGGCTCGACGAAGCGAGCGCACCGACGAAGCTGTTTCACGGAGACTCAGCGCATAGGCAATGGCATGGATGGAGAGCCAACTTGGTGGCGGATGAGTTTGTGCAATAAATAAGTACTTATGTTGTTATCAAGTGATTTCAGACGACGGTGGCTGTGGCGCGGCTCTGCGACTCCGCGAGCTCGACCTCCTTCTCCTCATCGTCATGTACAACGAGGACCGCTGGTCGACGCCTGTACTGTATTGCGTTACACAGCGCTGTTAATTCGACACGCGCGACAGGCTATACGCCAACTTGTGGCTCGGCCACTAGTATTCACAGGGGCTTACTTTCACCGTGGTCCGTATATGTACATCGCTGCGGACTCGGACGCTGCGCCGCAAGGTGAGACGACACAAGCTGTCCGACGCACTCATCTGATAAGTTTCTCGAGACTACCTAATCACTCACCTGTCTTCTTGAATGCACTTGGGACCGGAGGTGGTCGATGACTTCGACCAGGTGAGCCGGGTGTACCTACTGGCGTGCTAGACAGAGGCATCTGAACACACTGCATTCCCAGCGTATGATGGCCTACAACGGTCTCGCGCCGTACTATGGAGGTAACGATCCGAGTCGTTCGACGCGTCAGAGACGCGCCCCCACCCCTCAGCCTGAGATTACGCCGCCTGCAATGTCAAAGGCCTTGAACGAGGCATTAGCACTGGCCAAGAACGCGCAGGGCAGCGCCGACCTGCTACACGAAGCCCTGGTCAACGCGGAGGGCCCGCAGGAATTGCTTAGGGGTATCATCCCGGTCCGTCCTTTACCTTCTCATATACGCCAATATGTACGCATCTCATCACGCCATTCGTCCTCGTGTCTACAGGAGTTCAGGAATGGCTGTCGCGCCTCGCTGAACGTCATTGACGAGCAAATCTCATGGCTTTCCAATGTGATACGGTCCCGCGATTCTTCTCCAGTGCTCGCGACGGCATTGAAGGAGCTTGAAGCAGTGCATACCGAGCTGCTCGATGTTCTCCGGCTGTATGACGGACTGGAGCGAGCAGGGTCGGATCGTGTGGCTCAAGAGCGGGTGAAGAACAACTATACGGTTCACAGCTCATTCTCCCTCTGTATATCCATGAGAGTCTCAATGACGCCTGCAGATACGCCGCTTAACGAGCGGTACCGGGCGCGCGAATGGTACCGGGAGCGGACAAGCAAGTAGCTCCAACGGACCAGCCCAGGCGCCCTCACCTTCGAACGACGAGAGGGTTCGGCGCGTGTCAAGCATCGCAAAGACTGCTCGTGGTCATGCAGATCTACTCCGGGACACAGTCGTTTTCTCAAGCACAGAAGACTTGGGTGGCCCGCTCATCGAGGTGCGGCCTGACCCGAGTAGGCTTCCGCGCCCACGAGCAAACTAAATATGTCCCACGCAGGAATTCCGCAAGAACTGTGTCGACTCCAGAAGGACATTTTCGAGCACCTGCAATGGGTGGATGGCGAGGCGGCAAAGTCTCGCCGCCGAGCGAGCTCTTCCTCGACGACGCGCGAGGAGGCGCTTTTCAACGACCTGATCGCCACGGACCAGGCGCTCACGGACGCGCTGAAGATGTGCGACAACATGCGCCGGGAGGGGGTAGCAGCTGGCAAGCGGCGCCCTGACGCGGCTGACCCGTTCGCAGACCCGGGTGGGGACCCGGAGGCCGGCTTCGCCGCGGCGCGTGCTGGGAAAGGGAACGCGGAACTGCTGCTGGACGCACTGCGGCACGCGCGGCGGGAGGACTTGTCGGGCGAGCTCATCCAGGTGCGCATACAGTCATGTTCCCGTGGGGGTGGGAAGATGGATGGTGGCGCTGACGAGGATCGACTATTCCCACTCGCAGGAGTTTCGCGACAGCTGTCGTGCGTCGCAGAGGGACATCATCGCACAGATCCCGCTGGCGAGTGCAGCGGCGGAGCAGTCGAGGAACAGAGCGTCGGGCTCAGCGTCTACGAGGGAGGAGAACATGCTGGAGGAGTTGTTGGGAGCGAACGAGGCCCTGCTCAAGGCGATGGAGTTGTATGAAGCCATAGAGAGCGGGAAGGAGTCGGCGTGGAACGAACAGCTGGTATGTCTGTCCGTCATGATATCTGAATGGCAGCTTGACTCTGCGAACATAGGGCGGGCGAGACCAAGATCTGTTCTCTAAACAGCGTGAGTAGTTGTTGGGGCAATATGGCATACCGCTGTACTGAGGAAGTCGCAGTACCAGCGACACCCATGGAGGTCACCTCGGCTCTTGAACAGCAGAGCCTAGAAGGTTTGTCTCCGCTGACTATGCAAGACAAGGCCAAGTTCGCCAAGATTTTCTACGCACAGAACCCGAGTAACGGGCTGCTGACTGGTGCGTATCGCTTACTTCCACGGTCTACTCTGTGGAGCCAAACGCATCGTTTCTTCAAGGCGCACAAGCTGGTAGCCTCCTCCTAAAATCGAAGCTTCCGCAAGAGACGCTCTCACGAATATGGTATGTTCGCCATGCTTCTCTCGCCCTATACAACGTCCGACAGGCAACCCGCAGGGACCTTGCCGACGTCTCCTGCCGAGGCATGCTCGACCTCGGCGACTTCACGATCGCCATGTATCTCGTGCGGGGCTGCATGTCCGGCTCACTCGCCTCGCTCCCCTCCAGCCTCCCCGCCGCACTCTACGAGCAAGCGGGCAACAAACCGCTCCCGAAGATCCCGAGCACATCCCGACTGAACACGCCGGGTCCCTCGGCGACTCCCGTACCTGCTGCGTCGAACGCGACGGGGTACTTTGACGTGCAGTCGTCGACGAGGCTGCACGCGGAGAGGATATTCGAGACTCTGGACCCGGAGCGGACGGGGCACGCACAGGGGTACACTGTGACGTCGTTTTTGCTGAAGGTCGGGTTGACGATGGAGGTGTCGAGCCAAATCATGTACGTGGTGTCCACTGCGGGAGCTGTGATGGGTGCTGAGAACGGACGTAGGGATTTGGTTGACACGGGAAAGAAAGGATACTTGACGCAGCAAGAGTTCGCCCAAGTTATGCAGCTCGTGGAGAGGAAGAAGGCCGGGCAGGACTTGCCTGCGGCGGCTCCTCCTCCAAGCAGCGCCCAGAGCGTACCCGCGAAACCAAGTGCTGCAAGTACGCTGACTTTGCCATCGTTGCAGACTCGGCCGGTGTCGTCGGTGAGTGTGTTTTCGCCGTACCTTGGCCCTCATGCTGATATGTCCATCCTAGCTCATCGATCTGGATTCCTCGCTGGACCCGACACAGGTTCCGCTCCCGAGGACACCCATCACTCCGAGATTGCCCAGCCCCGGTGTCTCGCTCAGCCCACCTCATAGGAGCCAAGCACCGAGCACACAACCGGTGCAGTCGCAAGTGACAGGTTCTGCGTTCACGATAGCTCCTAGCCCCAGGACATCCCCTTCTCGGGGCCATCAGCGGTCTGTGAGCCAGCAGTGGGACGTCAACCCGGTGGCCAAGGCGCGCTTCGACACGTTCTTCGATAACCTGGATCCGTGGCGCAAGGGATATATCGAGGGCGACGTCGCGGTGCCGTTCTTCTCCAAGTCCAAGCTGCCTGATGGCGTCATGGCAGAGATATGGTGCGTGTATCTCTCCCTGCTCTCGACTGTGCCGGAGGCTCACCGGGAGATTTGCGTAGGGAACTCGCGGACACGAACCACGACGGTCGGCTCACGCGGGACGAATTCGCAGTAGCGATGTACCTCATCCGGGAGAAACTCAAAGGCCGGGAGCTTCCGCATACTCTTCCTCCATCCCTCGTCCCGCCATCCCTGCGACAAGCTCCGCCTTTGCCTCCACGCGGTGCGTCTCTGCATACAACGGGGACACCGCCACGCCCGGTTGCAGCACAGGCGACTGGGACACAGCCGCAACCTATTCTGGCGCAGTCGACGGGCACGTCGTCGATCGCGCCGCCTGCGTTCTCCGAGCGCGCTGAGACGCCGCCTCCGAGTTATGAGGAGGTTGTTGGGAGTGGTTTCAGGTGACATTGCTTCCATAGTGTTCGAGGATAGAGAACTTGAGTTATTAGGCCACGGATGTGATATTGTTATGGAGTATAACACTCTCCTCTGTATCCGTACTGCCATGTTGTAGTTCGATGACTGCTCTGCACACTTCGCTATACTGTTGATGGACCTCGCTACGCAGCTAGTTACGGTAATTCGAACGACGTGATGATTGATATCAAAATGTATTGACATAAACGAGGCGTGTTAGAGGTGGCCTATGGCCGTTTCATGTTGAATCACCATAGCATCAGCGGGTGAACGGAGGAAGCGTAGCAACACCAATTTAAAGTGAGCGTAAGTTAGGCGGGACGAGACCTAGCTATTGGTCTTCCTTACGTAAACGCGGTATTCGAAAACGAGGCGGTGGATGGCACGCGTGGTACATGGCCTTGCAGACGACCAGACGTTGAGCAGTGCCGTATCTGCAGCGTCGAGGACGAGAGAGACAGCGAGCTCGAGCGTGGCGGCAGACGCGAGTGGCTAGGCGCTGTTTGGACCAAACAGCATGATCAACGCGACTGCACGACCCAATCCGTCTCTCGGCCACCCGACCCATCCCCTCCTCCTCCCGCCCACCATCCAGCTCCCCATGATTGGTCCTTTGGGCCCCCTTCCGCCCAACAGACCCCCGCAGAACCAGCAGCAGCAGCCCCAGCCACCGCCCCAGCAACAGGGCCCACAGCAGTCCGAAATACCCGTCCCACCACAGAGCGGCCAGGACTTCACCCTCTCCAACGTCCTACACTTCCTGCAGACCGAATGGAGGAGATATGAACGCGACAGAAATGAGTGGGAGATTGAGCGGGCGGAAATGCGGGTGCGTCGCGAATATTCTGCGCGGTGGGTGCGTGTCCTGAAATAAAGGCCTGCTCGCGCTACCAAGGCGCGAATAGCCCTGCTCGAGGGCGAGCGGCGCTCCTTCGACAATGTCAAGCTCGACCTTATGCGCCGAATCAAAATGCTCGAGTACGCCTTACGCGTCGAGCGGTGCGTATGTCGCGCGAGCCCATTGTGTGAAGTCCTGACGTGTCCACGCACAGTTCAAAGCAACTAGCCCAACCGGCTTCGCAGGCCGTCCCTCTTACGAAACTGGCAACGTTGCAGGCACAGCTGGGCGAGAAGAAGGATGACGCTTACAGTCATAAAGAAGAAAGCAGCGGAAGCTCGCCACGGAGTGAAGGCGCGTCTCGAGCACAATGCTTCCGCAATAAATAGCTCATTTCGCAACCATCCCACAGATTCACCGCTTCCTCCTGATCGCATGTCAACTGGCTCTGTGAATGGTGCTGTCACGAACGCTTCAAGTAGAGGCCAGACATGGATGGGCATGCCCAATGGTGCGGCGGGAACTATCGGTCATATGGGCAAGCCACCGCCGGGGCGCGACCCAAAGAGCAGAGCACGAAGCCGGGATTACTTGAAACAGTCAGTCATTCGTTCCCGTCACTCTCTCGTACTCATGTAGCGTGTACAGATGTCTTCAGGAAATCTCGTATCTCACGTCCCCTCAAGCGGTCAACCCGCTTCCGAACCGTCCTCTGCTCAACAACACCACCCTGCCTCTCCAGCTTCCCAATGCTCCGTATGATCAGATGCCATACAATGGCCGTCCGCGAAAACTGATGCCTGAGGTCGGCAAGGACTATTCCGTCATGAACGGCATGAACATGGCGACGGGCCCGTCCTCTGCACCTGCCATCCCGCAAGGTAACCCGCTGGAGCGCAATAACATGGGCTCAGGCCTGCTAGGTGCTGCGCAAAACCTGCAGGCGAACTCAGCTCAACAACAGCAGTCTCAGCTTGGACAGCCCTCCCAGCCCAGTCAGCTGTCGAACGAGGCTTCCGACAACAGGGACAAGGACGGTGACGATGAGCAGGCGCTGGGCACAGCGATCTTCCGTCCGGACGCAGACTTCCGGGAGAAGCTGCGCTTGTCGCAGGAGGCCGCGGAGCGGGCACGACTCGAGCAGTCTGGACAGCATAGCATGCCCATCAGTGGTGCTGCATCATGGGAGCGGCGTGCAAGGGATGAGGATGATGAGGGCAAGGACGAGGAGCCCGAGGTGGAGGAGGACGAGTCCAGTGTGATCGGAGAGGGTGAAGAGACCAAGGCGTGGAAGGCGAAACGAACACTGCGGAAGTTAGTTGGCTAGTCGTCTGCTGTCCTGGACAGTGTGTTACGGACTTCGTGCTGACAGTCTCTCTAGTCATCTCGATGCCGTGCGCGCCATTGCATTCCACCCGTCCGAGCTCTGTCTGGCCACGGGCGGAGACGACATGACCGTGAAGATCTGGCGCGTCGACGTAGCCGGCCTCGCGTCTTCAGCGTGCGTGCCCTCTTAGGAAAAACCTTTGCCACACTAGACGACTCACTGATGCCATGCTCTGGACTGCAGGTCGCGCCCCACCACGGAGATTGAGCCCCAGCTCACGCTTCGCGGGCACTCCGCCGCGATCACCCGGCTGGTGCACGCGCCCTCGAAGCAGCTGCTCTACTCCGCCTCGTTGGACTCGTCCATCCGGATATGGGCGCTGCCTCCTTCGTCCCACACGACGTACGCGCCCTACGACGCCACGCGCGCCCGCGGGGAGCTCATCGGCCATACCGACGCTGTGTGGGACCTCGCATTGGTGCGCGACGAGAGTACGCTCATCAGTTGCGGTGCCGAGGGAGCGGTCAAAGTCTGGGACGTGAGTGGTCCGTCAGGCGGGGGCTCGCTCAAGCTGTCGTGGTCGTTCGACGGCCTAGACGCAGGCGAGCCGCAGAACGAAGGCGACGCGCCCGGCGCGACCGCTGTGGAGGCGATCAAGACCGATCTCAAAAAGGTCGCGGTGGCGTACCAGAACGCGGTCATCAAGATCTTCGACATCGAAAACGGCAAGGAGCTCGTGCGGCTGCAGACTGAGCCTGCGGAAGGTGAGCGTTTCGCGGATTGTCGTGCTCTGTGTGCAGTGATAACCTTCTGTAGATGGCATCTCGTCGCAGGCAAACAACATCGTGTCCCATCCCACGATGCCGCTTTTGATCACCGGGCACGAGGACAAACACATCCGCATCTTCGACATCTTGACCGGTGCGCTATTTCAACTCCCTCACTGCGTATCGATGCAGATCACTGACGTATGTCTACGCAGGGCAATGCACGCACTCGATGCTCGCGCACCTCGACGCGGTGACGTCGCTCTCGATCGACGCCGCGGGCTTCTCGCTCGTGTCCGGGAGCCACGACTGCTCCGTCCGGTTCTGGGACGTGCTCGGGTCGCGCGCGTGCGTGCAGGAAATCCCGAGCCACCGAGAAAAGGCGCGCGAGGGCGTGCTCGACACCGAGTTCCACCCGACGCTGCCGATCATGGCGAGCGCGGGCGCGGACGGCGTCATCAAGCTGTACGCGTCGTGAGCGGCGGCGGCCCGTGGTGTGGTCCTGGGGGTCGAGGTCGGCGGGTGGGGTTGTAATGTTGTGGTGACCTGTCTACATGCCACCTGGTAATTCTGCGTGTATTTGCTCTGTTCTCGCCGCTGTTCACTAATATACCTCGCTACGAATCTGATGACCATAATTCATGGCTTGGCACGTCCATACCTCAGACTTACCAGGTCAACTTTGTTTCAAAGGTGGTTGATACCATGAACCGAAATGTATTGGGACAGATTTGGAGAGGCTATGCTACACAGATGTTACGAGCCGGAGAGAGGGTAACGAATACACATGTGGATTGAACCGGGATGCGTGAAGCAGAGGGGCGTGGCAGGTGGACAATGACCACGACGACTCGTGGTGTCCATGAGGCAAACTGCATAGAAGTCGCGATACCCGGGAGTTCGTGTACATTATATAACTGGGGTCATAAGCTGAGGAGTAAATCTTTGACAGTGCATCAACACTCACGTATCTTCATCCCTTGTTCTACGCCTATAATTTCCGCGCCGAGGTCCTCCGCTTCGACTAGTGCCCGCACCTGAGAGGCAATCACTCTGTTGATGGGATCCGTATATGCGCCCTTGACGTCGTCCTTGCAGTGTATGACATACACCTTCAGGCCTGCCAGAACACCGCGCAACGTGGGCGTCGCCGCACTATCCCGCCGTTGTCTCTTGCGTGCGTGCACCGGCTCCTCGTCCGAGTCCCACTCCTGCGAACTATTGGGCTCGCGTGTGCGCGTCCGGGCGTCCACGACCTCGGCTGCTAGAGCTGTGAGCTCAGCTACCAGATGCTCCGGGTTGAGATGACCGTACAGCATGTCGTCCGGCGTTCCTGACGGGTACGAGCACTCGATGAAGAGCGTGTCCAGCGTGTTTGGGATCTTGAGCGCGGCGGCACGCCAGACGTCCCGGGTGTGTGGCTCGGTGGCGATGCTGTCAGGTTCGACGTCCCCGAAGAAGAGGAACTCTCGTCCGCGGGACTCGTGCTTGATGAAGAAGGCGGAGGAGTGGTATGTTCGTTCACCGTCGTAGCGCCCGTGGCTTAGTGGCATCGTACGGACGGATACGCCAGGAAATAATGGGTGGTATTTGGCATCGTTATGAAGTCTGCGCCAAGACAGTGAGAATCGGATACCTGGCAAGCAGCGCAGACCCATCTTACTCCCGTAGCTTGAGAGGAATGCTGTCATCGTCGCTCCATGATGCGAGTCGTGGCCACAACTGGCCTGAGAAGAGGTTCTCAACGTTCTCTAGACACCGCCTGGCACCGAAGACGGTGCGGTTCCCACCGAGTGTGCTTGCAGTCAAAGCAAGCCCACTGATGTGATCCAGGTGCGCATGTGACAGTAGGAAACATCTGTACCACAAACGGTGAACTGCAGTCCTGCGAACCCCGGGGAGCCGGATCACCGTACTTACTTGATCCATGAATAGACTTCACCTGCTGTACATGGCGATGGACCGTCGTTCTTGACCTGGGGACAGCCGAACAGATCGGGTTGGTCGTTGAGAAGCTTGTTCAAGGCTCCGATGCCTGAGCCTTACTTGCGTCTGTCAGGTTTCCATATCCGAGACGCTCGTTGGTCAGTTCGGAAGGCACTTGCCTGCTTCCAACGCCAGAGCGCCTTCGCTCCAGTGCGCATCGTATCGTTTCAATAAATAACTAGACCGGCAAGGTGACTGTGAGAACCAGGACGTCGAGGAGATAGCAGATCCCAACCTTGATAAATTATGTTCACCAGGACCTCCGCCTAGTACGTGGTCCGAGAGCCAAGTCAATCATATCATTACGACCCACCGGTCCTGGAGGTTGTTGTGGATCTACTTACCGCAGCCGAGCGCGACCAACTCGAAACTAGGCATAACTACGCCCAATCGCACAGCGTAGACCTCGGGCGGTCGTGGTATAAGAGCAGGAACGAATAGGGCTGGTCGTCACACGACTTGGCGACCAATTCCCAACCTTCATATAGGCACTATATGCTCCAAGTGGCGATGCACCCACATACCGGCAGAACAATGTTCGCCAGAACGTACTGGTTTGCTTTGAACGCCGTCCATCTCAGCGTGTGAGGCACTGACTACACTGAATACAAAGCAACATCGATTGTCCAGGCCTTAGACGCCATCCAAGCGACTCGGAGAGGAGATAGTTGTGTTCTCTTATTCTGAAGGACTACATAGTCGGCGCTCCGTACTCGTGGAAGTACGCATTGCCCTCCACGTGGAATCGAAGGCACGAAACAAAGAGCTGGTTGAGAGCCGCTCCACCGCGCGCGTATCACATTAAGAGAAGCAGGAAGATTGGGAATAAGGAGCGTTCGTAATAGTACTGTCCAAGGAGTGTGGGTACCGAAGGGCACAAGGGAGAAAGCATGAACAACGAAGCTACTCAGGATAAAGGTACAGAAAGATGATCATTATGAGCCTACGACAGTTTGCGTAAGAACCATGTAAGTGCTGGTCAGTTATAACTTACCGAGTAAGCTATTGAGTGCTCTCTGTACGTCGTATCCGTGGTTCTCGAGCGCCATCACGGCCTGGGTCCTGCTGAAGCCCATACTGCACAGCTGCTTGACGGAGTCGATATCGTCGTCTACAGCCGGAGTGGGCTCTTCGAGTACTTGTTGGTTAGTCAAGGACGACGAAGGCAGAGGAGGGACTTCATGCGGTGTCGACTTCTTCTTCCTCCCAAATGGCAAGCGGATCTGATACAAGCAGCCCGTCAGCGCTCGGGAACACTGGAATGCGGCCTCATACTCACGCTCAATTTGGAATGTCTAGTAGTCGGCGCCTTCTCTTTCTCGGATCCTGCAGTCGAGGGGCGTGCCATGGGTTTTGGCGAGGAGTGGCGGGGCGGAGGGGACTGGTGACGAGGAGGCGAGGTTGACCGTCGTGGGCCGAAGCCAGTCGAAGATGTGCCAGTAGGTGATTGCGGCGGGGAGGCGGTCGGGAACGGTGTCGGGCCCTTCGACTGCGAAGGAGCGGCCGACGCTCCCGACGTTGTTGTTCCGAATGAAGCGTCCAAAGCCAGCGCACTAGATTGACCACCAAAGGCATCGTCAAAGGAGATCGGAGTGACAGCATTCCCATTTGTTCCGGACTGGTTAGGTTGAGGAGCACTCGGACCCGAGCTGAAAGCATCATCGAAAGAGAAGGGCCTTCCTTCCTGAGGTGCAGGCTGGTCGAATGGAGACGATCCCGTAGCAGCGGGCGCCTGTGCCTGCGGAGCACCAACAGGTGGGAACGCGCTGCTAGGCTGCGACATGAAGACGTTGTCGAAAGTGTTGTTGGCAGGCACAGGCGCTGCTGCTGGGACGGCGTTTCCGTTCGCGTTGGGAGCAGCTGGTGTCGCCGCGGAAGCAGCAGCAAAGTCGAAGTTGTCCTCGAACGCCGAATCAAAGCTGAACTCCGAGAACTGGGACGGGCCGCCGATACTGCTCATACTTGCCCCAAGCTTGCCCATAGCCTCATCAAAGTCGTTCACGTCAGGAGTTCCATGGGCATCCCCGTTCGTCTTCGGCTCAGTGGTCGTCGGAATTGGCACCGGCGCCGCGAAAGGCTCCGAGGGCTGCGCAACAGCGGGGGGTGCAAACACCTCGTCGAACGCATTCACAGGAGTCGCAGGCGCGACCACCGGAGTCTGGCTACGTACGGGGGTGGCCGCGTCGGGTTTCGGAGGGGAAGCAGACCGAACTTCCTGGGCAGGTGCAGAGATACCGAACGAGTCGTCAAACGCCGAGATTGTCTGCGATGTGGACGATTCTGCGATACCGCCAACATGAGGTACATCGCCGCTGAGTCGCGCCTTGATGTTCGCAAGCGGTTCTTCCTCCTCAGACTCAGAATCCGAGTCGGACTCCTCAACGTCGAGCTCCTTGAGTTGGTGAGCGAGGTCGGTATCTTCCAGACGGTCTGTGGTCGCCTGAGTAGTTTCAGTATCATCAGCCGATACTACGGCGGGTTCGTCAAAGACCGAAGTAGTAGTGGGCAGTTCTTCAGGAGCAACGGTGGGCTCGCTCGATGCCTCGGCGAGTGTCGCCTGGATTGAGGGCGCGGGCTCGGGGGCCGGAGCAGCAATGGTGGCCGAGTTGAGCGGCGTATGGAACATGTCAGTGTCAGTGGGCGACATCAGGTCAGCGGGGGAGAGGGCATCAGAAGCGCCAGGAGCGTCCGCCAATGCAAGCAGGCTGGTACCCTCGCCGGGCGAGAATGCCTGCGAGAAGCGGAATGGGTTCGCCGAAGGTGAACTGGGCGATGACTGCTGTGCGGGAGCCTCAATGGGGACCGTGGGCGGAGTGGGGAGACTGCCAGTGTTAGTGAACGGCAGGAACGGTGAGGGCGACTGCGCGCGCGACCCTGTGCCAGAGGCCATTGCCACTCGTTCGAAGGGATTGTTGCTCTTGCCGAGACTGAGAATCGAAGCTGTTGGGCTTGTCGGGACCTCTGGGGTGGCAGGTAGGGGCTGAGCAGCAGCCATGGCCAAAATGTCCGGGGAGGCGACACCGCCGTGACCGTTCGTCATTGGGGCAGGTGCTTCCTTCTCTAGCTCGGCCTCCGCTTGTTCACGTTCTTTAGTAGCCTCAGCGGCCTCGCTCTGCGCCTCCTCGAGTTCCTTCTGGACGCGCGCGCGTTCGGCCTCTCTTGTCGCGAGCTGCTTCTTGGCGATGGCCAGCAGACCCTTTTGTTGCTTCGCCTCCTTCTTCGCCTTCTCAACCTCGGCCTTGAGAGTCTCGACCTCCATTCCGACTTCGGTCATCCGCCTCTGGAGGTCTCGCACCTCCTCCTTGTCCCTAAGCACTGCACCCTCAACCTCCGCTTTCTCTACTCTGACTGCACTGAGGTCACTTTCGCCGTGGATGAGTTCTTCTCTCGCCTTCTGGATATCCGCAGTCTGGTTGCTGAACCGTTCTCTGAGCGTCCCCAGCAGGCGTGTTTCTGTCTCATACGTTGCCTTCGCAGAAGATAACTGCGTCTGCAACGCGGAGAGTTGCGCCGCTTGTTCGCTGAGTGTGCGCTCCATGCTTTCGCGTTCTGCCTTCGCCGTCTCGAGCGACCGGTTGGTCGAGCTCAACTGGTTCTTCACGTTGCCTATTTCCGCAGAGCGATCCTGCAGCGGTGGCGACGCAGTGTGCGCAGGCTCGTCGTCGTCTCCGAGCAAGTCCCTATGTGCAGCAGGTGCAGGCACGGCGAACGGTGAGTTGGCAGAAGCAAAGGGATCGGTGACGGTAGGTATCGTCGCGGCCCGCTGGGGCGGCGGCGTCATCATTTGGCGCGCGCCTGTAGACTGAGGGTGCAGCACTGGCGTAGCAAATGCTCCAGTGCTCTGTGGCTGAAGCGCAGATTGCTGGGGTTGCGGCACCGTCGCCGACGCAGGAGGCGAATCGTCCCAGAGTAAGTCGCGGATAGCTTCAGGGACCGCAGGTTGGAACTGCGTGGCCGGGGCTTGAGGTGCACCCGGAGCACCGCGCATGGATGGGGGTATCAAACTTGACGGAATCGTCGCTGGAATATCTCGTCCGGCCAGTTTGCTCTGGATAAGATGCATGGCCACAGCGAAACCGTCCCTCGTCAAGTGGCCGTCGTTGTTCAGGTCAGCAAGGTCCCTACAGGCGGTCAATTTGGTGGCAACCAAGGTAATCAGCGACACATACCATACTTGAGCAAGGACGTCCTCCGGCAGCTTGGACAGCAGCATGAACGGTACGGCAACATCGCCTTCGATATAGCCTCTCTTCTGGGTGTCTAGTGTGCCGAAGATGCGATCCGCATTCGCCTTCTCGGCGGGAGTCACGTCCCACTGCGCACCGGTGGCCTGAGGCTGCACGAACGGAAACGCTGGTGTGGAACTAAGCGCTGAACGCTGAGGTGGGGCAGACCGGAAGGGCCCTGTCATCTGCGGCTGTAGCGGCGAACCTTGTCCAGTAAAATTCGGTTCGATCGTGCTCATTGGTCGCCCGGGGAATGAGGCACTGAGTCCAGGACTATAATGGCCGCTACTACCTGTTGCATGTGTTGTGACCCCTTCAAATGGTGACTTCCCAGCTGCTTGTTCGTAGAGCCCGGGAGGTAGTACAGGCGGGATGGTTTGCAGCTGGGCGTGCATGGTTGCTTGAATCAAATACATCGCTATCGTGAAGTCGGTCACGTCTAGTGAACCTCGGTTCCTCGTGTCTGCCAAGTTCCTGTAGAAGGACCATGTTAGACACATATTCAATATTAACACGTCCAGATGTGCGTTCTCCACCACCATTCAAACGACAGCAAGACGAGGGATGACGGAGACGGATATCTAGCCCAAGGATGCGAGAGATGACTGAGTTCCAGTGTATGCGAGCAATGCCAAGCTTCATATATCTGTTCAGACTGACGGCGGCGGGCTATCGTGAATGTGCAGCAAGTTTAGGCACTATCGCCGTTGCTGCTTCACAGAAGGACAGACAGGCGACGCTGCGTGCCACTATGCCGACCGAAGATGAACTCCGAAGCCTTGACGACTTCTTATGGTGAAGCACTCATGTGCAGCTATGCAAAGCAGACAACCTACCATATTTGCGAGAGCTTGTCTACGGGTAGCTTGGACTTGACGAACACGTCCCGCGCCTTGTCACCTGAAAGGACGCTCAGCAGGCGTCGCTGACGAAGACATGACTAGGCTCACCGTTCAGGAGGCCGTTAATTGGACCGCATGAGAGGAACAGCTTCATGAACTTCGTCTTGTCTTGAGGGGTCAGTGGTGGGAGCCCGGGAGGCGGGGATCGCGCTGCCGGTATACCCGTCGGATGTTGGACAACTGGTGGTGTTATTCCCTCGATAGTAGGAGTCGGGCCAGCTACAATAACGCGTCTCAGGTCGCGTCGCTCGGCACGGCGCACGAACACTCACGCTTGAGCACCAACGCTTCCGTAATCTTCTCTCCTCGCTGTGCATGGCCAAGCAGGCGCACCGCAACAGCGACGCCCTTGCGCGTCAGAACACCGTTATTATCTTCGTCGGCGAGGTTCCAGATCTCCGCGAGCACGGAGGGCGAGAGGTTGGAGCCGTTGAATATCTGGACGGCAGCGTCACCGGTGATGACGCCGAGCTTCTGGGTATCTGCCTGGATGAATATCTGGTTGACGAGCGCAACCTCAGCGGGGGTTGGCGTGAACTTCGACATCGCTACGAAGCCAGCGTGGGGGACGGGCGCAGCGGGTTGCGCGGAGTACGGGATGGAGTGTGTGCTGCCCGGTCACTCGCTGCGAGCCTGCGTCAGGTCGCGGGGAGCGTGGGAGGAACGCGATGACTAAGCGTTCCGGCTTCCGATACACGTGACCTGCCCACTGGACGCGTTCAAAACGAACCGAAGTCAAACACTCGCCTTTCTCTGCGACCACGACCCTCTTCTTGCTCTGTATAGTCTCATCATACCCTCATCTGTACTCTATCATGGAACAACTCACGATGTCGCTCGCGCCTGCGCGTACGAGCCAAAAGTCCGCTGCTGCAGGGTCTGGCGGGGAGAGTGCTGGGAGTGTCACGAAGCGGTGAGTAGCGCAGCTGTAGTTCTGCTACGCGCGTTTCACGCTAAGGGCTCGCTCGTTACGATATCTAGGCTTAGCAGCGAACTTATGACTCTCATGGTGAGTTGTGTAACGTACGGTGACTCTTGGTGGCACATCCGCTAATCGACCGCAACCTCAGATGTCTTCTTCTCCTGGTATTGTTCGTAGACCCACCGACTATTCGATGCCCTGCGCTGACAAGTGTATCTACGCAGTCGGCGTTCCCGAAGTCGGACGCTAACTTATTCGAGTGGGCGGGGACAATTGAAGGCGCGCCGAGTACAGTATGTCTTGGTAATGATGCGTCACCATTCAGCAGCCACGGCTCACGATATCAACCAGATCTACGCTGGCCTGACTTTCAAGATCTCCATTTCGTTTCCCTCCAACTACCCATACGCAGCTCCCATCATCAGATTCGTCACACCATGCTATCACCCAAATGTTGATATTGTGGGAGGCGCGATCTGCCTAGACATTCTCCAGGTACGTGGGTTCGCCCCGCTGACAACAGAGATATTAACACGGTCTATGTAGGATAAATGGTCTGCTGTGTACAGTGTTCAGACGATCCTCCTTTCCCTGCAGTCTCTCCTTGGTGGTATGTTTCATCGACGTCTTTTCGATGTACTCTCTATACGGCTTGACCCATTCTGTTCAGAACCCAACAATGCGTCACCACTGAACCCAGATGCTGCTAACCTCTGGGACTCGCCTGAAGGTAGGTCGCTTCACCTCGCGGACAACTTCGTGCTTACATCGTCACTAGATTTCAAGGCGCAACTAATGAAGCATTACCGTCCCATCAACGATGAGGGCTCCGCATAGTGTGTTGCCTTGCCTTCCGTGTATCATGCCTCATTTCAGCCCCATTGTTTTCTACATCGCATGTTTCTGTCATCGTTCAAGGGATTAGGACTACATACATTTGCATTATCGGATCCCGGTGCGCCATGTTACATACAGGATTATACATGTGTGCTCTCAACTGTTGCACTGTGTGAACGACGGCTACTATTGGGGTGTTCATACTTAACAGTCAAGCTAAACATGGCGTATACCAGAGTGCTCTTCCCGCTTGTTAGTCTCTATTAGCCTGCGTTGATGGTTGGGCCCCGATGACATCTCACAGGACTACTTTGCTGGCTGCCAGACCCAGCGTCCTTCGGACGCAACGCTCCACCAAAAAAAAAAAAGACATCTCACAGGACTAGATCCGACCTCGCTGCTCATGACGTATCCGACGCGAGGGACACCTCCATGACTCGGGAGTTGATTTTATGTACAGGTATGCCTTCACAGTACCTGGTTCGTGGTGTATACATTCTTACAGACATACACAATACTTTATACTTTACAGCACGACATCTATATGGACTTGAACGACCGAAAGCAAGAAAGAACTCGACAGCAAGGAACAACCCGAGATCCAAACTATGTACTTGGTGGCCACGACCGATCCAGCGACACCGAACAGTCGGCTGAGACCCTACACTACATTGACTACACCGTATCTGTGGTTTGTTCAGAGGAAGAACAGAGCTGCCTGAACGCAGGAACCACGAAGGCGGCCTGGACGACGCTAGCGACAATTTGACCAGTAACCACAAGGGCGCAAATGACCGTGGTGCCACCGATGTGAATATTGCGTGTCGACAAGGAAGGATCGCCCGACATGTTCGCACATTGGGCGCCCATGCCTGTCCACGCCTCTACCATCACGAATGCGATGAAGACCGCCGTAGCCCTGCAATGCAGTGTCATGTTCATGTCCAGAGTATGTGAACATCTTCGAGGGCTTACCAGCAGACATGGGCGGCCGGAACGGCCAGAAGCATAGGAACGGATCGCCAGGACCACTCTGCGTCAGGTACGCCAAACGAAATCTAGAAGGGTTGAGGGATGTGATTGATGAGCTTTGTCTGATGTCTAGGCTTGTTGGACATACCCAGCCTGAATGGTATCGGTCTGCACGCGCGAGATACGCGTTGAATGCCTCACAGTACAGAACGGCAGTGACGGAAAAGATGACACAGACAGTGCCAGTGGTGACGACCAGTATTCCGGGAGTGGTACCGGATACTTGCAACAGCCCAAAGACAACCCTGTCGAGCATTGGTAGTCGATCCTGGTGAGCTCAAGTCCATGATTGTCGCAGAATTGAACACGTACATGATATACAGCCCCGAACAACACTTGAAGATGATCCATTGGTGCTGCAGTTGGGTTACTAACCCTTGCCATTGACAGCCCAACTCCCGTGGTGCGCTCGTACTTTCCAAGAAACGATCGTGGTGTCCTTGATATAGATGTGGCAAGTAGTAGAGCAAACCAATGAGACGGTAGACAGCCACTGCAAGGCCGGCAATGGAGCGGAAGAACGTGGCGGCATTCATAGCCAGAGAGATTTGTTGTTTAAGATGATGGGCCCAAGCTGTTCCGCGATGAGCCGTCGCTCGCGCTAAGGGCTTTGTTGAGTGGGAGAGCTGCTTGCATTTTGCGATGAGCTATAAAAGCCTTTCGTAACGCAGAAGGCGTCCACGACCCGGGCAAATATGCCGCGATTGGGCAGTATCGGCGCTCAGCACTGGCTCCAAAGCGGGTCATCGAGCAAGCCATTCAGTCTTCTGTAGCCCGAACTGAATTAGGCCTCCTAGCTCGCCGCAAACGCCGAGACACGAGGAGAGACGGAGTGGGTGCTCTCGTCTAAGACTCGAACCCGCTCGTTATTTGTCTCGTACCCATCCATGTGATGGACGCACTGCCCAACCACCGCACCGATAACACTGCGGTGGTTGGGTGGGTACGAGACAGCTCGTTGCGCGACTCGTGGTACGTGACCCGCTTTGCGCGCGGCGTGACGGCGTTTTCGAGGCACTGGAACACACTCAGACAGCGAAACTATTCTTTCCTCAGCCCAACCTCAGCCAGGCCAAGAAGTATCGGAATTGCAGGTAACGCCCATTTAGGCATGTGGAAACGTTCCGTTGTCATTTCCGCCCCCCCCTTTTCGTAACAGCCTAACAGGTTCTCTCGTGAGGACAGGATGCTGCTGCCAGGCTGCTGCCGTTGTATGACAGCTTCCGCATTGACGTGCCTCACCGCGCCACGATACAGCAAGAGTGGCCGAGGCTTCAAGCTTCAAGCTTCAAGTATGGACGACGAGCATGAGAGGTACTGGAGTCTAGCAAAAGGCAACGCGGGAGAATATTATGAAGTCGCATGCAGAGACGCTACGAGGTTCAAAGGCCTTTCCGACTCGCACAGTGCTGCAGCTCGACTCTATGCGCTCCCACTTGCAAGGAGCCCAGGTCGGGGATCGCTTCGTGTCTCAGTGTGAGTACTCACTCAGTATCTCGCGGGATCACGAGTTGTATGGTTCTGCAGTTTCTGGACATGGTGATCAGATACCTAACCAGGATGGTATGGAGGAGGACAGCCTAGGTGAGAGTAAGCGGTGCACGCCGTTTTGCGCTCTGAATTTCACCGCCGCCGTATTTCGGGAACTCTCATGCAGCCATACAGGGGGATCCGGCCTACGGGCGATACTGGTGTGCTACAAGATGCCACCCTGCTCGGTACTTGCCTTCTTGAACATTCCTTCAAGCAGAACAACGAAAAGTTAGAAGCGATAAGTTGTGCAGCAACTCCGAGTCAACATCTTCTGCATCGAAGCCTTACAACCATCTAGTCATGTAAAGACACGCATGACCATACACGCGCAGTTAGCGTCACACTGCCTTCATTCATGAATAGACGAAAGAGTAGGATACACATGGTCAACATGGGCACCCCAACCGAGTCCAATCGGATCACCGCAATCGCCCACAACCCACCCCTAAGTCTCGACAACTCCTATTATATAGCACGCTCACCACACCGGCACGGGATTGATCGCCACTGGTCTTGGAGGCATGATCAACGTATTCGGGTCGAATGGCAACGCGAAGCCTTTCGCATGTTTCACCCAAGGGCCATAAATCGCATCGGGATTTTCCTCATCAAGAGAGGACCTCCTCGAGCTATCCCTGCTCGACCGCGAGCTGAAGCTCGAGTTCGAGCTGGAGCTAGACGTGGAGCTCTGCCGGGAATGTCCCCGGCCTCTGCTTTCGCCGTTGAAGGACCACGACGACGTGGTCGGGGAGACTGCGCCGGTAGGCAGCCCGTTGACTAGCTGTACCGCGGGCGCGCGTGCCCCAATGTCTTCGGCCTGGTTGACCTCGGAGGTGTAAGACTGTGCACGCTTGCGAGGGACGGGACCTTGGGAGGCTCGAGACGGTGGGTGGAGGGCAGGGCGTGGGAGCGACGGGAGGGTATGCTTTGGCTGGCCACGTTTCGGAAGCGGGCCCTGCACGAGGCGAAGGGGACTCGGTGCTTGGCGGCGGGGCATGGCGTGGGTATGGGCGTAGGAGAAGGGAGATAAAAGGGAGTGCAGAGCACGACGTTACGAGAGTGAAGCTTGGTGCAGTCAGCGTCGACGAACAGCAACGAATCCCACACGACGACTCACAAAGATCTCTGGGACTACGGAACCGGCGCGTCTGCAGAGGCGGGAATGACGGGCTGGCGAAAGGACTGGACTGGTTGAAAAGGAGACAGCAATCGGACCTGCCGAATGTCGAGTCTTGGAGAAAGAAGAAGATAGAGTACAGCGAAAACAGCTGGTGGACGCGGGGGTCAACGTCGTGTCGAGCGGCACGGCCTGAAACAGACAGCGCGATTAGGTAAGCGAGTGATGTGCACAGCTCCCGTCAGATGGGCACTCACGTCTGCGACAAAAGCTGCCTGAGCACTTATAGGGACCTGCCAGCTCACTGGGCCTGCGCGAGGCGGACTTGACGGTGTTGGGCGACGAAGGTGGGCAGCCCGCCGCCACCCGCGCCCTGACAACAACCGACCCTTGCCGCGAAAGGAAACGATCGCCAAGAGGTGATCGAAGGCCTTTCCCCAGATTCGCGTTATGTAAGCTCCCACACTACATCAGACTACACCTCCATTCATTCCCTTAGTTCTATATAGCCATCCGCCGCTTTGCAGGCATCGAATGAATCGCTACAAACTCTCAATTATTCTAGCCACCGGCCAGATGTCCCCCAACTCGCATGCAAACCCCTGAGCCCCCGATAGCCCTAGGTACGGACATATGTTTACGAACGGAAAGGAGGATGAACGGAGAACCATACACCCGGCTATCTTATCAGTCGTGCTCTGCTTCAAGGATGCTGTAACATAAATAGCCCGAGCTGTAGGGGGATCGCGGATTTCCACATCCTGTGTTCTGCCTCAATTCACCATGACCGACTACGAGAGCATCGCGAAGAGCGAGCGCGCCCGGCTTGACGCGTCCATCCCCGCCAATCTCCATCTTCCATCTGAGCTTCTCGCGAATCTGCCCAAGGACGTATCAGGAGTACCGGAGACCTGTGGGCTACTCACCGAGGAACAGATCCGTATCACGCGGTTCGATGGCACCGCGCTCGCGCAGGAGATCGCCTCAGGAAAGATTACCGCAGTGGACGCGGTGACCGCCGTCGCAAGTCGCGCAGCGATTGCGGAGCAGCTCGTGCGTTACACGCTCACTCTTACGTCAAATCATTGACAACGAAGCTTTCAGACGCACCCCCTGACCGAGTTCTTCCTCGACGAAGCGCTTGAGCGCGCTCGTCAGCTAGACGAGATCTACAGGACGACCGGGAAGACCGTCGGGCCTCTGCACGGAGTCCCAATCTCCATCAAGAGCCAGATCGACGTCAAGGGGCATGACGCGCCTTCGTCCTTCTCTTCATGGGTCGGGAAGATGGTGGCGAAAGAGGATGCGGCACTCGTCGCGATCCTGCGCGCAGCAGGCGCTGTGTTCTTTTGCACGACGAACATGCCACAGACGATCATGCACCTCGAGACACACTCATACATGGCGCGTACTCTGAACCCGTACAACACCGCCCTCGCACCGGGCGGTTCCTCCGGGGGCGAGAGTTCCCTGGTAGCGATGAAGGGCTCGAGCTTCGGGGTAGGCAGTGCGTACCACATCCGTCCCACGCCCGACATCTGCTGAATTCTCTGCTCTCAGCTGACATCGGTGGTTCCGTCCGCTCACCTGCTGCGGCCTGCGGGCTCTATTCCCTGCGGCCAACCGCATACCGCATACCCTACGGGGGCATCCACGCTTCGTGCAAGGGCGCGGAGGGCGTCATATCCGTCGCGGGGCCCCTCGCGCGGTCCGCGCGCGACGTCAAGCTGTTCATGAAGACCATTCTCTCCGCACAGCCATGGCTCGAAGACCCGCTTATTGTGCAGCTGCCGTGGCGGCCGGTCGACGAGACGCGGAAACTGCGCATGGGATATATGCTGAACGACGGGAATGTGCACTTACAGCCCCCGCTCCGGCTCGCCCTCGAGAAGGTCGTCAACGTTCTGAAGGAGCGCGGCGCGGAGGTCGGCGTCGAGATGGTGGAGTACACGCCGTGGGAGCACAGGGAGGGCCTCGACATCGTGCGCAGCCTCTACTTCGCGGACGGCGCGAAGGACGTGAAGGGTACGAGTATCACCGCCTTGTCCCGTGCCTCGCGCGCTGAACGCCCGTCCTGAATTAGGCATCCTGGCCGCAAACGCCGAGCCACTCAAGCCGCTGACGGAGTGGGTGCTCTCAAACCCGCTCGTGCGCGAGCACACCGTGAACGAGCTCTGGGAGCTCTGCGCGCGGCGCGACGCGTACCGGACGGCGTACTCGAGGCACTGGAACAGCTTCAACATTGACGTGCTTCTGTGTCCTGTGGGCCCTGGCCCAGCGCCCCGCCACGACACTGCCAAGTACTGGGGCTATACTGCCCAATGGAATCTGCTCGATTACCCCGCAGCAGTGTTTCCGACAGGTATGCGGGCGACAGGCGCCGAACCCTTCGATGAGGATTTCCAGGCGTTCTGCGAGGACGACCAAATCAATCATGATGCATGTAAGTGCGGCGTTAGGCTGTGCTCTCCTGTGCGATATCTGACAGCGTGTGGTTGTATCAGACAAGCCCGAGTACTTCGAAAACGCACCGCTTTCGCTCCAGATGGTGTCGAAGCGGTGGAATGATGAGCTCGTCGTGGATGCCGTGACGCGTGTTGACCGCGTTCTGCGTGGCTCGCTATAAGAGCGATGCGGGAACGCCAGTGACCGACCCTAGGCTCAACTACAAGGTGTGGCTGACCCGGATTCGACTAGGCAGGTTAGGCGGTGTATGTCGGTGAAGGAAAAGCAGCGCAATTACCTGGAGCAATGCAGCAACGAAGAACGATCACCAGATGTAATAGTATGAACGAGCAGGGTTCTCACGTCTAGAAGTAAATGCAGGGTGAATTGCAGTCACTGCACTGGCCTGGACTCGGAGACTGGTACCAGCCCACTGCATGGTCGTATACATAGTCAGGAAAACTCCGCTCGAGATGCAACGAATGAAAGATGTGGATGACCACGGTGGGGAGACTCCGGCACCATTCGCATCGAGGGGGCAGAGGAGACAGCAATGGACAGGACCAAGTCCAAGTTCAAAACTTGAAGTGAGCGTCGGCTTGGTTGCCATTTCTGGGCGTCGGAACATTGGCCCGGGGATCAGAGCGCCAGATCCCGATCGTACAGAACGCCCGCGCCCAAAGTGTCATCCAGCCATGGCGACCGCCACGTGTGTGGTTCCGGACCTCATGTCACCCGCGCCTCGAACGTGCCCAAGTCCTCCCTGCGTTCGCCTCACTCTATCCGCTACTCACCGCTACCTCGGGGAGCGGTGAATGACGCTGTCCCGCTACGTGGCGAATGCGGACCGGCCGACGACTCGGAGTCCATTTGTCGTCAGCGGACCAGGGTACCCGACCATTGCGCGGTCTACTGCAACTCGCCGACGGGTGGAACTCGGTTCGGGCTGAAGTAGGGAAAGTTTCACGTACTAGCCGGAGGAGGGGTTGTAGAATGGATCGGTTGCGTGGCGTCGTCGGGCAGGAGTCGAAAGTACTACTGGCAGGGCTATAAGACCACCTACGAGGCACCCGTGGTTCCTCAGTCGGACTCGCTCCACCGCCTCCGCTGGTTGCATCCCATCATCCCGCCTTCCTACATCCCTCGTGCGCCGTCGTAAGCAATGGCCGGAAACCAGGCGATCAACGTGAACCCGCCCAACGCCCAGGAGCATATCTCCACCAATGGCTCCGATTGGTTGTGGGCGGCGTTCAGTATTCAGGCCTTCTCCCTGTTGGCCGCTTTCGTCGCAATGGTCGCCGTGCGTATCTACAATGACTTGTAACCTCATGGCAAATTGCTGATGCTGGTGATACAGAGGCCTCGCGGTACTCGTCTGTTCCATAACATCGCACTGGTGGTGTTGGCCACCTCGAGCGTCGCCTACTTCTCCATGGCTTCCGATCTCGGTGCGACGGGTATTGAGAGCGAGTTCCGCACCGACGCTACTCGCCAAATCTGGGTATGTGTCTTGACACATTCTCACTCACGACGAAACGGCGAGTCTGACTTCGCCCTTTACAGTATGTGCGCTACATCCAGTGGGTCATTAACTGGCCCCTGCTTGTGTTGTCGTGCTTGCTCGCGACGGGCCTTTCGCTCTCCGACATCCTCACGACCATGTTCATGATTGTCTTCGTTGCCGTCACCTGGCTGGTCGGTGCCCTCGTGCACACCAGCTACAAGTGGGGTTACTTCGTCTTCGGCCTCGTGGGATTAATTTTCGTCTGGTGAGCTTTCCCGTACGTCATCGCGGTGATTCGAACAGAACCTTAGCCCGTACACAGGTTCCAACTCCTCGTGCACGCGCCCCAGACCAACTTCGCCTCCCCGACGACCATCAGCAAGCCGTACTGGCTCGGCACAACCTACCTCTTCTTCATCCTCCTCACGTACCCCATCTGCTGGGGCTGCTCGGAGGGAGGCAACGTCATCACCGTCACATCCGAGATGATCTGGTACGGCATCCTCGACATCTGCGTCGGCCCCGGCTTCTTCCTCCTGTTCTTCTTGAACCTGCGCAAGATTGACTACGCCGCCTTCGGTTTCCAGAGCGGCAAGTGGGTCGAGGGCGCGGCCGTCGCGTCGAGCGAGAAGCCACACGTCTGAAACTAGCAAGAATCGATCATTATCTTCTCGTTAGCCATCGTACTACACATATGTCCATCCGCTTTATAATCCGCTGTCTCAGTTGACTCACACATACATCTGTTTCCTTGCGCAGTTACGACGATGACCTTGTAATGCACCTCGAGGTGTATCCTGTGAGACCTCATGCTCACGCCATGAACCATTTCTGTAATGATCAGTCGATTGGTCACGGTGTCCAAAACCAGCACATTCTCGTGCATGAGGTGGGCCATGCCTGACATTGCCGGCCAGGGCCCCGGAGCCTACACCAGAGGCGTCCTGCGCACCCTGATCTGCACCAAAGCCAGCGGATTCGGACTCCCAAGCCGTCAAGACAATTCTCCCGTGGACATCAGCCTCAACTTCGTTCGAGATTCTCAGTAAGTATAATCCGGGACAGAACGTTCACGAACATGAGCTACGACACTGCCCTCTGCCGTGAAACTGACCTTATTGGAGTAACAAAAACACTCATCAGTGTCGTCTCTGATTCTGATGCGGACATGTAAGGGAGTGTAGTCACTGTATCACTCCCCCGAATTGTGCCAGCTTCGCCCGGAATGGTATGTTGCGGAAGTGCCAGATTCTCCTGCTTAGCATGGTCGTTCAGGTCGAGTGCTGTTGTTTCGGTCGACGCGGACGAAGCGCCTACAGTAGTACACCGTCGACTGGGTTCAGTAATCACACTCCATATAATCGGCGAGCGCTGTGATCGGAGGAGATGGGTCCATTTACTGTAGCCGCAGTCTACGCGAGTCCACTACACGCGACACTTGACAGCGCTCACTAAGTTACATGACAGCATTCAGCAAGGGGCCCCCTCTATTTTACAATGTCGTAGTCTATTCGACCAATAAATCAACAACGTGAGTGCGATGCTACACCGTTTGCACATCTTGGTCCACTGGTCGCAACCCGGGCGGGTTCCGAGGTCAAAACCTGGGAGGAAAAAACACTTAAATAACCTCCAGGCATCGGTTGCGGTTCTCCAGCACACCAACATAACTCACCCCGGACCTAGGACAGAGGTGCACCTGCGGGTGTATGGGCATTGAGCCATCAGCTGCGGTGATGTAGTCGCACGCGGGGATCATACTAACCAAGCTCACCGGACGGGGTATGAAAGGTACAGCTCCACAGAGGAGATCGCCATTGCGGGGACGGTGTCGCAATACCTGGAGACATCGAGGACGTAGGCCACTGTGATAGCCATGGTACATTTGCGCCCATAGATTAGGGTCACGAGGAATGTCGCCGGCTCGCAGTCTGCTATGGCCGTCCTTTGCGCGTGAAGACCTGTGAGTCCGTGCGCAGGAACCGCTGGCGCAGCATGCGGAGCATTTCGGCGTTGCACTCGGGCAAGACGTGTGCTTCATCTTCGGATGCAGGACCGTGGGGGTACGCCACCTAAGCATTTCGACCACAAAGGGGTGGACGGACGCACTGAACCGCGCGAGTGCATGTAATCGCTGAGCACTGAGCACTAGCCTTGCATGCAAGCACTAGGTACCCCCTCCGCAAACACATCTCTCTGTAGTGGGCGCGCTCGCAGCATGTTGTTGTTGTTGTTGTTGTTGGCTCCTTTTATTGTCACTGAGGGCGTAGCCCTATGTAGACATGATCCGTACATGATGCAGTCCATAGTCCGTCAAGTCTCTCGGCTGTGCATGCTCGCGCAGCATGTTGAGGCAGGACAAGAGTATGTGTCATTACGAAGGTGCTTGCTCATACTAGTAGACGGACACGGTCAGGTCGTGGGCACACACCTTGACGAGGTCTGGCGAGAGGGCTTCATCCAATGGGAGGGTTTCAGGCAGAGGTAGCTGTTGCAGGGAGGAGGAGGAGGAGCCATGAGGCGACACTCAGCTAGGGCAGCTAGGGGCAGCAGCGGGCGTTGCGTCACCAGGTAGAGGAACATCCGCGGCGCGTAGGCCGGCGACACATCCAACCTCCCCGGCCAGGTCAGCAGGACCGCAATCATCTAGAGCATCCTCATCGGCTCACACACACAGTATACGTCTCCATCTCTTCCACTCTTCTCCCTCCCCTTACCCCGCTGATACGCACGCGACGCGCAGGTTCAAAGACCTCGTCCTGCTGATCAACGCGGGCCTGAAGCCCATCGTCGACAAGGTCTTTGCGTTCGAGGACCTCCGCGCGGCGTACGAGTACCTCGAGGTTGGGAAGTTCTGTGCGCAGGTCGTGAAGACGTGAGCCGATGCGGCGTATGCGGTGGACGTGCGTGTCTCCGGGGATAGAAACGCAGATACATAGGAGGCGAGGACGAGGATGACGTGGGCAAGAGGTTGTGGGCAAGAGGGGGGCAAGATCTGAATCGCAGACATCGTCCTCTTGACAGGTGGGTAGGTGAGTGGTGTACGGGGTCTCGTTTTCAGCCACTTACGCGAAGTTCTGTCATTTGCGCTCGTTTTGTTTGTAGACATTCGTCAATGCCTTCTACGAGGAGTGTATGAATAGGAGAGATGGATTAAACTAGAAAAAATGTATCCAGCTAGCCAGATATCTCAGCGGATGCCATCTCGCGGAGGAAGTTGAGTAGTGACCAGCGGGTCATTTGCACGTGCACGGAACGATCATGTGATCACGCTGTTGAATGCGTGCGCTTCCCGCGCAAGGACAATGGGTGCGGCGTCCTGCGCAAGGACAATGGCTGCGCGACTTGTGCGCGACACTCAACCTGGCTGCCCCCGCGCATGGTCCGTGCTCGACTGGACGGAGGCGGCCTTGTCGCCGCGCTCCATAATGGTGAAAATGTGTATATATATTGGTGCGCTGCCGTATACATTGTTGTGAACCTCACCTCCTCCTGCTCGCCCAACGACCTCTGGAAAGGCATGGATGGCGATTGGAGTAACGTGCATCTTGCTCGCTCATTCCTTGATGAACTCGATGGCGGGATACCTGACTCTCTCACTAACAATGCCTCCCTACTAGATTGGGAGCATGCCCTTTCATACAGTTCCTATGACCCCGCGCTCGAGATAGTCTACGCGTCATTCGACATTGACCTTCCCCTGCTTGATGCTGCGACAAGCCTCGTACCTGACGTCACACAGCCCGCGCTCACGTTGCGCCTGACGTTGCACAACATCCCGCCGCGTTCAACGTCCCGCACCCTGCGTTTCAAGGTCCACACCCCACGTTCGACAGCCCACACCCCTTGTCCAATGTCGCGTACCCTGCGCTCGACAGTTCAAACCCTGCATTCGCTCCCAACCCTGCGTTCAACACACCACATCTCGCAATCAACGTCGTGCAGCCCGGCGCGTTCGATGTTGTGCAGCCCGCGCGCAATCCCGCGCAAGCCCTCGCGCGCACTCCGCTGAACACAACGCCATTATCCCCTACCATACCGCAAGGTATTGGACTTTCCCCGGCAGTTCTCGCGACACTACCACCAGATCTCGGCGCCCATGTCTCTCTAGCGTCATCCACCCTTTCGTGGACAGGGGATGCAAGGCAAATACTGAACGTCTTGTGTCCGAGGTGTGGGAAGTCAATCTGCACCGGTTCGAAGTTGCAGACCAACGTCAAGCCTCTCGAGTCGCACATGAGAGGGCGTAAATGCTGCCCGTCCTCGATATCAGAGGCGCGCATCGAGTCGGCGGAAGCTAGGTCTCTGCGAGAGCAGCTATTTCCACCACACTCAGCGCAGCCGCAGGGCCTATCGGTCTCAGCTCGTCGTGCAACAATCTCCGAATCCTCGCTGGCCCCGCCGCCGGGCCTGTCATCTGCAGTCGCCAACATAGGCTCGTCTCCGATTATACACCTCCACTGCATGCGCTCTGTACCCCGGAGGACTTCGAGGATGGGAATACAACGTACGTTGTATCTCTTTGATATCTATTTCGTATTGACGTTGACGCGAACTTCTTACCATCAGCGTACGATGCTACACTTCCGCCGAGTGGGCCCCAACCTGAACGCTGATCCTTCCATATATAGATCACTCTGTTCGAGTTTCCATGCGGCTTCTGTGGTCGTCCAGAACGCCTGTGTGCAGCTCCAACATTGACGAAGGGCATTAACGGAAGCACGCCTCAAGCGCGAAGCGAATGCCCTTACTACCAGTTGTTCTTCTATCAACCGAGCCTCAAGTCTTCCGCCGCAAGGGCCACCCTCTACGAACGTACCTATCATATGCAAGATCCCTGAATGCAAGGCCGAGAAGGGCGGGAATTGGAGTGCCACTGTATGGAAGTATAATCTGCGTGAGCACATTCTTCGTTTCCATCCCACATATAGTCTCGAAACCGCCGGGTCGGATGGGCTGATCCCCCTACCTCCTGCGATGTTGCATGACATGCACATTTCCGACGAGGAGCATGGACTGAAGATTCCGAAGGCTTGTATACCTTACAAATCCCCTCTACCCACTCTTGAACCCGAGGCGTCCACATCTACTAGTACCTCTGCACGCACTGGTGCACATCGAGCAAAGAGGAGACGTACACAGAAGGGAGGCTGACGGCGAGCATACAATGCATATTAGCGTTGTTTAATCGATTTCCTGGCTGCTATTACATTTCGCTATACTCTCGTGCTCGTTTTAATGCTACGCCGTCAAACCGACGCGTCGCAGGGTACGGTCATTGAGGACGCGTCGTAGCGCGTCCTCCTCGATGGTCATGCGTTGCCCCTTTAGGACATGTGCCTGGGCGCTCGACTGCCTATCTAGGAAGGACCTACCGTACCCCCGCAGTTTCCGGGGTCCTCGGGTTTTGGGAGGACGATGTCTGGGATTTTGTTCTTGCCCCCCTTTTGATTGTGGGTACGGGCGACGAGCGGGGTGCAGGCGTACAGGCAATGTGAGGGGCCAGGGGAGGGGGGGCAATGACTCGGGACGGGCGGCTCCAGGTGCAGCCTGGGATATATATACCGCGTGAGGGAGGGGCGCCTCCAGATGCAGCCGGCGGGTTTCATAATATGCGAGTACTTGTGGCACTGTCAATAGCTGGCAGTACGAATGACGTACCCCATAATGGGAGGTTTGCGTGTGTTTGCATTGTCAGATGGTTCCGTATCTGATACCATAAGTATAAAATGGTTCTGCCCGTCTCTCCACTCTGGCAGACCACTCGCACTGTAACGCGCTTCACGTATACTGAATATAACGTCTCTCGACATGCAACACATCATACTCTATCCTAACTTTATCATCGACGCATACGAGAAACCCCACGCGGATCTCCTCGACTCTCAACCCCACGAATTCCCGGCGAGATGGAATGAAATGTATGGGTCCTTGAAAATCGCCCACCATGCGATTCTGCTCATAGGAGGAACATTCATCGCGTGAGAACCTCTTACGACGCAGCTTGATGCGAAAAACTGACCGACATTGTCGCACATAGGATCGTCTTGGGCCTGTTGCAGTCGTCGAGCCTGGCCGCTGACTACGCGATCACGTGTCTCGGCATCATTTGCGTTCTCGCTAGCCTGTTCAGCCTCGCGTACAACGAGGTCTACAGTATCTTCATGTCGCGCATATCCAATCCTTGGCGGGGGCTAGCATGGGTGCAGGTAAGTACCACTATGACACCGCTTGCCGATCGCGCTGATCTGCCCGCCACTAGGCATCGAAGGATCTCCCGACCTCATCGTGGAAGTCAGCTCCGAGGCTCCTGGCAGTCCCTGCAATATGGATGCTATGGTACGGACGCCACTCACCATGCACAGTACGGATCCTAACACCTGGAAAGGGCTAGCATCGCGCTGTTTGCATTCATCTTGGCCGAGGTGTGGGCAAGCTCCAACGACGTCTCTTCGGCGACGCCGTCCCCGCCGCTCCTCAAGATCGTACTGTCAGTGCTCGTCACGCTCGAACTCGTCGCGGGTGTGGTGCAAGCAACCTACGTGATATCAGCCTTCGACAAGCTGTGTAAAGCGGCCATACACACTCGCGGAGGCATTGCCCATCCTGATGAGATAGTGTGAGCAGCCCGGATCCTGCTGTGTATAAGTTGTATACCCCCGTCCTGAATGCTTGTTTCGTCATTTCTCTTGTATCTCTTTTACGCTCTCGTTGTCTCACAGCTCGCTGCTCTCATTACGTTGTATTGTTGTGCCAGTAAACCTCCTTGAACAAACTCGTTACGCTTCCTCTTGCATCCCTGCACTAGCATTAGTACTTGCATAGACTGGATGTATCATACCACATACCCATTATATCCTAGAGTCTGAACATGTGTGCCGTTGTTGACCGGGGCACAATGCTCAGGCGCACTCAGCCAATGTAGCCCGTTGACAAGAACGCACCTCGAACAGCAGCCCGGCATACCCAAGTCAACACACGCAAAAAGATATCCTCTAGGGTTCTCGTCTGACCCGAGCTTATGCCATTGTACCTATAACGCAGTGACGGCGGCAACAAGCAGTGAAAGGTGTATGGAAGAAAGGAGCCAAAGGGAGCAAGAGCAGACGGTGATACAGGGCGCCGCAGTACTGTAAGCGGGAAAGGGGGCAGTCTACTAGTAACACACAACAGAAACAGAACGAAACCGATAGCCACGAGCAATTCGAGCGGACGGATGGGCGGCCAATACCAGTACAGGCGATGGGGATGCAGTTTGATTAGCCCTGGAAGACGTCGACGAGAGCGGAAACGAGCAGAGATGAAGAGGAGAGAGTCAGGAGTGGATACGGGCGGGGAAGCGAGCACGGGCTTTGCGTGTTCGCAGCGTTGCGCTGCGCTTGCGCTTGCGCTCGAGGACGCCGCGCGGTTTAGACGAAGCCTCCGCCGCCACGCTTGGCGTCGATCTTCCGGAAGCGTTCCTTCTCGCGTCTCTGTCGGAGTTGCTTGATGGTTAGCTCGACAGCCTCTTGAGGAGATAGAAGCGTACCGTGTGGATGACACAGAGCGACGCGAGGAACAGGCTGATTGCAACCGCCATGAATCCGTACGTCTAAAGATCGCGCAAGCGCGCGTTAAGGTTAGGGTTGCCATGAGGATGAGCGGAGATCCTCACAAGCCTAGGGGACGTCAGAACACTGCGCGGTGACTGCAGAGGGGATGGGGGACGTACGTGAACACCTGGTTGAGCATGGGCTCGCCGAAGCCGGTCAGGTCCGTGATGCATGCATTTTCGGTCGTGCTCGTCGCGTTGAACAGCGAGTTGATGAACGTCTGGTTCGCGCAGAACCCGCCGATTGCGGCGGTGCTGTCATTGGGCATGAAGTACCCGCAGCACGAGAACTGTAAGGCCGTCAGTACCTCGACCAACAGCAGATTGCATGTGCACGAGAGGACTGACCTTGTCTTGCACCTGGATCTTCGTCGCGTTGGACAGCGACTGCCAGGCGGCGAGGTAGTTGTCTTCAATGTGGAGGGTGAAGTACCAGAGCGACGTGCCGACGACGAGAATAGCAAGGACGTCGAGGACGAGCATCCAGTTCAGCAGGACGAAGCCGGTTACCGACGCCGTCGGGGAAAGCACCGCGATGATCGAGACGATCCACGAGGCGAGCAGTACCACACCCATGATCAAACCAGCTGGGAACGCACCGTCGCACCGAAGCCATATACCGACGAACAGACCACTCACCATTCAGGTGCTCCGTGCTGAGAGCGATGTTCGTCATCAGGTCAGGCTTGCGCTCGACGATAGAGAAGACGATGGAAGCGACGGCAGCGGCCAAGAGGAGGACGTCCACGAAGGACCAGAAGCCCATGATGATCTTGAACTGCTTAGACATCTTGGGGGTCTGCTAACGGGAACAGTGTTGAGTCTGCATGCTCCGTGAGCGGCGGGCGCTTGAGGACAATGGAACGCGTACGCACGTTGTGTGAGTAGTGAGAACGAAGTATCAAGTCAACTCAGGCGAAGAAGGAACGTTGGGGACTGAAAAAGCCTCTTCCAGAGAGAGGACGCGACAGAGGAGGCTGCAGCACCGGGCGAGTCGCTACACTGACACAGCAGTGGCAAGAAGTTGAACAGGGAAAAAGACGTTCAACGCCTGAGGGGAAAAGGGTCAGACGAGGAACGAAGAAGAAGAAGAGAGGGGACCAGGAAGGGAGAAGGGCGGTGTGGGTCCGGAGGCGTACCTGCGGTTATGAGGCTCAGCTCGGGGACGAGAGGATGACGGACAGAGGGCAGACCACTGTCAACACAAGATATTATCATTGATACGCTGGTAGCCGTCGCCATGGCCACATGGCCTTCCTCCCGCAGCACCCGCCCGCGTCTCGCCCTCCTCCGCCTGTTGACGGTTGCCATCCCGCTCATTCTAGGTTCTGTCGTTGCGGCGCCCGACGTTTTCTACACTCTCTACGCCGTTGTACGCAGCGGGCTCGCTGCTGAAGGCGTCGTGCTCGAGCGCGCTGGAGCCACCCCTTTCACACGCGGCCGCCTTCCGACATCACACAGTGACATTGGCTGAGTACGCCCAACGCTGAAGCGCTGATGGTTGACGATGGATGTCAATAGGGTTGTTCAGAGTAGGCTGTCCGGGCAGCTATCGAGCCTGCTATCCCGTCCAGATGTCCGAGGCTCGACTCCGGCAAACGCCGACAGCGAGCCTCAGCTGTGATCCTGATCGCTGTCGCAGGGGCCTCGCTGACGGCGCGCGGTGGCACCGGCGCTCGGCACTCAGTCGGAATGCAAACGCGAGGTTTGTACGGTGGCTGACCCTGAATTAGGGCTTGTTATGGAGCCCAAGTGCGGGCAGTGGTAAATTGTGAATATGAACTGTTCTTGAAGTTGCTGTACGTATCAAAATGTATTGAGAACAATGAGAAGCAATTATTTGCCACAGTGCACAAAATACCGAGTTACTGTGCAATTCCCGGCTTGCCACCCTTGCTTACCGATGATCATAACTTACCAAATATAGTAACAATTGCCAAATGTAATCTCTATATTGTGCACACCGATTCATATTGAGACCAAGCATGATTACTCAACTCTACGATAGACGGCTTCATAAGTGTGTATATTTATGACACCATGCTTGCATATATCTACAACACTTGGGCTATTATGGGCAAGACATGATGGTAGCCCTAATTCAGGGTCAGCCACCGTACAAACCTCGCGTTTGCATTCCGACTGAGTGCCGAGCGCCGGTGCCACCGCGCGCCGTCAGCGAGGCCCCTGCGACAGCGATCAGGATCACAGCTGAGGCTCGCTGTCGGCGTTTGCCGGAGTCGAGCCTCGGACATCTGGACGGGATAGCAGGCTCGATAGCTGCCCGGACAGCCTACTCTGAACAACCCTATTGAGCCTTCAAGTTGGCCGGTGGCCGTCTGGCTTATCGCCCACACCCGGTGTCCGAAATACAGGCTGTTGGACAAAGGCGGTGAGGCTGTCGCGGCACCGCGACAAGGCGCCTTGCCACATCTGCGCACGTGAGGGACGCGTCGCGCGTATAACACGTCTGTGGCTTTGTCTCATCCTCTCCTCGGCTGCCTCATATGCTCCAGACTCTGCCGTCTGAACCTTACAGAGGCTCAAAATCCGATACCTGCTATCCTCGCGACCTACTTTGAGCCAAAGACTGGCTGGGATTCTCCTCAGACACCTGCCACTCATCCTGGGATGTTCCGGCTGTGCGTGAGACGCATCTTCAACAAGGAGAGGTCTGCCGATACATCAGGCTCAGGGAATATATCAAGGAAGTCTTTCTCATAGCCATGAAAGATAGCTCACGTTGATGGGAGTGCGCTTGGATACATTTACATCTTGTTATGATAACAAGTCATCATACTAGTTACACTGCACGCACGCCCTATAGGCACAGTATGCATATCTACTGCTTAACAGGACTCAAAGGAGTCGAGGCCAAAAGAACGTGGTCAACATCTACATACCTCGTCACCTCATGTACGCTAGCAGACTGCAGGGTCATTAATTTCAACCCGTAAGAAGACATCAATGAACTTCCTGCTACTCAATTTAAGATGTCAGGTTGCTGTTTCATGGAGCCGATTCTACTCTTGTTACTTACGACTGCCGTCAATTTGGACCTATTTCTGGCCGCTACATACGCAGCTACATGCAAGGAGTCGGAGACAACCTTTGGACAACCTGAGGGCAAGCCTGTGAACGGTAACCACATTGAGGGGGGCCGGGTGTCAACGCTCACGTGATGCTCACGTCTTGTCGGCGGACTTGCTGGCGTAGAGACTCACTCCGAGCATGACAGACACCGCATCGCTGTCTGGTGGTTCGCTCCTCCTCGCATGGCAGCTCAAACACAAGAACGTCCTCATCGTCGGCGGCGGCGACGTCGCCTCCGGACGCATTGAATCCGTGCTCGTCGCCGACGCTCATGTCACTCTCGTCTCGCCGTCCGCCGGGCTCCACCCGCTCACGAAGCAATTCATAGAACGCTACCCGGACCGCATCACCTACCATGACCGCACCTTCGCCGGCGCGTCCGACCTCGAGAGCGTGGACATGGTCCTCACCGCCATCGACGACGTCGAAAAGTCGCGCGAGATCTGCGCCCTGGCGCGCGAACGCCGGATCCCCATTAACGTCGCAGACATCCCGCCCTCATGCGACTTCTACTTCGGGTCGCAAATCCGCAGCGGGCCCCTCCAAATCATGATTTCGACCAACGGGCAGAGCCCGAAGCTCGCGAACATCATCCGCAAGCAAATTGAGGCGAGCCTGCCGGAGAACGCGGGCGGGGCGGTGGAGAGGGTCGGCGTGCTGAGGAGCAAGCTGCGCGAGCGCGCGCCGGGGGTGGGCGGGGAGCTGGGCAAGCGGAGGATGCGGTGGATGATCGACGTGTGCACGGACTGGGAGATGGAGGACCTCGCGCTGCTGGACGAGGATATGATGGCGAAGCTGCTGGACGACGGGTGGGAGAAGAACCGCGTCCCGAGGCTGAAGGAAGTCGGTGGCTCGAGGCGGCGGTCGTCGCTTTCGACACACAAATCGGCCAATACCTGGCTTGTGTCTGCGGCGGCCTTCGCTGCTGGTGCTGCATGCAGCGCCGCTGTGTTCCTCGCCCGCCGTCGCTGACCGTACACACTTGATCGCACTGCGCGGGCCCGGCCTCGTTCCCGACGTACGTCACGAGGCGCTACCCGAGTCAAGGAGGATCCTAGAGGAAGACCGAGCATTGAATACTAACTCATAGAGTTGCCACACTGTACCATACACAATCGCCCCGGAATATCCTGGATAATAGACCTTAGATGTCGAGGCGTTGGCCAGTGGGCCGGCCGCTGAGTCAGTGCGTGACATGCGTCCGTCGTGTGCCGCACCGTACACATTTAAGACGTAAGCGCGCGGACCGCCTCTTCCCCACAAAACACACCCGCCTCCACGCCCGCAACCTCTTCATCTCGCACATCCCACTGCACCACGACTGAATCACCCTAGACGATAGACATCATGAGCAACACTGAATGGGACAGCAAGGTCGTTATCGGCTCCAAGGGCAAGGTCCCGAAAGTGACCAAGAACTCCTCTGATCTGAATGGTGAGCTGTGCCGCTTCTCATGCTGTCTTGCGCTGGATGACTGACTACGTGTCGCATCAACAGCTGTACGTATCATGGATGTGCTCGAAACATGCGCGATGGCTAACAGGGAGGGGCTCAGGCGCGGCGAGTGGGTGCTGTCGTGGCGACAGACAGGAAGATGACCGCTGGATCGAACAAGGCTCACGTAGGCACGTACAAGCCCACTCTGCACTCCCACCCGCTTGTCTCATCCTTGTCCCGCAGGAACCGACCACCAGCGCATAGCCAAGCTCGACCGTGAAAACGAGGTTGCGCCACCGCCCAAGGTCGCGCCCACCGTGGGCAAGGTACGTCCACCGCCTCCCTCCCGTTCCCCTCCTAACTCTAACTCACGCACCCGAAATTCAGGCCATCCAGACGGCGCGCATGGAGAAGCAGTTCTCGCAGAAGGACCTCGCGCAGAAGGTCAACGAGAAGCCGTCCGTCATCCAGGACTACGAGTCCAGCAAGGCGATCCCGAACCCGCAGATCCTCGGCAAGCTCGAGCGCGTCCTCGGCGTGAAGCTCCGCGGTCAGGACATCGGCAAAAAGCTGGGGGGGCCGAAGGCGTCGTAAGGCGGCCCCTCCACGATGCTGCTTGCGACGCCTGTCCCGTCGACCCGATGGATGGTGGACGATGGACGATGGATGTGTAGTTGAACCATCTTTTTTCTGCTCGCTGTTTAACTAGATTTGCGCGCGTGCGCTGTCCCCGACCCACGATTGTCCCCATCACTATAATCCTAGTTGCCAGTGTATGATCAGAACATCCCGGTGTTTGTTGCAGTTGTACTGAACCGTACAGTAGTGCGCGCGCTCCCGGGCCCGCGATGCTGGTTCCGGCCTGTCTGAGTCCGTATACACGTGGTCACGGGGCTAGGAAGTCGTTTGTTTTCATGCCGGCGCATCGTGCGACGTGCTCGCGGTATGATGGCAGTTTACGTGACTGTTGACCGTCCGACTTGAGTGTACGTATTCTTTCTTCGTGAGTCTACATACTATGCCTGCAAGGTCACGTCTCCACTTGTATCGCAACTTCTGCTAACTTACAAACCCACAGGTGCGTCTCATCCTGGCATATTTTCAACCAGTATTCAATCGGAGCGCAGGTCGTGTCCCGCACCGTGATATGACACGAGTGCATATATGTACGTCGATCGGTCATATGAAGCGTAAGTGCGCTATTGCCATGCAAGTCATGCCCCGTTCTGACCGGAAATTACCTTCCCCACCGATGTCTGTCACATTTACATAGGCTTCTGTGAGAGAGGCATGTGCCTACGGGTCAGGAGTACTCCTTCAGCCTTCGGAACCATGTATACGACAGCTCCACGTATGGTTGCACAGTTCAGGACACGAGGCGTTCAGGTGTGGACTCCCTAGCTTAGGCCGTAAGGGAGATCTGGGCGTTCTACTCTCCTGTCATTCCTGCGCATACCCCGGGCCCTCGGTCGACGCTGACCAGCGTTCCTGTTGGACGACCACGCCTCTTCGATTTTAGTCATGCCAGCCGAAGCCATCATGGCGGGCAATGACCTTGTACGGTTCTAATGACCTTGTACGGTTCTGATGACCTTCAATTGTACGGTTCTGTCCACGTAACTCATGGGATTCGATCACAGATTACCATAGAAGCTCGCCCATAGTGGGCATCCAAGTTGCTTCGGGGTCACGTTGAACTCTGATAGCAGAGCCACCAGGTGGAAGGTATTTCAAACGGTGTGTCTGCTTTTGACAATGTCAGTACACCGGCTGCTGACGAGGCTCTGTGACTTGTATTCGGCACCGCATTCTGAACGAGGTCTCCGGCTGTATATAAATAGGTCGTAGGAACAGCCAAGGGCCATCGTCGTACTGCAAAACCCCTCCAGAATGTCACCTTCAAATAGGGTACAGACTCTGCGCGCCCTGGTCCAGCTCCTCGTCGGCGCCTCTGAACAGGTCATTCAGGAATGGGAGACGGAGGACCAGCTCCCAGCCGACCACTCTGCTACCAATGTACCCTCGCCCGAGCTGTTCGAATCACAGCGCATCATCCACGGGGCATGCGGCATGTGCATGGAGCTCGTCGAAGACCCCCGTGTGCGTCTCCTGGAGATATCTATATCCTACGCGATGACCCAGGCGCTGGATACTACAGTTCGCGCGGGAGTGCCCGACATACTGGCGGAGGCAGAGCCGTTTGACGGGATATCGGTTGCAGAACTGAGTCGACGGACGGGAATTGACGAGCAGAAGCTCGGTGAGTGGTCTGCTCTGGACTCGGACTGATTGGTGGCATTCGGGCTCAACGAGTCACATATCTCGTCCAGTGAGAGTGATGCGCGTCCTTTGCAGTGGCGGTGTCTACGAGGAGATCAAGCCTTTGCGATTTACGAATACGCGCTACAGTCGCGTATTCGTGGACAATCCGCCTGCGCAGGCATACCAGTGTCTCTAGTACGTGAGCACAGACAACATCAATATCGACATGTGCTTTGTTGACGCATGTAGATAGTGGTTCCACATTTAAGCTGATTGTCGAAGCCACGGAACATCTGCCTGCGGCATTGCTCGATCCGAAAATGACGAACTCTACGTCTCCTCTCGAATGTGCATTCCAGAGAGCGCATGGAGAGAACAAGACGCTGTGGAGCTGCATCGAGACGGGGGACGAATTAGACCCTGTAATGCATAACGCTCGAGAGATGTTTCCGCTCGCGATGATCGGTCAAGGACAAATGGCCTCATCTGCGCTCATCGTTGGTAAGTAGAGTGCTCCTTGGCGGTGGCAACATACTGGATATGCATGCTTGTCTTCACTAACGCGACGTGTAGACTATCCGTGGGGATCTCTTGGAGCGGCTACCGTCGTCGACGTCGGAGGCGGCGTGGGCAGCATGTGTCTCGATCTCGCCAAGCGCTTCCCCGATATGCGCTTCGTGGTCGAAGACTTGCCAGTCTCCATCGAGAAAGCAAGGCCTGTATGGGATGCTGGAATCCCCGGCGCATCCGAGAAGGAGCGAGTGCAACTCGTCATTCATAACTTCTTTGAGAAACAGCCTATCAAGGGTGCAGCTGTATATTTTCTGCGTTGTATCATGTAAGGGACGAACTATTCATCACCAGTGGTTCACTGACCGACTTCTTTGCCTTGCTGTCAGGCACGACTGGCCGGACGACGAATGTGTTGCAATTTTGAGCAAACTACGAGAAGCCATGGGCCCTGACTCGCGCATTCTTCTCGCCGAGATGATCGTTCACCCTCCTCTGGGATCGAGGCACCTCAAGGCTGCCCCCACGCCGTTGCCCGCAAACTACGGTCGTGTTGACGCGGTCAAGGGTATGCACGACATGGTCATGCTATCTATGTTCAATGGCAGCGAGCGCACACCCGATCAGTTCGATTCTATCGCCCATAGAGCGGGACTCAAGCTAGAGAAGGTATGGGAGTGCCGAGGACCTCTCGGCATCGCTGAGCTTCGGCAGCTGTAATCATCATGCACCTCGCGAGTGCGTTTCTGCATTGCCACGCTTAAGACAGCTACGTTGTGATGCACACCTTTTCAGGACTAGGGATCGGTTCTTCTTCTTGACACTGAGGGATACGGTGAAGAACATCAATCTGGGACAATGCCACATAGTCCGTCGATCAGCCTCGCTTCGCCCCCCAGCGTTGTTTCGATATATACTTCCTCCACTTCTGTATGTCCCCGCGTTCCAGGAGCCGGTCGACTGTGTAGTAATCTTTGGCCAGTTCTTCGTTACTCGTTACTTGGTGTACGGTGGAATGACACGGCCTGCGACACGAATCGACATGTTGATATTACGCGTATGCGATAAGGGATCAATCAGAATCAGCGGCGACTCACCTACAGAGCCACGCAACAGAGTTGAGCATGCCCTCCGGATGCCATTTCTTCTTCAGCACCTTCGCATGCACTTCCCTTGGTATCAGGTGATGATACGTCAGTGGGACCTCGCGCTCGCAGATCTCGCATTCAGACGTGCGCGTCTTAGACCACACGGGGGGAGGAGCGGTGGCTTCCGCAACATACTCTACAAGGACCTTGCGCAAAAACCTGGCTGCATCGTCTGCATCGCCCGCGACGCCGCAAGAGATTAAGGTATCTACGAAGGAGAGCGGTACGTTGTCCAGGTCGAGCGAATCTATGTCAGGGATGCTAGCGCGGGTTTCGTGTATCGCTGAGCGCAGAGTGTCCGGGAGGAACGGCCAGACTTCTGAGGCGAGGTACGATGTGAAGTCGTCGAGAGAATCAGAAGATGGATCATCTGCCGGGGAGTCTGTGATGCCCGGTTGCGACAGGACGCGGCGAGCTAGACATTGACCGAAAGCGGCGTATTGTGAGCTTTCCTCAGACATTTCTAGAGGAGAGGGAGGAGTAGGCGTGCGAACAGGCGTAGAATGTCACTAGCCTCGCGGCGTTGCTGCAACGATGCAAGCGGTTTGTGTGGTTGTGGATGCTTGTGGGACCAGCGGCTGATCGTGGGAAGACCGGGCACAAACACGAAGCACGTGGACGGCAATCAGGCGCGACTGTGGCGTCTCTTTCTTCAGTTCCCACATCCATCGCGTCAACCTCAGCCTTCAAGTCCCGCCGTTTTGCGCGTCGACGCGCATCCAAATCACTTCAAAACACTGAGCACAAACTCAAGATGCCTCGGGAGATTGTGACGGTACAACTTGGCCAATGTGGCAACCAGAGTGCGCCTCCTTCAGTCGCGAATGCTCCGATCGAGATCTGATGGAAACGCGTCGCAAGTGGGTTCCGTGTACTGGCAACGGCTCTGTGCTGAACACGGAATCAATAAGGAAGGGATATTGGAAGAATGGGCAACCGAGGGAGGTGACCGGAAGGACGTCTTCTTCTATCAGGCCGACGACGAGCATTACATCCCGCGTGCCATCCTGGTGGACCTAGAACCTCGCGTACGTTCTGGCAGGATGGCGATTGCGATGGTAGTTGACGCGTATATATATGGAAACAGGTCATTCACGGTATCCTTTCATCACCATATGCCAACTTGTACAACCCAGAGAACATCTTCGTTTCAAAAGATGGTGGAGGTGCCGGTAACAACTGGGCACAGGGATACTCCGCAGGAGAAAGGATATACGAGGAGGTCATGGAGATGGTTGACAGAGAAGCAGAAGGCAGCGACTCACTGGAGGTACGTCCGGTGCTGCATGTGTAGCCGTCGGGTCGTTGACAAAGATAAGACAGGGCTTCATGCTTATGCACTCAATAGCAGGCGGGACAGGCTCTGGATTGGGTTCCTTCCTCCTCGAGCGACTGAACGACAAGTTCCCAAAGAAACTCATTCAAACATACTCCGTATTCCCGAACGCCCAAGAAGGCGATGTAGTCGTGCAACCCTACAATGCTCTATTGACGCTCAAGCGACTTACGAACCACGCTGACTCTGTTGTTGTGCTCGATAACGGCGCGCTAGCGCGGATAGCTGCCGATAGGTTGCATGTCCAGACTCCGTCATTCGACCAAACAAATCAATTGGTGAGACTGCGAGGCAACGAATGCGATGACTGTCATTAAAACTCCACAGGTCTCAACGGTGATGGCGGCCAGTACACAGACACTTCGATACCCCGGCTACATGAACAACGACCTTGTCGGCATCATTGCTTCCTTAATCCCGACACCACGGTGTCACTTTCTCATGACTTCATATACCCCATTCACCAGCGATCAGATCGACAAGGCGAGTCGCTTGCTAGTAATCCTGCCCTAATTTCAACCTCTTTCTGTCATAGGCGAAGACCATTCGACGCACAACCGTGCTCGACGTCATGCGCCGGCTCCTCCAGCCCAAGAACCGCATGGTTTCGACAACACCAAGCAAGACCGCCTGTTATATCTCCATCCTCAACATCATCCAGGGTGATGTCGATCCGACAGATGTACGTCCACTCAATCGACCTCAGACTTGTTGAAGTGTAGTGTACTGATCGCTCGTGACAGGTACATCAATCACTGCTTCGAGTCCGCGAGCGTCAACTAGCCAACTTCATCCCTTGGGGCCCAGCCTCCATTCAAGTCGCACTCACACGCAAATCACCATACATCAGCACCGCGCATCGTGTCAGTGGACTCATGCTTGCGAATCACACCAGTATTGCCTCTGTACGTAGCTTCCTAATTCATGACGTCAATACTCATAAGTCTCGCCTCATTGCAGCTGTTCAAACGTATGATCGATCAGTTTGACAAGCTGCGCAAGCGCAACGCCTTCATCGAACAATACAAGAAAGAAAAAATATTCGAGAACGGATTGGAAGAGTTCGATGATGCTAGGTACGTAGTCAGTCCAGCTCAGCAGCATTCGGAGCTTGACAAGCATGTTAGAGCTACTGCGGAGGAGCTTCTGAAGGAGTACAAGGCTTGCGAGAGTCCCGACTACATCACATATGTGAGCGCAACCTTTCGCGGTAAAGCTCGCCATGCACTGATGCTATGACAGGGTTCTCAGGACGCGGAGCAAGCAGCATAGCAGAATGCTGCTCCAGAACTGCATCATGTCTCGTCGTGCAACTAGTGTTGCACTGTACATCAGTCTATCGTACAAAGCCGTATGCGACCGGCCCGCGATACTACGTCTGCATGACTGAGTATCTCAACGGAGAAGTACGTCTTCCTCCGATACGTTTCAACCATTCTTTGTGCAGGTCGTGGCGCTATCACACTCTCCGAAGCTCAGTGAGTCTGAGGGAGGCCCCATATCCTCTACAGTATTCAACTTTGCCCGCTCGGGTTGCGATCGCGCCGATTTTTTCAAACGTTCGCTTGCCGCTATTGAATAAAGAGAAGATCCATGTCCGAATGTGTGCCCTTCAACGTGTTCATGGCCGTAGTTCGCGGGGAAGGGCGCTGGAGCGCTTTTCAGGTACGTCGAACCGAGAGTAAGATGGAAAATCACGTCCGCGACAAGGATACGCGAAGGTGTGCACATAGCCTCGCGTAGCTTGCTCAAAATCGCAATGTATTGGTCGTCCGGCCAATAGTGTCCGATGGGAACGATAGGTGAGCAAATCATCGCAGCGCAGCACACTCAATACTTACGGCATGTAATGCAGGAAGTACACCTCCGGGTCCTTTACGGGTTGTTCCCGGATAAAGTCATGGGTAAGAAGGTTGCACGCGTCCATTACGGACGACATCTAGGAGTACAGCGTTCCAGATGTGATTTGCGTCCTCGATGGGTGTGGAGGTCTTCGATCACGAAACGCAGATAGGGAAACAGCTTGGCGAACTCGAGGCACATACTTCCCACACCACCCCGACGCCCACGACGGTAGCCTCTCCCAGTGAACCCCACGGAAGGTCTGCCGCCGCATTGTTCATGCGTATATGTGGGTGAGTGAGCGGTCAACAGTTTCAGATCGTCATAGGGTCTAGGTAGTAAGCTTTGTGTGCACATTAGTAAGTAGCAAGCTAGATTCAGAGCCGCCGAAGCTCAGTTATTCCCACAGGCGCGCGACACTCCCATACCTTCTCCGTCCTCAGCCCCGCCCTGTTTGCGACGCCCTCGAATTGCTCCGGCGTACGCTCGCTACCATTGAGCATGCTGAGCATGACGATGTCGTGCATGCCCTTCATCAGGCTTCCACGACCGTAGTTCGCAGGTAGCGGTGCAGGCGCGGACTTGAGCTGGATAGAACCGAGGGGAGGATGGACGATCATCTCGATGATGAGGACGCGTGAGTTGGGGGACATGGCGTCGCGTAGTCTGGTCAGGATCTTGACACAGTCGTCGTCTGGCCAGTCGTGCCTAGTTGAAAGCCGGGAGGTGAGCAGCTCTAGTACGCAACGGAAACAAGCCGGATACGGATGTTACTCACAGAACGCAGCGCAGGATATACACCGCCGCGCCCTTCACGGGCTGCTCCTTGAAGAAGTCATGGACCATGAGCTCCACGCGTCCCGTTTCCAACGCCTTCGGCTCCTCGGCGTCCTAATAAGGCTTTGCCTGCTCGATAGATACGGCGAGGTCCTAGACCACGAAACGGAGGTTCGAGAACACTTTGGCGAGCTCCATGCACATGCTGCCCACGCCACCTCCAATGTCCACGATGGTGGCTTCTCCCAGAGATTCCCACGGGAAGTCTGTCGGTGTCTATGAACAAGCGAGTTCTGGTGCTCTGACAAACGAGTAGCACTTACCTGCGGCGATTGACTTCGAGCTCAACTGGGTCTGGCCTGCCATCGACAGAGGGAATACCTGGCGAATTTCTCGGACAGCTTCGTCAGAGTCGTCTCCGTCTTCGATGAAATCCCAGAGCGACTGCTTCGTCTTGAACGCCTTATGAAACGCGGACTCCGTGACGGCCGTTGCACTCGTCGTCTCTGGATCGAGCAGAGTTTGGGGCAAGTACGCAAGGGTTCGACGAACGCTTTTGTCCCGCTACCACGGTAAGAGTTCGTCAATGCCAGCTGGTACAAATCATATGTCTTTCGGCGACATATTAGAGAAGCTGATGTGCCTGCGCGGGCGGATTGCCTACAAGGGCGCTGCTGATACGCGTGTTCGCGAATTGTAGATGTTTGACCTCCTCGTACAGTCCACCAGAGCTCAGAAAGCGCATCAGCTGCACTGGATAAATGAAGGTGTAAACTGACTTCATTACAAGCACGGAGGAGATGAGTTCTTACCGAGCTTCTTCTCATCGATTCCCGTGCGCTGACTGAGCTCCGTGGCAGAGACACTTCCAGAAAGCGACACTGCTTCTGCCAGTACGTCCGGTACCCCCGCACGAACCGTGGTATCAAATGCCTGAGACAGTGCAAATCTCTCCGACAGCTCCTGAAGGTGGATGCGGGGATCCTCTACCAGGTCCGAGTCGACGCACATGCCACATGCTGCAACGATGATGCGGCGCACTTCGAACAGCTGGTGGGATGGTAGACTTGACGCTAGGTGATCAACAGGTTGGGGATCCTGCTCGTCAGCCTCCCACTCGTTGATGACCACCTCGGAGGTGTCGACGAGGAGTTGGACGAGGGAGCGCAGGGTCTGTACCCTATTGCCATTAGATGCAGACATTGCTTTTTGGCGAGCGAGTGGGAGTGGACGTACTCTCAGGCTCATGTTCTGACACTGCTTTATGGAGAATAGGTATTAGGTCCGGAGCTTCCTTCTCCTGCGGCCCGTCCTGTGTAGGTTTCCTTGAATGATGGTATGTATTAACTCGGACTAACCGTAGGCTATCAACCCTCCGGCGCGATTGGAGACACCGTGTGTCCCCACCCTCCTGTATTCGACCCTTGTCCAAGCGCGCGGTTGAGTACATCTCGAAGCAAGCGGCTCAGGCTGCGATGGCGAGTCGCATGTATCAACGATATGCCTTCGAGGTAGTTAAAGCTTCAACTTGAAGCCCATGAGTGGCCGAAATCAGGGCGAAAAATTAGCAGAACCTTTCGTTAGTGCCTTTGTACTAGTCTCCGTTGCCGAACATAGAAGAACATGCGCTTCACGCCCATGGGAGTCCAATATCCCGGTATCTGCTCTATCACTCCGAGCTTACGAGTATAGTATCATCGTGGCGCCCATTGGCGCCCGTCCTCCTCTTCAGACTTCTGGGCTTGCATTGACTGGCTTGCATAAACGGATATGATCCATGAGTCTATTGGCATTGCGCCCGAGACGTGGGTATATTCCACCACCCTGGTACGAACAAAAATAGAACGTCACCACCAGTCAACTTAAGTGCCGCGGCGGTATTGATTTCCACTCAACCAACGTGTAAGCATGTGGCGATTATACTGTCATGTTGGTAGAGCTGCTCGCTCACATCAACCGAATCAATGAGTTTTACAGTGTTTAGTCGAGTCTCGGTACTCAGTACTGAACACAAATTAGACCCCAGCGACACCGATACATTTGAGGAACCGCCGCGTGTCTTTCTATAGTAGTCGGGGTGCGTCCGCCTTAGGCTCCCTCCTCCGAGTCCTCCCCAAATTCGTTCTCTTCGTCCAAAGTTTCCCAGTAGTCTGTATCTTTCTCTACGTCTTCCCCTTCCATGCTGCCTTCACTCCCATCTCCATCTTCTCTCTGAATGTTCCCTCCATCCGAGTCAGTGTCACATCTGAACACAAACGACTCCACCACCGATTTCAAGCTGTCCAGCGTGTCTCGGAACACATCCGGTAGTTGGTCCATGACCAACGCCGGCGGGAACAACCTGTCGTTCCTTTCCGGTACCAGGAGGAGGCTGAGAGATCGCAGGCGCGACCCGCCCTTCACTTCTAGGCGCATCTGCAGCGCCGTGCGAAGTCCTTGCAACATTCTGAGGCTCCCAGACCTTTTCCTCGGCCGATATAACAGAACAACGTCGCGCAGCTGCGCACAGGGAACCCCGGATGACGTCGGTTCCAGTGCGGCAGGGAAGTTATGCATATCGCAGTCTTGCCCAATGATCTCGAGCTCCTTGAGGTTTGGGAAGGCCGCCATCGTTTGAGCCCATGTTTGCACGTCGACGAGACTTGTGATTCCGCGTAGGACGAGGGTCTCCACAGTGGCGGTGAAGAAATCACCGAGTTCTCGCATGATGAATCGGAGCCCCTTCAAAGCATCTCCCTGCCATGGAATGACTTCATGCCTGACGAAGAAGGATGGTACCGCCTTGAAAGGTGCCTGATTAGGGAAATCCCAGTGTAACTCGTACTCCGGGGACCTCCAGGGCTTCGAGTTCCAGTACTCGGTGCAATCCACGTCAGCGTAGACAATGAGCTCGGGGGGTTCGTCGGGCTCGTCCGCGTCGATCAATACCATCAGGCGCTGCGCTTTGCAGACGGCTGGCAGACTCCTCGTGTCCTTAGGCAATAACACGTCAAGCGCACGAGTGATGACTTCTCCGTAATAGAAGTAAGGCTCAAGCGACAGACGAGCGTGTTGTGGTAGCGAGAGCTGAGCGAGTAGTATCGGAGTACCCAGCGGTGGCATGCCTCTGAGATAGATGTGCCGAATCTGAGGCAGAGATAGGGTACGAGTCGGATATGGTGCGTCGGAGTCTACCTCGAAGCCCTCGAATCTGAAGAATTCCAGGGAGTGACATGCTTCTAGGACACCCAAGATGGATGCGAATGGTGCATTCTCGACAAATCGAGGTTCAGAAAGCGTCAAGGATGTTAACTGCGACAATGGTAGTTTCATCCAGTCCGGTGTGACGGCAGACAAGTCTAAGGACAGGTGCCGGAGACTATGGAGAGCCTGAGGACTGGGTGCCCATTGTAATCCCTTCGAGTTCAGGGCCAGCGAGGTGAGCGCAGGCAGTGGGACGTCCAATAGTTGCCGCATTAGACTCGTCGGTACGTGATTGCTTGAGGCCTCGGCGATATAGAGGTCAATATGCTTGATCCGCGAACTACAAGGAATGAGCAGAGGGGCGACCTGGGGGAAGTCGACGTTGACACTTCTCTTTAGGTACCCCCCGGATGGATCAGGCAGACGTATGCAGATGTCTGCGCCATTGGCGCGAGCGAGGCATAGCTCTATGAAGTGTGGTTTCGCCGTCAGATCGATTTTGGTCCATAAGAGCGGTGTGTTGATTATGGTGTCTCTCCAGAAGCGACACACTCCCGTAGCCTTCGTGATCCATGTGTTGCGATAGTCTTGCTCCGGGCTGGCTAAACCCAGGATGTCGACGAAAATCTCGTTCGGCAACGATTTCACAGCAAGGGTTGCATTGAGAACGGTTTGAAGAATCGACGAGTAGCGTTGAACGGCGAGGTTTCTCGCTATTATCCAATCACGGACTTGGTGAGTGGCGCGACCTTGCAGTTGTGCGCGATCGTCTTCCGGGAGCATGAGCAATATGTCGTCGCGAACACTGTCGTGTCCAGGCATCGCAGGCCGCAAGCACTGCAAGATATAGGGTCAGCGTGGTGGTGGGGGTTATTGTAACGACAGTCCGAGCGTCCATAGCCCCGCTCCCATTCGGACTTGCCTTCAAGTTGCTCAAAAGCGGATTGAATCCCGGGCTATTTTGTGTTGATTGTTTCCAGAACCCTTGTGAGTGGTGATGAGTCCATAAATCCGACGTCAGAAGGTGCTACAACTCACCACACCACGATATGTTTGCTGCGAATGTTCAGGTCGCGGCCCGGGTATTCCCTACTATTAGTAGAAGCTGGGGTGCGTGACGATTAGACAGAGGTTCAACGCGCGCGCCGGTGAGAGAGTTTATATACATGGGAGAACAATAGCAATTAAAGCGCCGTGTGGAAGGTCAAACCCGTTGCAGAAGGTGATGTTGATGATGAAGTCTGCATTTATTCACCGCCACAAGCAAACAAACGTGCTAAGACGCGGCGACTGCCGGCGGTGCGTACAACAGTGGGCATTATAATGCGCCACTTGCAGGCCGGTAGTCATGTCGGGTATGTATAATCGTCCGTTGCAGGAGGTGGTATAAATTGGAGTCAAAGCAGGTCAAAGCACGACAGACTCGCCCTGAATGTGAACCAGTGACTCGTGAGTCACTTGAACGGCCAAAGCTAGGGCGCCTGTTAGTTCAACTGTCACATGTTATAATTATGTCCCACCGACTGCTACACGTCGAATTGAACGCCACAGTAGACAGCATGGTCCATGGAAAAATTGGTATGCAATCGGATGATGCGCGGCGTCTACTATTAGTAACAGATAGTAATACTTGAGTTGCTCCTAACGCAATGCGTGCGGTCGGCAAACTCGCGAGTGAAATCGGATGCACAAATCGCCACATGGCCTAGTTATGGCCTAGACAAGCGTTGCGCATACTTATGTATCAGTGCATCGGACGCACTGACAGTGATATTACAGCCGCAACTCAGTTATGCTAACGGGCGACCGACACTCCCATATCTTCTCGGTCCTCAGCCCCGCCCTACTAGCGATGTCCACGAACTGTTCGGGTGTTCGCTCGCTGCCGTTAAGCGAGCTGAGCATGACGATGTCGTGCATGCCCTTCATCAGGCTTGCACGACCGTAGTTCGCAGGTAGCGGCGCAGGAGCGGACTTGAGCTGCGTAGAGCCGAGGGGAGGATGGATGATCATTTCGGCGATGAGGATGCGTGAGTCTGGGGCCATTGCCTCGCGCAGTCTGGTCAGGATCTTGACACAGTCGTCGTCTGGCCAGTCGTGCCTGGTCAAGAACCGGGAGGTGAGCGGCTCCACGCCACAGAAACAAGCGGTATACAAACTGTCACTCACAGAACGCATCGCAGCAGATACACCGCGGCGCCTTTCACCGGCTGCTCCTTGAAGAAGTCATGGACCATGAGCTCTACGCGTCCCGTTCCCAACGCCTTAGGGTCCTCGGCCTTCCAATAAGACTTTGCCTGTTCAATGGCGGCTGCGAGGTCCTGAACCACGAACTGTAGGTTCGGGAACACTTTGGCGAGCTCCGTACACATGCTCCCCACGCCACCTCCGACGTCCACGATAGTAGCTTCTCCCAGGGATCCCCACGGGAAGTCTGTCGGTGTCTATGAGCACACGAGTGACGATGGCAGGTACCAGTGCAACTCACCTGCGACGATCGACCTCGAACTCAACTGGGTCTGCCCTGCCATCGACAGCGGGAACAGCTGGCGGATCTCTCGGACGACTTCGTCAGAGTCGTCTCCGCCTTCAACGAAGTCCCACAGTGTCTGCTTCGTCTTGAACGCTTTCTGGAACGCAGACTCCGTCGCGGACGTTGCACTCGTCATCTTCGGGTCGAGCAGAGTCTCGGGCAAGTACGCAAGGGGCTCGATGACTGCCTTTGTCCCGCTGTCACGGCATAAGCTAATCAACACTGGCTGGTGTGATTGTTACGTTTTGAAAGACATACTAGATAAGCTGAAATGCTTGCGCGGGAGGATTGCCCGCAAGGGCGCCGCTCATACGCGTGTTCGCGAAATCTAGATATTTGACCTCCTCGTACAGTCCACCCGAGCACAAAAAGCGCATCAGCCGCACTGGACAGATGAAGGTATAAGCCAGCTTCGTCCCAAACACGGAGGCGATCAGTTCTTACCGAGCTTCTTCTCGTCGATTCCCGTGCGCTGGCTGAGCTCTGCGGCAGAGACACTTCCAGAACGCGGCATTGCTTCTGCGAGTATGTCCGGTACCCCCGCACGAACCGTGGTATCGAACGCCTGAGACAGTGCAAACGTCTCTGACAGCTCCTGAAGGCGGATACGGGGATCCTCTACCAGGTCGACGCACATGCCACATGCTGCGACAATGATGCGGCGCGCTTCGAACAGTTGGTGGGATGGTAGACTTGACGCTAGGTGATCATCGGGTTGGGGGTGTTGCTCCTCAGCCTCCCATTCCTTGATGACCACCTCGGAGGTGTTGACGAGGAGCTGGACGAGGGAGCGCAGGGTCTGTGCCCTATTGCTTTTGGATGTAGGCATTGGTTTCTTGGTGAGCGAGTGGGATTCAGCGGACGTACTCTCATGTTCTGACACTGCTTTATGGAGGATGGGTATTACGCCCGGAGCCTCCTTCTCCTGTGATCCGTCATGTGTAGATTTCCTTGCTGATGGTACATCAAATGAACTCGGACTAGTGACCATAGGCTGTCCAACTTTTGGCGCGTTCGGAGACACTTCGAGCGCGCGGTTGATCATATCTCGAAGCAAGCCGCTCAGGCTGCGATGGGCCATGGTTGCATGTATCAATGTCAAAGGACAGAGCTCGACGCCTTTGAGTGGCCGAAGCCGGGCCAAGGCAGAAAATCAGAACCTCTCGTTGGTGACTTTGCCATTCAGCAGTTCATGCATAACGGGTGCTGATATAATATAAAGACCTACAACTAGGTGACGCCCATGGGAGTCCAATACTCCGATATCTTCCCTATCACTTCGGACATACCGGCGAGTATTCTCGAGGCCAAGCGTCCGTTCGCCTCTTTAAGGCTTACATTCACTCGCTCATTCCAGTTGAACGGATGGCTCATGATGAGTCTATTGACATTGCGGGGCCGTGACGTGAGTACCCCGGTACGAACACGAAATGGACTCACCAAAGAACATAAATGCATGGATGTTGGAGGACCACTGCCAGTGGTCAACTCCGAAGCTAGCCTCGATATCCTTGCGTGTGGCATTTCGACTCGGAGGCCCATTTGGTCGCCGACGGAATGTGGCTACGAGCACGTATTACTATCCCTGTACCGTGATGGTAAGTTACGGACGGACAAGGGCCGTCATGAAATGAGCACCAGAGGAGGGTTGTATGCCATGTCACTGTGTGGCAACTGTGTGATTTGCATCGTCGTGGACTGTTGCGTTGTAGTTGCGTGTATGAACCTTGCTATCATCGGCCCAATGGTCTAGTCGTATGATTCGCGCTTCGGGCAGTGATCCCGCTGATTTGATTGCGCGAGGTCCCGGGTTCAATTCCCGGTTGGGCCCAATGTTTTGCTTTTGCCGCTTCCTTGACATGGTATAAGTGAAGTGCGGAGGAAGGTGGGACATGTGCATTTTGTCGTGAGAGACGACGGAGGTCCAGCGGGACATCGAGAACGGTGATGGCAGAGTGGCGTTGGGCAATCGAGGTTGGAGTGTTCGATCGAGGCTGGTGGGAGATAAGATTAGATGGCAGCGCTGGGAGCCGCGCTGGAACGTCATGCAACGGGCTGCCCTGCTCAGTGCCTGGCTTTCGGAGCAGCAAGCAGCATCCGCTCTTTCCATCTCCCCTCATGTTTCAACGCTCGCTCAAAGTGCAGCTCCTCAGAAATGCGACTGGCTCCCCGGGGAAGAGAGCGGCCGCAGGCGTCCGGAATGCGCTCATCACTCGACGCCATAACGCGACTGTGGCTGCCGCGTCTGAGGACGCGACGGAGCAGTCCAACGAAGTGCGTAATTCAGATGGGGCATGTCTAGCTATCTCTGATAACTATCTAAACCTCAGCGAAACGAGGGATGGCTGTTCGTTGACTCCGTCTTCCCCTATCGGCTAGGAGCCTGGGAGTGAGTCCCTTTGCTACGATTGCTCGTCTGCAGACCTTCATCTGTCACGCAGCATACGGCGCTATGTGAGCTACTTCCGAAGAGAACCCCTCATCGACGAGCTCCACTCGCTCTTTGCCAACGTGACAGACTACGGCTTCAAGGTCGTCGCCGTAGAGCCCCACGAGAAGGACGGTGGTGTCTTCGTCAAGTTCTCCTACGATGCAACAGCCGAGGGTGACCAGAAGGATCTAATGGAGAAGCTGGGGGGATTGGCTGCCAAGCACGGTGGAGTCCCGTCATGGTTTGGTGTATCGCGTGGGGATGTTTGGCTCGTGAAGGGCAGACCATGGCGAGAGGTGAGTACTGGATTTTCACGCATCACCACAACCGGGTGCACGCTGTGTGCGCAGATCACCGCATACAATACTGCAGGGTCATTTGTGACCTGGGGCGCGCTCTCGCGGCCAATGGGGAACTCACGCATCGCAGACAGCTCTGAGCCGCGGCCCACCCGCGCCATAAGCAGACGGCATCGGCACTGTGACCTATGAGACCCGCGTTGTAATGATGTGTACATTATATGGCGTCCGAACACACTCTCAACGCGTATCTATACTAGGACATGAACCGCTTCCCATCCAACATCCTCCGCGTCTCCTTCGAGGGCCCGGACGTCCCCGAAGAGTCCCTCTACGACCTCCTCCGCGTACGTCCTCCCTTCCCTTCCCTCTGACCTAATCTCACGCCACCACCCAGCCCTATGGCCGCATACAAGACCTCTCCCAGCCCTCTCCTCCGCCCGTCGCGGGTGGCCTCCGCTACTCGACCGTGACCTTCAGCCGCCTGCGTTCCGCTGCAATCGCCCATAATGCGATTCACGGGTTGGCGGTGCAGCCGTCGTCTGCGTCTGCGACGGCGAAGACGATACTGAGGACGACGTACCAGGCGCCGGTGCAGGCGCACGCTGTGCGCGATTATGTGACGAGCCACCCGAGGATATTCTTGCCGGTGCTGTTCTTCGTGCTGGGGACGTTGACGTATACGGTGCGTGGACCACTCTTGCGGGTGTGCTGGAGAGGAACTCAAGTGGACGTAGATCTTCGACCCCATTCGAGTACTGATGGTTGAGGGTACGCTCGAGGGCTGGTTTGACATCACAAGTACGTGCGGTTCTCCCCCTCACTTTTTATGTCTTTACTTAATTGGACGGATCGTAGAATTCCAGGCGTACCAATGGCTCCGAAATACCGCCCTGCCGAAGTTCTCTCTGTCGCTTGCTGCCACAGACGGCGAAACGACACGGGCTCATGCCCAAGGCGTGTGGAAGGAGCGCAAGGACGCGGAGAGTGCTGTGGAGAGGTACCTCAACGACATGCCGGGTACCTGCCTCCTTCGTCCTCCGCAAAGCACTCGCTAACTAGCTGCGTACAGGCACGGTGGCCTTTATCTATGGCCCTCAGGGGAGCGGCAAGACAAGCATGATCTCGGGCTTGCTCAAGCAGTCGGGCAGGTCCGTATATCTACGAGCCACTCTGATCTCCAGCGGAAGCCTAACCTTCAAACAGGATAGCACTGGTGATCGACGTATCAGAGCTGTCGAAGGCTTCGTCCGACGCGGCCCTCCTCTCCTCGCTCGCCCGGCAGACCGGCTACTGGCCCGTCTTCTCCGTCTTCAACTCGCTCAACAACCTCATCGACCTCGCCAGCGTCGGGGTGATCGGGCAGAAGGGTGAGTCCGTCCGCAGACGCATACACGCGCGCCGTCCATGCATGCTGACGCGTGCCCGGCGCAGCCGGCCTGAGCACCTCATTCACCGACCAGCTGAAGCAGATCCTCGAGGTCGTCGGCACGGGCCTCGGGCGCGTGAACACGACGCACCGGCGGCAGCACGACCGCGCCGTGCAGAACGCGCAGCTCGCCGCTGTGCGCCGCGAGGAGGAGGCACGCGTGCGGGAGCGCATCCGCGCGGGCGCGTGGCACGACGGGCGCGTGGACTGCATCGCGGGGAACGGCGTGATGAGCGAGTTGGGCGTGGGCGACGAGGTGTTCGATCGCGAGGAGGAGGGGCTGCACGTCGTCAGCGCGGTGTCGCGGGGCGATGGCGAGAAGGAGGGAAAGATGGCGGAGAAGCGCGAGGAAAGCAGGGAGAGGGAGGACGTGCAGAGGCGGGAGCGGAGCGCGGGGGACGTGGAGGTGATTGAGGCGATGCCGATTGTGATCATAAAGGGATTCGAGAGTAAGGGCGGGGGCGCGAGTAAGGAGGAGATGTTGGATGTGCTCTCGAGGTGGGCGGCGAGTCTGGCACAGAACCAGGTAAGATATTTCCTCCACGCGCTGCTTCTTGTCCTGACCTGACCTAGGTCGCGCACGTCGTCGTGGTGAGCGAGAACCGCGAGAATGCAAAGAGGCTGACAAAGGGTACGTCGGCGTGCTCGTATGAGGTTGGGGTGCACTCATGGATTCTCCTGCTCAGCTCTCCCGTCTCAACCACTGAACGTCATCGCCTTGTCCGACGCCGACAGCCCGAGTGCGCTCTCGTTCGTCAAGCAGAAGCTACAGGACAGCGGCGTCGACGTCACCTTCAACAAAGAGCAAGTCTCGCATATCCAGCGGCTAGGCGGGCGCGCCAGCGACCTCGAGAGCGTGAGCGTCCTGTCCCACCCCTCCCTTACACATCACTAAAACGCAATACGTACAGCTCACCCACAAAGTGCGCAACGGGCAGAGCGTACAGGATGCGGTGGAGGACATCATCACGCGGGGCGTCAGCGAGATCCGCAAGAACGCGTTTGGTGAGGACCTCGAGGACGCGAAGAACCTGCCGTGGTCGCGCGAGCAGGCGTGGGCGTTAATGAAGAAGCTGTCGCAAAAGCCGGAGGTAAGACACGCCCTGCCCCTACCCGCTGTACACGATCTGATGTATTATACCTGCAGATCTCGTACCACGACGTACTGATGGACTTCCCGTTCAAGAACGACGAGACGGCTTTGAGGCATATGGAGCATGCCGAGCTGATCGCTATTGGCACGGAGAATGGTCAGTTGTGATATCGGCTGGGGTCGTTTCTGGTGTTGACGACACCCCTTAGCTCGGCCATCCACTATCAAACCAGGTAAGCCGGTATACAAGTATGTCTTCGAGCGACTCGTGCAAGGTCAGTTTTCTCAATAGCCACTCAGAACGTGTGTTTACGAGTGTGATTGATCGCCTAGACCCCATCTTCCGTGCAACGCAAGATATCGCCTTCAACGAGCGAGTCATCGCTGCCTCAGAAAGCACCGTGAAGTCATGCGAGCAAGAGCTTCTGACGTTGAAGGACGTCGATGCTGGTACTGCAGACTGGATGGGCTCACGGACAGCTGTGCGCGACCGTATGAACTACCTGCTGAAGAAGATGCGGTTAGCGGGTGACAAGATCGAGATGCTCGAGAAGCAGAACGCCATCCTCCGGAAGGTGCTCTCCAAATGAGGTCTCCATTGTGCATTCCCTTGTTGTAATTATGTTACGTCGCTTTCGCAGTCCACACAGTTACCCCACCACTCTTTCCAATAACACAACATGGATGGTATTGCTATCGTTCAACATACGCCTACGCCAATATACTAACAGTGTGAAATATAATACGCAATGCAGACCGTCAGCCCTGTGGATATGTACCCTACCTATCTACCTATGAACATGTTGGATGTGCGAGCCTTCAGCCCTACCGAGATGTGAGTAATGCCAATGTTCTACCTACCTATAATGCGGATAATGCGATGCGATGATGTGTACGTATGGCCTTCAGCCTGTGACAATCGGATCCGACAGAGCAACTGACGAGCGAGAAAACGTTCCAGGGCACGGTCAAGCGAGAAAAAACATATGATGCGATGAGTTATTTGAGAGATGACGAGAGGTAGCACAGAGAGGACAATTGTGAGGACAAGATGAGAGAGTTGAGACGAGAAATGAGATGGTTAACGCTTTCCACCCCTACGAGTAGGCAATCTCTTCACAGGTCTTGCACCTGCGGGTGCAGGTGCTGACGCAGCTCCGACATTGAAGACTGCGCCACCAGGTGGCAAGGCCGATGTACCGCCGAACGGCGAGGCCGGAGAGGGTGCGGGTGCTTGTGCAGGCTGACCAAACTGGAAATGTGAACTTGTTCCCGACGATGACGGTAAGCCAGGGTTCGCCGTCGCTGGAGACGCAGGTTGGCTACCGAACCCGAAAGGATTCGACGGAGCTGTTGTGGATGTTGGCGTCACGCCGAACGAGAATGGGGCCGATGACCCGAAGGTGGAGGGACTGGGAGTGGTGGACGTCGCACCAGCTTGTCCAAATCCACCAGTACTACCGCCGGACGTCGATGGACCGAAGCCAAACGGCGCGGATGCACTCGGTGGGGCAGAGCTTTGTCCGAACCCATTCGAGCCGCCGAAAGCGCCAGGAGAGGCAGAAGGAGCGGGGACATCTGCAGGCTTCTGTCCGAAGAACCCGGATCCGCTCGGTTGACCAAAGCCAAAGCCAGACGAAGGTTTCGTCTCCTGCTTGTTCTCCGTCTTCGCGCCGCCAAAGATGCCCGGGCCACCCGACGAGCCACCGAATGCGAAGGGGCCAGAGGACGGGGCCTGCGCGCTCTGACCGAACGGCGAAGATCCACTCGTCGAGCCGAACGAGAACCCGGTCGTGAGCTTCAACGGCTCCTTCGCACCACCATGGCCGTTCATTTCCATGCCAGCTCCACGGACGGGGCTCTCATCCATATTCACTTCTTGCTCAACGCGAGGCGGAGTCGTCGGACGCGCCGGCGCAGCAGCAGCGACGCCAAATGCGAACGGCTTGCTTGAGACATCTGCACCATGACTACCACTCGTCGGACCACCGAATATCATCGACGGCTGCGGAGCAGAGGACGTGCCGCTCGCTGGTCCAAACGTGAACGCCGGCTTGTCCGTGGATGTAGCGGGCGGTGTGGCCGGCGACGAGCCGAAGGAGAAGGGCGACTTCGCAGGAGCAGCGGGCTCCGCTGGCGCAGCACTCGTTTGCGGTGGAGCACCAAACGAGAAACTACCAGACGAGCCACCAAAGAGGGGCTTTGGAGCCTGCACAGCTGGAGTTGCAGCGGGCTGGGAGGCTGCGGTGGGCTGGCCGAAGGGGAAGGACGACTTCGCCGGCTCGGTACTAGTGGATGCAGTGCCTCCAAATCCGCCGAACGAAGTCGACGAGCCGCCAAAGGGCGAGGGGTTCGGTCGTTCAAGCGCCGGAGTCGACGTCGCTTCGGGCGCTTTCGCCTGTTGCTCCTTGGGCTGACCGAAGGTGAGTACCGCTGGCTTCTCAATATTAGCAGGCGGACCCAACAGCGACGGCATGGATGCCTCCGCTGATTTCGCAGGAGCACCGAAGTTGAACGGGGTGGATGTGGCCGGCTTCTCCGCCGGCTTCGCGGGGGCACCGAAACCGAATGCCGACGAAGTAGTGGTAGTTGAAGCAGCCGCAGCAGTAGTGCTAGCTGGCTCAGCTGGCTTAGGCGGCGCAGAACCGAACAAGGCAGAGGGTTGTTGGACAGCCTTCGCTGGCGCACCGAAGATAAAGGATGTCCCGGAAGAACCGGGTTGCTCAGCAGACTTTGCAGGCGCAGCCCCGAAGATCGATGTAGAAGCAGCTACCCCGGAAGTCGATGGCACACTTGCTTCCGACGAAGCCTTTTGCGCTGATGTGGACGCCGTGCCCGAGGGGAGTTCCGTTGCACCGAACGGCGAAGGGAGCAAACCCGTGGCTGAGCCCGCCGCGCGAGCACCTACGTCCGTAGACGCAGCACCGAAGCCGAAGCCGAACGGAGACGACTTGGGAGCTTCCTTCTGCTCTGCACTCTTGGCCTCGCTTGTCGCGGTGGGCGCTGCCGTACTAGGGGCAGCAGCCGTGGTACCCGCTGGCGCAGTAGTGGTAGCGGTCGACGGAGAGCTACCAAAGAGCGACATACCCGCAGGCAGCGTGATCGGGGGCGCCGGCTTCGAAAGCATCGCCGAGTTCGCGAAGAAGTTGGGTATCCCTGCGGGCGCCTTCTCAGCCCCTGCTTTCTCGCCCGCTGAAACCGTTGATGAGGTTTGCGCTGGTGTGGTGGTCGGGCCAGGCGTAGGTGGTGTCAATTGCAGCACGGGCGTCGCTGGAGCAGTAGCAGTCGCAGGTGGAGCAGGTCCAGCTGCGCCCGTCGGGACCTGCGAAAACCCACTTGGTGGGACATTCGGGTGCTGTCCGACATCCTTGGGTACCTGCGGGACGGAGGGTGCACTCGCGGTGCTGGCCTGGAGCGAGTCCGAGCTAGGCTTGCTGAAAGAGAACGGCAGCGAGGCAATCGGGGGCTCCTTGGAAGTGCTCGCGTCGAGCTTGATCGGGGCGGTCTGCAAAGGGTTATGGCTGTGAGAACGCTTGTGAGACACTGTGGCACTTACGTCCTTAGAGAAGCTGAACCCGGCGGGAGCCTGGAAGAGAGAGGGTGGCTTGGGTGCCTCTGCCTGGCCGTGACCGTCCTCAGATGTGAGCATGGCATCATCGGCATCTTCTTCGTCAAAGGCAGAGAACCGGTTCTTGCCGAGCTGCGCGGACGGTGCATGGGATCGTGTGATCTTGTTGCGACCAACGCGCAGGGAGGAAGGTCTGCCTGCCTCAGGAGCAGGCGGGAATTCGGGAACAGTAAGACGGGAAAGATGGGGCACGTCGCGCGACTCTGGTGCCTTCTGTTGCGCAACCTTGCTTGGGCCCTCGTCCTGCTCATCTTCCATAGCGGACTCCTGGTCATTCTCGCGTTCCTCTCTCTCTTCCTGCTTCCTCCTCATCAACAGCTTCTTCATGCCGCCCTTTCCAGCGTACGGCTTCGCGCCCGGTTCCTCCTTCTCGGCAGAACCCAGACGCTTCTTCTTGTCGTGCTCGCCGGCCATGAGCACAGGAATGGGCATCTTTTTGGTCTTGAACATGTCGGGAATGCCTGGCGAGCCACGCAGGCGCGTGGGCAGGAGCGGTGTCTTGTACACGTCCAGGTCTTCCAGCGCCTTCTGCGCGGGGTTCTCGACGCGGGAGCGACCTGTTGGACAAAGTGAGATACAAATCCAACATGGTGGCTTGGACAATGACTGACCGCCGTCAAGGGAACCCGAGCGAGACATGAGCATGGAGCTGCTCTGCCCGAGTGACGAGCGACTCTGCGATACATCGCCGAAGGGCGACATGCGCCGTGTCCGCGGCTGGGCCTCAGCCAAGGACCCAAGGGTCAGCGTCGGCTCCATCGCGAGCATCTGCTGAGACTGCGACTGTGGCGGGGCCTTCACGAATACGGGCTTAGACCCCAAGGTCTCGATGGGTGGGGGCTCAGACGTCTCGCGGTCACGACGCAGGACGGAGGGACCGAACACCTGGCCAGACTGCTGGGGGGTCATCGAGGCGCGCGAGCGCACCTGAAACGGCGTGCGCGACGGCGTCATCGCCACGGAGGCGGCATCCATCGATACATCGCGCGAGAGTGCGCGGGGGCGGTATCCTGTTGGGGGGTCCATCGACATCGTTCGCAACATGCTGACCGGTTGCGCATAGGACGGGCCGGCGAGGGGGGAGAGGGAGTGGCGGTCAACGCGGACCGCGGGCTGGCGCGGGGGTATTGCGACCAGCGACGATGACCGCGTGTGGCCCATCGACAGACGAGGTGGGACATTGTGGTTGGCTATCAACTCCTGCGGAACATCGAGGTAGCCCGCAGTGGGCTGTACGTTCTGGAGGTGGTGCCGCTGCTGAGGCTCGGGCTCTGGACTGTGTACGCGCTGCCGCTTGGCCCGCGAATCGCCCTCTTCATGCTCCCGGACATCGCGGTCAGCGACTTCGTGGTTCCTGCGTCGTTTTCCGGGCGTGTCTTCAAAGTCCTCCGTGAGGTCCTCCGAGGACGTGAACCACGACAGCGGGGTCGCGATAAAACTTTTGAGCGATCCTAATAAGGAGGTTGAGCGGGCGGCGGGGCTCCTGCGGCCCCTGCGGCGTACATCGCGACGGTTTGCAGTCCTCGACGGCGTTCCTGGCAGCATGGGGGGAAGTGGGTGGTGTGGCCTGCTCGAAGCCCGCGGCGGCGCGATGAAGAGGCGTAAGCGTGACAATAAGAACAAGGCGCGCCGCTTCAGCCCACAATAGCCGCCACACAAGCCGTCACTATGGCCAGTCACGCCATGACTACAAGGCGCGTCTCCTCTTGTGATCTTTGGTATAGCCTGTCACACGGTCTGTGGCCGCCCGCGTCACGCCCCGGGGCGTCTCACTCCTGCTCCCACCTCGGGGCTGCCGCTGCCACGAAATATTCCAACTGCCGGGTCTCAACGTCATGCCATAGCTCAATTCACTCCATAGTCCCAAAAATCAGAAAGTCCAACCGCGGGACTTTCTCAAGCATCGACAAGTGTTTCCGGCGATTTCAAGCGGAGATGCACGATGCTGATTGCAACCATATGGCCACACTTGCCAGTCCTGGGTCCAATCGCAGGTCGCGGGCAGCAGCGCTGCAGCGAGCATTGCAATGGCAGGTCGAAGACACTGGCTACATAGTCTGGCCTTGGTCTGGGCTTCCATCATTGTGATAGACATAACAACCTCGCGCTCGAAGAATTGCAGTCACACTGCAGGAAATCATACGTGAACAGCTACTCACTTAGTCTTCCTGTTGGCATACACGCATGCGGTCCCAACGTGTATCACCCTAAGCGATGCGTGAGTGTCTTTGTCCTTGCTCACGATGTGTCCCAAGCCTGACAGGAAGGTACTGATTTGTTCGTTATTTATAACATTGAACAGATTCTGAACAATACCAATACTTAGTTGGAAGTAGTGCGAACGTTGCGTTGCCATGGGGTGATACCTGTTTGGTGTACTGGCGGTCTTCGACTTCGGAAAAGGTTGTGGCGCTTTTGCTTGCTTGAACTTCGAGAAGTCTTGAGCGCAACCTGGACTGCCTCAGGCTAGAAGGGACCTGCATGTGTTCATGGTACAGCTAGGGCGTGAAAGTATCATGCGAGCATTGCCTCGACCCCCAGGTTTCCCCAAAGGACCCGCCTGTGCGAGCTGTGCAGGCAATGCCGTGCACTGGAGACTAAGACAGAACAGTATGGCGGCCTTCAAACATAAGTAACGGGTTCCCACGCACAGACCGCTTGCTTAGGTAACAGAGGGGGTTGCTGTGTATGGCAGTGTGGTTGAACTCGAAACTTCAAAGACCGCTGGAAAGCCCGCTTGCTATCAACGCCCTGCAACGTCTCCTCGCTGCTCCAGCTACCGCAACCGCCGTCCGCGTCGTCCACCTCAGCCGTCCCTCCATCCTCGCTCGCCCGTCCTTTTTCCAGTCATGTCCGAAATTCGTAGGAAGCTTGTCATTGTGGGTGATGGTGCCTGCGGAAAGGTCAGTGTCGTTGTCGTCGCGTAGTCGTACCACCCCTTTGCTGACCCAAGCAACCGTCTTTTCCAGACCTGTTTGCTTATTGTCTTCTCGAAAGGGACGTTCCCAGAGGTTCGTAGCACTTTCTCCGTGGGGATTGCTCGCGGTCCCGAGTCGTACCATGCCTGTTGCTCGTGTGCTAATGTCGGCGCTTACCTGTACTAGGTCTACGTGCCCACCGTCTTCGAGAACTACGTTGCCGATGTGGAGGTCGATGGAAAACACGTCGAGCTCGCGTTGTGGGATACGGCGGGCCAGGAGGATTATGATCGTCTCAGGCCGCTCAGCTATCCCGACTCCCACGTCATCCTCATCTGTTTCGCTGTAGACTCACCTGACTCGCTGGACAACGTGCAGGAGAAGGTGCGTCTTGCACCCAACACATTCATGACAACTTGACCGACCCATGATGCATCTACAGTGGATTTCCGAGGTTATGCACTTCTGTGCTGGCCTCCCCATCATTCTCGTCGGCTGCAAGAAGGATCTGCGACGTGACCCGCGAGTCATTGAGGAACTCAGGAAGACGAATCAGCGGCCTGTTACTCCCGAGGAGGTGTGTTACCCGTTCATTGCCTTCGCTTCTCCACTCGGACGGGCTGCGCGTCGCCGGCGGCTTCGAGTTGCCACCCACGTGCCTGTGCAGTAGCGCTCCGGGATGGGATGCCTCTCGCATTTGTCTTCCTGTATCTGACAACATGTTATTCTAGGGTATGGCGGTGCAGCAGAAGATTGGTGCCAAGCACTATCTGGAATGCTCAGCGAAGACTGGCGAGGGTGTCCGCGAGGTGTTCCAGTACGCCACCCGTGCTGCGCTTCTGAGCCGGCCCAAGGGCAGCAAGAAGCACCACTGCGTCGTTCTCTAAACTGCGCGCGGACACTTCACTTACTGCTTGCTCCGGGCTGGTCGAGTACGGGCTGAGCGAGCTTGTCATTCTTCATACCCCTCGTGCCGTTCATGACTACTACTATCTTCTGCAATGACTGTCATACACCTCATCTTTCCGCGTATTACATTGGTTTTCGGTCACACCGTTTGCCTGGCGGCTGCTGTCATCCGATCCTGTTGCCCCTCAACGACCTTCAATTACGGTTTCCTCTTTTCTCATCATCATCTGTTCGCATGTAAGTAACGAGCGCGGCCATTTATGAGTCTTCGTAATATGGAGGGACGGTCTGTCATTGCATGCGTGGGCGTGATCTGTGAGCGTTCTCTTCACGACTCGTCGAGATGGTGAGGCTGAGTACGAGGGTGCCTTCGCAGAACTGGGCGCCGCACAACGTGGGTGCCATGACTCTCACTCTCAGACGTTTGACAGATGGAAGACTCGACATGTCTTCGTTGCTGCGCTTACTGACCCATTACAGACTTTGTGGAACCACAGCGTCTCATGCATGTGCTCCCGGTATCGCTCATCTTGCAAGTTCCCTAGTCATCTGGTCATGAGCCGATCGGTGAGTTTCAAACAGCATCCTGATATTCAGGTTAGGTCCTGATTCTGTTTCGACCACTTAGTACTGTAAGCACTGTATACATTCCACTGGTGCGTCTTTTGTAGTGATGAAGTGGCTCACGATACGCAGGCAGGCTAGATAGGTTCATACATTGCGTCCGGTGGTCTTTCAAGCATGGCCCCCATCGTATCGTCCGGGGCTCGATAGGCTTTCGTCTGCTTCGACGGAACGGGCTTCCTTTAGAACCCGAAGCCTTCCTTATATGCGTTGCGTTGAAATTCTTCCGTCTCACGGCTACGTATCATGGCTCTGGTTCATCCAATACTCCTCCGTGGAGCGCGAGGTACGATCATGGTTCTCAGGACATGGCAGCGAGGCATGTCCTCGCTCGCTGCGAAAAATAGAGTGCCGTATAGGACGTGCCCGATATGCTTCTCCGAGTCAGTGGCTCCCTTGAGCCGAAGAAGCTGAAACGCCTATAGTGGCCGCAGTGTGATGCGACAGGAGGTTTTCGCAATGACCGGTGAGTGTCGGGCTTCGGGTGTGCAGGTTTACAAGACAGATTCATGTTGATATAAGTGTGTTTCAGGTCTGTCAGAGAAAACAGCGACGATGCTTCGTCGCTCCACGGATATCCCGTACCGTTGGCCAAGGACTCCAGCCCTCCAGAGCTTCTCGGGACTGTATCTCCCTATCAATGCACGAAAGGCGATAAGAACCCTATTGCTTACCTATTCAGCTCCGCAAGAGAGTCATAAGCTAAGTACCTCTTCTCGATCGCGGCGAGCCCGCTTTCCCGCGACGCAAGTCTCCATCCAAGCCGCTACGATGTCCTCCACAGAAGGCGCGCAAGTACTCTCGCAGGGCGTCGGCTATGGCGTTGTGCTCGGGATCGGCTTCGTCTTCGCCATCCTCATGATGGGCCTGTCGACCCTCCAGAACAGGTACACGACGTTCAAGACCGGCACGTCCGAGGAGTTCAACACCGCATCGCGCTCGGTCAAGCCCGGGCTCATCGCGTCGGGCATCGTCTCTGCGTGGACCTGGGCCGCCACGCTACTGCAGAGCTCGACGGTAACGTATGAGTACGGGCTGTGCGGGGGCTACTACTACGCCGCGGGCGCGACGCTGCAGATATTTCTCATGGCGGTCCTCGCCGTCCGCGTCAAGATGATCGCGCCGTACTGCCACACCTACCTCGAGATCGTGCAGGCCCGCTACGGCAACACCCCGCATTTCATCTTTGTCACGTATGGCCTCGTGACGAACCTCATCGTGTCGAGCATGCTGCTACTCGGAGGGAGCGCCGTTGTGAACGCGTTCACCGGCATGAACATCTACGCCGCGAACTTCCTCATCCCGATCGGTGTCATGGTCTATGTCATCCTCGGTGGACTTCGCGCGACATTCCTCTGTAAGTTGTCCGGGCTTTTGATGTCCTGATATTGTTGCTCACACGACCGAGAATAGGTGACTACAGCCACACCTTAATCCTTATGATTATCATATTGTACTTCTATTTCTATACCTACACCGAGGCCGAGTTGATCGGCGGCTTCGAAGGCATGTATCAGAAGTTACAGCAAGCTGCCATCGAGAGGCCAGTTTCTGGTAACGCAGGGGGATCTTACATGACCTTGAAATCGAACTGTACGTGATCAGTCATTCGTGCTTGTGTCGTACACGCTCTGAAAATACTTTGTTTAGACGGGCTCGTGTTCATGATTATTCAAATATTCGGCGGTCTTGGTACGGTCATGTTAGACCAAGTGAGTACTTGGAATTGTTGCCCGCGCTACGGTCAATTCTGAGTGTCATTTCTCTAGGGCTATTGGCAGCGCGCAATCGCGTCCAAAGCCAAGACAGCTGTTCGCGCTTACCTGCTGGGTGGCGTGGCATGGTTCGCCGTGCCTCTGACATTCTCTTCGGTTATGGGTCTCGCAGCAGTCGCGCTGGCCAACAGTACGTCTCTCCGTCAGCTTCCTGCGTGCTATGCTCACAAAGCTTCGACTTCTAGATCCGGCCTTCCCGTACCATGGAGGCCTATCCTCTGGAGAGATTGATGCTGGACTCGCAGCACCAGCTGGCGTGGTCGCATTGCTAGGGAAAGGTGGCGCGGTCGCAATGGTATGAGTTGTTCTCCTTGCACGGAGAACGTTACTCAGAGACGCATCCAGTTGATCCTACTATTTATGGCTGTGACGTCGGCGGCGTCGTCTGAAATGATTGCGACGTCTTCTATCCTGACCTTCGATCTGTACCAGATCCATTTCAAGCCAGACGTATGTGTTGTTCTCTAGCCTCGTCCAACATCGACTGATCCTCCACACAGGCATCCCCCGAGGCCCTCATCCGTGTCTCACATATCATGGTCGGCGTATGGGCTATCGTGATGTCCTGCGTTGCTTGTCTCTGGAACGGCATCGGCGTCTCGCTGAACTGGCTCTTCCTATTTTCCGGAACACTTTATACGTCCGCCGTCGGGCCCATCGTCATGAGCGTGCTCTGGCGCAAGCAGACGCGCTTGGCTGTAATATGCGGTGCACTGGGGGGCACGTGTATCGGAGTGATTTGCTGGCTGGTTGTAGCAAAGGTGTACTATGGTGCGCTAACGGTAGAGACAACCGGTACGTCTCTGCCCTGAGGATAACACAGGGTCTTTGACACGTTCTCGCTGCACAGGAAACATGTACCCTAACCTCGCTGGCAACATGGGCTCGTGCTGCTCTGGCGCGCTCATCTCCATCATCGTCACGCTCATCAAGCCTGACAATGACTTTGACTGGTCGGAGACGAAGAAGATCAACCCGCGTGGCCGTGCAATCGACGAGCAGCTCAAGCAAGGACTGAACCCGACTAAAGACGGCCTGTCGAAGGACAATGCCAACAGCGACACTGCCACCGCAGCTGGTTCAGAGAAGGGAGAGAAGTCGGATGCGATGATCAGAACCAACTCGGTAGACGATGACAACGAGGACCAGAGCCTCACTGTCCCCGAAGAGAGACGCCCGGAAGACTACGAGACACTCAAGAAGTCTTTGCGAGCTGCGACTTGGGCGTCGATCATAATGAGCTTCATTATCGTCTTCGTACGTGGCCCTTCTTGAAGTTCACCGCCAATACCTGACACTTATCATTCATTTTCACTTAGCTTATCCCTATTCCGATGTTCCTCTCGCACTACGTGTTCTCTGTCGCATTCTTCAAGGCGTGGGTGATCATTTGCGTCATCTGGCTATTTGTCGCCGCGTTCATTACCTCTGTCCTGCCTCTTTATGAGAGTAGACAGGCAATGATGGACATCTCGCGCGGTGTCGTGCGGGACGCGTTCGGCGGTGGGCTGAGGAAGAAGGAGGTTGTGACAGACTCGAGTGCGTGATCGCGTCGACAACAGAATTTGACGAGATGTATGTAGTGTTAGTGTCATAGAGTGTCCAAGATTCACAGTGTTGTAGAACTACCAGATTACGAAGCGGCTACGCGATATTACCAGCCAAACATGCGGTGCGCTAGCAGTGAGGGCCAATCGCCATGTCCAAATTTGAATCTCCTGATGTACATGTGTTACGGGCGCCAAACTACTGCGCTCGCCGCAGGCTGTGCGACCGCGACCTGCCATCGGACACGTCTTCAATTGACTCCCTCCTGTGAATACCCACACTCACGCTCAACCGGAACGTTCATCTGTGCTTTGGTCTTCTCGACGAGTGCTCTGACGGCGACCGCTTTTTTGCGCGCTCACAATCGGTAACTTGGGCTTTGTCTGGCAATTAGACCAACTCTTTCCACGGATTGGACCTTGTGAGTCTGACTTCCACGCGGTGATTTGTTTGCCATTGTTCCCCCATGTATGTAGATCAGCTCTCGCAGCGACGCGCATGTTGAACCCCCGTTTAATTGCCATGCACCTCAGCTCCTAGTAGTGAACACCGGTGATCTGAATATCTGCAGCAAACATATCGTAGTGTGGTGAGAAATTGTGGCACTTCTGACGTCGGTTTCACGGACTCATCACCATTCACTAGGCTCCTACCAGTGGGCGCAATCGACATATAAACCGGGATTCGATCTGTTTTTGAGCAAGGCAAGTCCAAATCAGAGCGGGGCTATGGACGCTCGGACTCTCGTCACAATAATCCCCACCACCATGCTGACTTGGATCTTGGTTGCAGTGCTGGCGGCCTTCGATGCCTGAATACGATAGTGTTCGCGATGACATATTGCTCATGCTTCCTGAAGACGATCGCGCACAGCTGCAAGGTTGTGCCAATCATCAAGTCCGTGATTGGATAACCGCGAGATACCTCGCCGTTCAACGCTACTCGTCGATTCTGCAAACCGTTCTCAATGCAACCCTTGCTGTGAACTCGTTGCCGAACGAGATTTTCGTCGACATCCTGGGTTTGGCCAGCCCGGAGCAAGACTATCGCAACACATGGATCACGAAGGCTACGGGAGTGTGTCGCTTCTGGAGAGACACCATAATCAACACACCGCTCTTATGGACCACAATCGACCTGACGGCGAAAACACACTTCGTAGAGCTATGCCTCGCTCGCGCCAATGGCGCAGACATCAGCATACGTCTACCTGGTCCATTCGGGGTCTACTCAAAGAGAAATGTCAACGTGGACTTCCCCGAGATCGCCCCTCTGCTTATTCCATGGAGTTCGCGGATCAAGCGCATTGACCTCTATATTGACGAGGCCTCAAGCAATGACGTACCGACGAATTCGCTCTGGCAACTAATGGATGTTCCACTGCCTGCGCTCACCTCGCTGGCCCTGGACTCGAACAGATTACAATGGGCGCCGAGTCCTCTCCCTAATCTCCGGCACCTGTCCTTGTCTACCGTCACACCAGACTGGACGAGACTACCATTGTCGCAGTTAACATCCTTAACGCTTTCCGAACTTCCATTTGTCGAGCATGCCCCATTCGCATCCGTCTTGAGTGTACTAGAAGCATGTCGCTCCCTGGAGTTCTTCAGATTCGAGGGCTTCAAAGTGAACCTCCAGGCACCATATCCGAGTCGTACCTTATCACTGCCTCGGATTCGGCACGTCTATCTCCGAGGAATGCCGCTGAGTACTGCAATCCTACTCGCCCAGCTCTCGCTATCACAGGACGCTCGTCTCTGGCTTGAGCCTTACCACTACTACGAAGAGACCACACGTGTACTCGACGTTATACTGCCCAAGGACACGAAGAACCTACCCACCGTCGGCAAAGCGCAGCATCTGATGGTATTGATCTACGCGGACGCGCCCGACGAACCCCCCGAACTCATCGTATATGCCGACGTAGATCGTACGGACTTCTGGACGTCGAAGCCCTGGAGGTCTTGGTCTTACGAGTTACCCTGGGACTTTCCAATTGGGGGACCTTTCGAGGTGGTACCATCCTTCTTTGTGAGGCATACAGTGCATTCATGGCACGGAAATGCTCAGTGGAACGGACTCCGATTCATCATGCAAGAACTCGGTGATTTCTTCACCGCCACTGTGGAGACCCTCGTCCTACGCGGAATCACAAGTCTCGTCGACGTGCAAACATGGGCACAAACGATGGCGGCCTTCCCAAACCTCAAGGAGCTCGAGATCATTGGGCAAGACTGCGATATGCATAACTTCCCTGCCGCACTGGAACCGACGTCATCCGGGATTCCCTGTGCGCAGCTGCGCGACGTTGTTCTGTTATATCGGCCGAGGAAAAGGTCTGGGAGCCTCAGAATGTTGCAAGGACTTCGCACGGCGCTGCAGATGCGCCTAGAAGTGAAGGGCGGGTCGCGCCTGCGATCTCTCAGCCTCCTCCTGGTCACGGAAAGGAACGACAGGGTTTTCCCGCCCGCGTTTGTCATGGAGCAACTACCGGCTGTGTTCAGGGAGACGCTGGATGGCTTGAAGTCGGTGGTGGAATCGTTTGTGTTCAGACCCAACACTGGTGAAGGGGATGTCCAGGGGGAAGAAGGGCACGAACGTAGTATAGAAGGTGAGGCCATAGAGGAAGATACATGTGACTGGGAATTTTGGTAATGCACCGAAGAGAACGGAGGAGGGGAGGAGGAAGCCTGAAACCGTGGCCACATTATGATACTAAATGTGAGATACACGGCGGTCTTCTAGATGTATTGTGTTGCTGGAATTCAATACTCTTACCCATCATCTTAATGTGACGGCATGTGTACAACAATATATGTACCATGGCTCGGAAACGCAATCATCTCGAGTCGAATTCGACTAGCCACAGAGAGTCGGAGCCACACGCGGTTGTTCGAGCCACCGACGCGTTTGGTTCAAATTGCGCGGCCCTGCGCTCCTCCTACTACTTCGCACTCTACGCTCACTGCCGTCACTCGCTGGTAGCCTCCTACACAAACTCGGTCACGCGTCCGCAGCAGTCTACTGTACATTTCTGTGGCTTTCGGGCTTGTGGCACCGGCACACTTATATTCGCTGCCGCGCTGGTGGTAGTTCAAGGCAGGCTAGGCTACGGTGAGTGAGTTGTGATGTCTTCAAGCGGTTCATTCACACACTCATCCAGGTTGTACGCTGGATACAGTGTAGACATTGTGCTAGGAGTCCTCTCTCCATAGTCACCACGTTTTGGTTTGTCATCCTTGCGACCTTCAGCCTGTGACGTCTATTGACTGAGGACTCAGAGCAGTCCGCGATGCCAGGATTTGACAGTCTTTGCGATGACGTCTTGCTTGTGCTACCGGAGCACGATCGCGCGCAGCTGCAGGGTCATACTACTCAGCAGGCTCGTGCTTGGCTAGCCGCCAAGACGCGCGACGTGCAACGCTACCTGTCGGACCTACAAACTGCCTACAACTCGACGCTCACCGTGAATGCGCTACCGAACGAGATATTCGTCGAGATCCTGCGGCTCGCCTCCGCGTCAGATCATCGCAACGCATGGACAGCCAAGAGCATGGGTGTATGTCGCTACTGGAGAGACGTTATCGAGGATACGCCCATACTCTGGACCACCATCGATCTATCGGCGAGACTACAGTTCTTAGAGCTCTGCCTCATGCGGTCAAATGGGGTCGGGCTTAGCATCTATCTCCCAAAGGATGCCCGAATGCGGAGGAGGGCTCGCAAGCAGGCCAGGATCGATTTCTCCACGGTGGCACCCCTTCTAGTCGCACACTATCCACGAATGAGGAGTATCGATCTCCACATTGACGAGAAAAACAGCATGCAGAGTGAATTACTCTGGCGGCTGCTGGACGCCCCACTACCCGCTCTGGTCTCCTTGGCACTGGTTAACGACGGTTCGCTGCGATGGATGCCGAAACCCTTCCCAGGTCTCCGAAGTCTGTCATTGACCTCGATCACCGTGCCCGACTGGTCGAGACTGCCAATCTCGCAGCTGACTTCTATATGGCTTTGCGCCGTTGACTTTCCCAAAGATGGATGCTTTGCATCCCTTCTGGAACTACTGAAAGCGTGCATCTCTCTAGAGTGCTTCGGATACGATGGCCTTGAACTCGAACACCTCAATGGATTGGAACCCCGCTGCACCCTGCAATTGCCGCGGTTGCTGCGCTTTCACCTCTCGGGAACGCAGGCAGCCATTTTGAGCTTGCTCGCGCAGGTCTCCCTGCCACAGCACGCATGTGTGTCCCTCTGTCCAGGCGCGAGCGACTCATGGGAACCACGTAGAGGGGTGCTCGATACTTTCCTGCCCAGGGATATGACTCAGTGTCTGCCTGCTCTCTGCGAGGCACGGCACGTCTTGGCGTGGCTGGAAACAGACGAGGAGGATCCCGACGTTGAGCTCACCATCTACGCAGATGTGGAACGCACGGAATTCTGGGAATCGCGGCGCTGGAGGGATCCTAATTTCCACGTGCGGTTGAACGTCTGGTCCCGACCCAGAGATCCTTCAATGCCGTCCTTATACATAGCACACGTAGCGTCAGATTGGTTGGAACTAGAGCAAGGATTTGAGGCAGGGCTTTCATACATTACACGCGACCTTTGCCGCTTCTTACCCGCATCCGTGGAGACCCTCATACTGCGCGGGATCACGAATCGCGTCGACGTGAAGACCTGGACGCGCATGATGTCTTGCTTTCCGAATATCAAGCAACTCGAAATCATGGGACAGTCCTGCGACATACTCTGTTTCCCTCGTGCACTACGACCGACTCGGTCTAGGATACCCTGCAGACACCTGCGCGAGTTGGTCCTGCGGTATCGGCCGAGGAAACAAGGCGGGAGCCTGGAGATGCTAGAGGAGCTTCGCGTAGCGCTGGAAAAACGCATGAAGGATGGCTCACGCCTAGAATCCCTCACCCTACTAGTTCAATCCACGAAAAGCGATAAACGTTTCCCGCCCAAGTTCGTTGTCGATCAATTACCGGTGGACGTCCAAGAGCGGCTGCTCGATCTGAAACCCATGGCAGGGTCAATGGTGGTTCGGTGGATTGCATGCCATGATGACGAGCACCAGTATGACTACAACAATGATGACTACGACGGTCCAGAGGACGAGGATGAGGACGAGGAGGGAGACGACTGCGACGATGGTGAGGAAGAAGAACAAGTAGGGGAGCACCTACTAAGGTTCGATCTGATGACACAACGCATCTGACTTATGCCACTGTAGTACTAGCCTGAGGCCTGAGGCTCGATATTTGTGACACTGCTCGTAATAATGAGAACTGCCACCGCCGTATGAATGTCTATACACTGGCATGTATCATACCTGGAATGTACTACTTACGCGCTGCTTAGCGCTCAGTTACTACTTCGCCGGATTTGGAAAGTTGCCAACTCAGCTGCTTCCGCCACCGACGTGGTTGCAACTTGTTCCAAGCCTGGGCCTCTACGTGAACTCAGTGCGTGCTAGCTGGCACAACTAGTTCGTAAAATTAGTCTTCTACTGGCCGCGGCTCTGCCATTTTGTAATCCGGTCGTAACCGAACTCGGACTGCCGTTTCGGCGCTCAGCGCTCAGGCTTCAGGCTCGTAGCAAATTGAGTGCATACAGTATAACACGGCCTCAGGTGAGCTGTAACTTGATTGAGGGGTTCACTTCTCAAGCTTACCATTGTATGTCACCGGCGACACAGACACTGGCACATCAACTAGGAGCTCGTTCGCATCATCGTCACTGGTTATAATTTTCCAAGGTACGTCAACTCGCAAGTTGGTGCGACACTCTGGAGTCGTTACTAGATGCTGCCTAGAATAGGTGGCAGTCCTCGATGCTGGGTCACAATACCGTCCGCGATGACGTGTTGGTCATGCTCCTGGAAGACGATCGCACGCAGTTGGAAGGATGCGCGGCTCAGGAGGCCCGTGACCGGATAACCTACAAGATGCGCATCGTGCAACGCTACCTGTCGGACCTACGAACAGAATACAACTCGACGCTTGCCGTGAACGCGCTGCCGACCGAGATCCTCGTTGAGATCCTGAAACTTGCCTCCATATCCGATTATTGCCGTCCCCGGGCCAGTGCGCGGAAAATGGACGTATGCCGCCACTGGCGAGATGTCATCAAGGATACACCTGTCCTATGGACAGAAATCCGTCTGTTCGAGGGACGGAAATGCTTAGACCTCTGTCTCCTTCGTTCAAAGGGGGCAGGCCTCAGCATATCTCTTCCAGAGCATACAGACTTAGCGGAACGTCTAAGCCAGCCGGCGGGTGCCAGGGTCGATTTCTCGACGATTATACCCCTTCTTATTCCCCATCACTTGCGGATCAAGAGCATCAATATCTATCTCAGGGAGGGGCCGCGTGAAATCCACACCGACTCATTCTGGCAACTACTGGACGTCTCACTGCCTGCGCTGGTCGTCCTGGCGCTCGGCGTCGAACACGGAAGCTCGTTGAAATGGACGCCAAATCATCTCCCAAGTCTGCAAAGCTTGTCGCTTACTTCCGTCACGCCCGACTGGACGAAACTGCCATTTTCGCAGTTAACATCGTTACGGCTTTCTTACATCCGGTTTCCCAATGGCAGTCGCTTCGCATCTCTTCTGGATCTGCTCGAAGCGTGTGTTTCCTTGGAGGTCGTCGCATACGACGGCTTGAGGGATCGCTCCACACCACACGTAGCAACCCACATCGTGCCACTGCCGCGCATGCGCTCCTTCCACTTAACAGGAACGCACGCGGGTATATCGGGTTTGCTCGCGCGGATCTCACTGCCTCGTCACGCCCACCTATCCCTGTTGCCAAGTCAATTCTTCGGCGCTCAGGGTTCGCTCAGAACTGTGCTCAATAACTCCCTACCAAGGGACACGAGGCACCTACCTGCTGTCCACGAGGCACGACACGTCTTGGTGTGGCTGGACACGTATGAGGAAGCTTTCGATGTTGATCTCACCATATACGCGGACGTGGAGCGTACGGAGTTCTGGGAGTCGCAGCCCTGGCAGAGTCCCCACTACGAAATACGTGGAATCCACCACACAGTACGTGGAAATGCTCCACCGGACGACCTTTCTATGCCATCCCTGCGCGTTGCATTCAGAATATCGCAGTGGGAGGACAACTCGCCCGAGAGAGGACTGCAGCGTGTCGTACGCGACCTCAGCAGTCTCTTTCCCGCATCTGTAGAGACCCTCGTATTACGGGGCCTCACGAATCGCGTCGACGTGGAGACCTGGAGGCGCATGATGGCCTCCTTCCCGAATATCAGACAACTCCAGATCATCGGGCATGCTTGCGACATCAGGAAAGCGACTTTCGCGTCTAACTTGTCTAATCCAGGCATTTAGGTGATTAGACTCGTTAGACTGGGTGTCTGGGTTAAGTAGATCCATTTCTAAGATTAGACACCAATTAGACACTTGTGAGATCGTTAGGCCATTAGGCTGAGAGGCCTGTAGATGTACCAGAGCTCGGTTAAATCACTCAAGCAATCAGGTATAAGCAACAGAAATATATTCCTTTCAAACTATACAAACATAAAGTACGGTAATGATCCCTGCTAATAGTGCTAATGAGCCTCGAGCGTATGTTCGCGAGCTCCATAAAGAGCACCGCTGTCCACGCCGCACTCTTTGTGCTTGAGAACCCACGTTGACCCGCAAGCGACTCGTTCGCGTACTTCAATCACGGCCGTGTTTGATTGTACACGAAGACGTGGCCCTGCTGCTTCCTATGTAAGAACCAAATAATCTTCGGACAATCTGTGAATACTCACCGCACTGGCATAGGACACGATGGTGTGCGACCTCGGTGTAGCCTGGGATCTTAGACAGGAAGCTCTGAGTGTCGACGACGTGCTAGTAGAGCTCCTTCAACTTCACCATGCTCATCTTGGCGAGTGTGCGAAGAATAGCATTGCGGAATGTGTCCAGCAGCGATTTGCCGTACAGCTGTCATTGCATCAGCTAAAGGTCAAGATTCAGGAGAAGGTGACGCACGTAAGTGGGCCTGTCCACGATTACCACCGACGACCGTTGTGTTCGTAGTCAGGTCGCGGTATGGACCAAGCGTTGACCTGAGTCAACGTCGTTATGATTATCGCAGCCGAGCCATTCGAGGGCACGGAGAAAACACATACCTCATCCCTCCCATGACGGGCTTCTGTGCCTAACGTCGTAATCCGGTTCACTTTCGATCTCAATGCAAGGGACAACTGGTGCTCCATGAGGAACGTCACCTTCCAAATGTGCTGACGTTGCTCGCGCTACGGCCTACGACGCTGTGGCTGCCATTGTTGATGAAAAGGTCGGCCTGGGTGCATCCGACAACCTCGTAGATATTGAGCAAGTGAACCGGTAAAGCCGCAATGCAGGCTGCGAGGGTGATGTGGAAAGTCGCCCGCCGTTGTGAGGGAGAAGAAGGGAGAAGTGCCAGCAACGCAGGCCAGTGCAGGCCACACGTACCATGTGACTCAAAGCGGAGTTGCAATTCGCTTTAGGGCAGACGCGCGGCGGCCTTGCGCGAGTTTGCGCAACGCGCAACAGCACCGTCTCCAAAGCTAGTCTCAACGTTCAACAACGATGTAAAGTAAGTAGCTTCTTCCTTCTCCTCGCAGCCGTGGATGCACTCAGCGCTCACGTCGTCAGTGCCTACACGTCGCTCATCTGTGCTCGCTTCGCAGCTGTGCAACAACCCTTCCCCGTAGTACTACCCTCGAGCCCGTCGAGAAGGTCCTCCGTGACTCCAAGGTTGACAAGAGCCAAACCCACGCGGTCGTCCTCGTCGGCGGTTCGACTCGCATCCCGCCGCGCGGCCCAGGACTTGCACAACGCGCGTGCAAGTCCAGCGCCGAGCAATCAGACCACGCTGAACATGAAGAACGCGGGGCAAGGAGGAGCCATGCAGAACGCGAGGAATTCCCGGCGAGGAGGATGCGAGGAGACCACGAAGAGGAAGGAGGAGGCAGGATACGGGGTTTACAGGCAGAACGAGCACATAGGCTCAATACCTAAAGGTACGCCGTCGCCGGCTACCGCGTTTCTGTGACTGCGCTCACCGTGCACGCACGGCGCGTCGTCCGCCCCATCCCCATCCCAATCACTGCGGTGTTGGCATTCCCGCCCCGCCGTGCTATCGTGCCCCGCCGTATCACCGTCCCCTGCCCCGCCGCGGTCTCCTGCGTAGACGAGAGGTACGTCTCTCTACTCTCTTCCGCGCCGCCTTCAAGTTCTTGCGCCCGGTGGCGCCCCTCCCTCCACCATATCCTCGACACACTACTTTCCGCCGCGCACTCGCCCTTGCCGCCGTCGCCGTCGCCGTCTTTGCCGCGCCCTCGCTTCATATGCCGTCGCTACGCCCTTTCCGCTGCCGCCATGCCCTTTCTGCTGCCGCCATGCCCTTTCTGCTGCCGCCATGCCCTTTCTGCTGCCGCCATGCCCTTTCTGCTGCCGCCATGCCCTTTCTGCTGCCGCCATGCCCTTTCTGCTGCCGCCACGCGTCACATTGTCGCCATGTCCACGCCGTCGCTTGCGTAGGCATGCTCGCCCGCTTGTCAGTGCCCGTCCTGGCCCACTTCACCAACTTGCTCGCTCTTTGCTTGTTCGCCTGCCTGTCGAGGTCATGTGTAAATGCATGCCTATTTAATTCTATAGACCTCGTCAATAGAAGTGTTTGTAGCTGGAGCACGTGTCAAATCGTGCAGTAGCACGATACTCGCCTCGCACTCCTACGCTATCTGCAACAGCTTGTTACTGTACAATTATGTATTTATGTAATATATACACATGGATGGCTGCTCGACTGAAGGTATGTAGCCGGCTGCAGAGGCCGAAATCTGTTAGACAGTGAGGTGAATTAGGCATCAGTTAGGTGAGTTAGACAGGTTAGGGCAAGTTAGAGGCCGTGACGCTTTCCTGATGGACATGCATACCTTACCTTGCGCACTCGAGCCGACGTCATCGGGGACGCCCTGCCCACATTTGCGCAAGCTCACTCTGCAGTATCGGCAAAGCAGAACAGGTAGCAAAGAGATGCTCGATAGTCTTTGTGCAGTGCTGCAGAAGCGCATCGAAGACGGGTCGGCATTAGAGTCACTCAGCCTCCTGGTACACCCCGCTAAAGGCACGATCGCTCATCGCCCGCGCAATCTCGACATTATGAAACGTTTGGAAGCCATGGTCGGATCAATGCTGGTTAAGTGGATGGCCCGCGAATCTGATGACTCGCTGGATGACTGGATCGAGAGGGAAGAAGAGGAAGACGATGATTATTCTGATCTGGACGAGGACGGGGAAGTCTAGCCAGAGGGTTCAGACTCAATAGCAATCTTCATGCGACACAGATACAGCTGTCTCCCGAACATGTGTGTACCGCACAGGCGAATGTCCATAGATTTGAACGAACTTACGGGTCCGACTTACAACTTACACCAGTGGCGTAAGTGGTGCGTGAAGATGAGAGGAGCTCAGAAGATGAGGAGTGGTGACACGAAAGGATTGTCTACCTAGACGGATCTAGCGGGGGTACCCTAGTCGGTTTCACAACCCTCGCAACCCTTGCGACGTATATGTAGGCCGTACGTCGTTCCTGAAGATGCATGATGATCAATTATCTATGGGCCACAGGCTGTTATCAGTATAACGACCAGTCATTCGTGGAATTTTTTTCTAGAACTCCCCGACCAATGACAGCCTATGCAATGCGACTTTGACTCGCTCGACGTACAATCCACAAATAAGGGAGCAATGCGCATTGCAACTCTATCGTACAAATCCAAGAACCCCAAAACACGTGCGAAGGGCAGGACAAAAAGCAAAGGTACTACAATACACCGAACACAGATATAGCGATTACAAATGCTGAGAAGCGATTAGAAGTAATTTTTTTACGCTAGCGAGTCATAACGCCGTCGAAGTAGTTAGGGAGGGGAGACATTACAAAATTGCAGACTCGCTTCGGCCGGTCGTTCGGTTCGTACGTTCGTCAACCTGAGATTCGGGGCATGCGTGAAGTGTAGGAAGGGTTGCGCTTCGTGCGGAAGGGGAAGGAAGAGCAGCACCCGTCAAGACGACTTGCCGCTTATGCCGCCTGCTCGCCAGCGGGAATAACAGGCGGAACCTCTGCCACGGGGGCAGCACCCTTCTCGCCGCGGACGGCCGAGCCCGCCGCGCCATGGTCGACGAACTTGCCTGAGTGCAAGCCGAGCGCATTGTAGTCGATGCCGCGGAGGGTCCAGAGGAAGCACGCGAGGAAGACGGGGCCCGCGAGGATGTCGAGGATGCCGTACCAGATCATCTCGGACGTGACGGTGATGACGTTGCCGCCCTCCGCGCACGCCCAGCAGATCGGGTAGGTGATCAGGATGAAGGAGAAGTAGCCCGTGGCGAGGTAGTAGCCCCGGCGAACCACTCCGCCTGCGGCGAAACTGGAGGCGGGTGCGTGCCAGAGAAGCACGTACCTATGAGGCCTTCGTTAGTATCGTTGGAGAGTGGTATGTCGCAGAGCAACTTACCAGAGATAGATGAGCGCGACGCAGCCGAAGGTGTAGTAACCCCACTTGTAGGTGCTGTGCACGAGGGCGCCGACCAGACCGGAGACAACAACGACAACGGACATGAAAAGCGTCGTTACGATGTCAGAGAGCGGCAGGCCGGTGGCGAGCAGCAAACCGAGGATGATGGTGGGGAAGTTGATGAACCACTGGATGTAGCGAACATACTGGATACAAGCCACATTAGCCTAAGAGAATGAAGTGCCTTTCGAACGTCGCTTACCCAGATCTGACGAGTCTCGTCGCCGCGGAATTCAGCAGTGATGGGGGTCGCGCCGAGGTCAGAAGCCATGGAGAAGTATGCGATGCTCGACGTCGTCAAGACGATGACAGCGAGCTGGTGGAAGAGACGCGTTCCACGAGGCCTCTGTATGACGAAGTGATTAGCACTCTGCGTATCCTAAGGTAGACGCGGAGGAACCAACCATGATTGTCGCAACCGCAGCCAGAAGGGTACCAAGACCCATAATAGAGAACACTGTCCACAGCCAGTCGGAGCCATTGGTGGAGAGGTGCTCCTGAGCGTAGGGCGGGTTGAGGTTCACTGCCTGATTTCCACCTGCCATCGGTTATACTTGTCGAAGCGAGTAGAGGAGAGAGGGGTGTGCGGCGAGGGGAGGGGAGGTCGTAAAGTGTTTGTGTCGTGAGACAGTTGAGCTGAGGGCAACTGATGCTCTCCGAGGGCCTCTGGACGCACATTAAATACGCACCTGGGTCCGACGTCCCAGGCAGCCTTCCGCCGAGGTGAGGTGACGATTTCGCCCGAATGCGGACTGACGTCGGCGGCTGACGCATACCCGGCGGCGGAAGGCTAGAAGCAGAGACGTGCTCGAACGAGGAGGCCAGCGTGGGCCGAGTCAGCGAACCGCGTCTTCGAACGGTCTCGAGATCCGTCGAACGCGCCTGAGCGCTGGCTTAGTCGGACCCGGGTGAGCACGAGAACGTTCTGGTCCCCCATGACGGTTCTGCATTCCACCTGCGTCCTTCGAGGCTTTGCTGCAGTCTGCCTGCTGCTGCCAGTGCGAGCATAGCCCATACTGGGGAGCGGTGAGGGCGGGACCCGCGTACTTGCACCGTTCAGCCTGCTGTTGGCTGGAGCGAGGGGCGCGGGCCGCGGGCGCACGTGGCTGGCTCATCCGATCGCCGATGCATCGGCCGATTCGAAGGCGCGATCGGGTGCATCGCGCGCCCTCCGGTCTGATCCGCAGATTTGCATCGGGGGCCGCCGTTGACGTCAGCCACAGCCCACAGGCCTTCCCGCTCGCGCTGCCGTCGGTAGCGCGGACGCCAGGGTGCGTGATTCCAGTCAGCTACAGACGTGCGGGACCAGCCTGAGCAGGTCAGCTGGAATCACCCACCCGCGACGCCGTCGGACGTTCATCCTCTGGCGAACAGTGTCTTTGCTTCGGACATGGGGCTGCACGGTCAAGTGCGCTCTTGGAGGCGCCGGCGTGTTTGCGCCCATTGTAACGAGACCGAAAGCCGAGTAATCGAACCACCGTGTTCCGGACCCGGGTCGTAGAATCTGGCATATGCGTAACCGGAACCCGGTAGGTCGTTGGACATGCACCCCTTTGATGTTCATGTGCCCTACGTCGTACGTTGTTCGGCGATCCCTCTGAGACCTAGCCTCTGTCAGTAACACGGTCGTCGCACGCGGGACGCACACCCAACGAGACCGCTCGACTCACAAAGAAATGTGGCTGCTAGACACCCACACTGTCCGCGGGGTGCCAGGACACGACGTAGTATCCCGCATTCAATGGGTCAAACACCACCGATGTCTCGAACCTTGACGTGCAACGTGATGCGTGGAACTAGCGTCTGACAAATCAACCTCCAGCGGATATCAGCCCGAGCGATTGTGTCAGTTTCATAACTTCGAAGGCCATAGAAAGTATTTGTCAAGCGCGATGACAAAGGGCGAGCTTACAGTGCGCATCACTAGCGCGCAGATCCCCCGAAATCCGGGCAAGACTCGGAGAGGGTGGTCATGACCCACGGTCTAGGTTCTGTTGATAAACAAGGAAAGTCAAATGAGTAGCAACTCTGTTCCGTCATAGGCCATTTAAGTATATGCGGTGGACAGTGGCAACCATGACTACGCACCACGACTCCGTGAAGGCTCTTGGTACGTTTTTATATCCCCGGCTATACCCGTATTTCGCTGGCACCTTCGCGTCAGCGTCGCATATCTCACGCTAGAAGACAAGACGCTGCTTTGATACTGAGTACGCCTGCTGCAAGAAGGGAACAGGAGCAGGGAACACTAACAACCTGCTTACCAGAGCCAAGGTTGACACCGCATCCGAGTCGTACATCACGATTGCAAGCCAATCCATATGGTACTTACTCATGCACCCGGCCGTCCTCACCCAATTTTCCGTCGCCCTTGAGAAGTTGGACGGTTGATTCGTAGCTGGATAATAAGGCAAGCGTTCAGGAGAGATACGGAAGGCTGACTTGGAGGTGTATCGATTAGCAGGTCGTCGACTCGTCGGGTCCATGGCAGTGTGACATTCGAGGTGAGCGTTGCTCTTCCTGCAAAGCATATCCTGGTTCCCGGAGTTTTGACAGACCGGAACAGAGTGCCGTAAATGAGTGCAAGGACCCACAGTTAATAACATGAGTACAGAGGTCGGCGCTGATCGACGCACTGCGCCCACTGCCACGCATCCGAACACTGATGCCACAAAACGTCCAGATCGGGTAATAAAGGAATCGGATCTGGTCAGCCCCCGGCACTAGCCGGGCTTTCGACAGCGCGACCGTGCCGTTCACCAACTTACAGCATCTACTCACACTACAGCACTCACCCTGCGCTGCAGTATCAACTCTATATACACACTATTGGGACGTCTCTAATACCTGCACAGGTTGAAGGTGAAGCTTCAAACCTCGCTGTGGTTAAACGGCGCGAGTTTCTGGGGCTGCGACGATGGTCTACTAGTAGGAGGCGCAGAACATTACCACGCGTCAGCGAAGCAGGATGATGGGCGTGTTTGGGCCGTAGGTACTGTCATCTACGGTACGTGTATGGGACTCACGCCGCAGTGTATTCGTGATGCATATCACTTGTACGCCTTTCTGGTGAGCCCAAGGTCCTCCTTAGTAAGGCAGCTCTGAGTTGATATACTCACCAATTGAAGGTGCACTCGCGCTACTTTTCTCAGGCTATGGGGTTGCAGTCGTGCATCGCTCGCGCTGCATCGAATGCAGTGAGTAGTCCGACATGCGCGCGTCACCTCGGTTGCCGCCCGCCCGCTGCTCAGTGCAGTGCCTCCGCATCAGGTCGAGCTGACAGTCGCCGCCGCCAGTCAAAGTGTTACAATAGATGGTGCGCATCGTGTCTATTCTCCCCTAGAAAGACCCTGCAGAATACCATGTCGTGTCAAAGTCTGACGATCCCTCCTCGTTTTCGCGCTCGGCGTCTAGCTTGAGCGCGGTGCCACTGCTATTGAGCTTGATATCGCTCGTAGCAATGATGACTGGACACATGCACAAGGTGGACAAGCCAACACTTCTATCTGATGCGTTTCGTCAGCGATGGGACGAACCAAGGACGAACTGTGGCTTCGTTGACGCTTCTCTACGCCGCTCGCGGAGAATCGCATGCACTATCTCGCAAAGGGTGAAACCACGCGACAATGCGCGGGCGACGGTCATCGCCAGATGACACATGCCAATAAATCCTACTCGCTCCTCTTGTGGTAAGCGACTTACATTTGTTGCTGCAACTATTCATCGCGCCGGTATCGTTGTTACGACGACGCTTCGGTAGCCGGGACCTTGAAGCTGTGGCTACCACCTCCCCATGCGGCCAATGCCTTCTATCTAGCTTCTTGCCGTTCTCAATCACCGGTCGCAAGCCACTTTACTGCCAGGTAAACCTGCACTGGTGCGAGCATAACCGGCTCGTCGAAAGAGGCGCGTACGTCCCCGGTGCCGCATAGCTGATTGCTCGAAGACCATCTAGCCCTTGCCCTCCATGTCGAACAATCCACAGCTAATATACCAGCTTGACTCCGAGTAAGTGACATCTCAGCTCGTAGTTCGTGAGGCCCCGTCTGACAAATTTGTGCGCAGATTGGTCCAACAGTTCTTGTTCGCCGCTCCCTTTGGCAAGTATATCCGTATCACAATCTCAAGCTAAGATGAACTGACTTCAGTTGTCTCTCAGCCCTTTACATATACAACCGTCTCATCACGTTCGACCATGAGGTGAACCTCATCTGGAGACGACCGAGTCATCGCAGGACACCCGTCGTACCCATTCTCTACGTGCTAATGCATGTCTCAACTCCTCTGTACTTTTTGATCAACATCACTACCTGGTGGGACCTGGATTGCAAGGTGATTACTCTCATACACCCGTCAGTGCGGTTGCTCATGCCTACCCCGACAGAGGTTCGTAGTATCCGTTGGCGGACGCCATGCATGACCCATCAAAGTCTGACGAGCATATCACAGCGTATATGCGCTGAGTCTGGCGGGTGGCGCTGATACTTGCGTCATGTACTTGACATGGGGAGGTGCGTTGTATTCATTGTTCATCGGAATGCTGCAGTATGAACTGAATGATCTACTAGCGATCTCCGCCCTGCGTGTCTATGCCATCAATCCTCAAGATTGGAAGGTTCCCGCCGTGGTTTTTGCGCTATCCCTCGTCCCAGTGGCTACCAACCTGGTACGCATGGCTTGCGCGGCACCTTCAGCGCGAATGCTACTCACTAATGATGTGACCCAGCACCGAAACATCCTGATGGTTTGGGAGGTCCCGCCACCTACCTTTATTTGCACGATCACGAACCACGTCCCTGCGCGGGTGCAGAGCATGTCAGTGCAGTGTTCCAGGTCTCGCGTATTCGGAGCTTACTGATCGAGCTTTAACAGATGTATGCTGACTTGTCGTATCTCCCTCTTCATCTCGTTCGCTGACTCACTGGATTCCTCATGGCAGTCGAGATAGCCACGCGCGTCAGCACGACTGCCGTCGATGCACTCGTTCTTCTCGCGACCTGGCGTGTCACGTACGGCGTCAAGCGGATGTCCTGGCATATGCTCAAGACGGATATCCCTATCACCCTGCTTCTTATGAGAGACGGTGAGTAATTAATGCGGGGTCTGTCTCCGTCCGTTGTGAACGACGAGTGATCATGTTCGGTCGTATGCTAGGGACGTTGTATTTCGGGTGCGTCTTCAATCAATCTCTAATGCAGTGAATTGACTCTCGGTGTCTCGCGTTCAACAGCACCCTCCTCGTCCTGAATATCTTCAGCGCGGTGTGCTGGGCCAGAATACCCGTGAGTCCCCTCTCACTGGCATCTCTATCTCATCAGCTGCATACCAACCCCGACCCACGCGATCCACAGGCGATTCAGGACTTCGACAACTTCATTTACTCGTACGCACCCTCAGCGTCCGAACCGACCGCTGCCAACTCATACTTTGAACCTTCCTAGCTTCACGACCCTCCTCCTCTCCCGGCTCTTCTTCAACCTCCGTGAGGTCACTCTCCTCCAGAGCACGGGCCTCTGCGCGGACCAAGCTTCCGGCGATGCGGATGTCAGCGCACTCTCTTGGCAGCCCGCCCAGAGCGCAGATCTCTCCGATCCAGCGGGGCGCTTGTCGTCGCGTTCGACGACGCTCGGCTCGCTGGGCTCGCTTGCGCTTACGAGCGAGGTGTATGTGTCGTCGACGATGTTGGCCGAGTTTGAAGGCGGACGGTCGCGGGATCGCGCCGATACATGTAATGGATCAATTCCAGACGCGAGCTTAAGGCCAGCCTCAGGTAATAATGCCGAGGAGGGCGTCATTGGATATGTAGAAGATGGCGGATTTCGATGAGCAGACTTGAAACATGTATTATCCATACAAACCCCGCAGTGTATGCGTATGTTCGAACGTTGCCTTCGTAGCTCATTGACTCTCGGTGCGCAATCTAAGGTGGCTGAACCCTCGGAGCATGCGCCCATTCTGTCTCGCTGCACTGATCCTTGACGGATGATGCAAACATACATCAAATTAATCTCCATCACCATAAACACATAAATCCAGTCCCTGTTTCATGGTCGTACATAAACCAAAGCCGTAAATAGGAGACTGAGAAACACAGCCGGCTCTAGTACGTCGCCGGGCGACAGATCTGAGTACATGCCAGACCGTCTACTAGTCGATGACTCGATGGAACCTGCCAAAGAGCGATGATATAGTAATACAGGCAATATGGAACGAGGTAGATGGCTACGTGAGTCAGCGGCAGTAGCAGCGACGACTCGGACAGATCACTCGACCTAGGACACAGGTAGTAAGTACTAGTCATACTAACTATTTTGGGCGGCACAGCTGCCAGTGGCTGACATACCTTCAACACGCTGTGCAAGTCAACCTTCTACGGCACGTTGCTGCGTTCGTTGGTAGCACCACCAGCCTCTAGGCTGTCGAGAATGGGACTCGTCGGTGGGTGACTGGAATTTGCTGCGCGATCCGCGTCACCGCGGTGGCTCGAAAATTTGTCGCCGGAGCCTGCCATATTGTGTAGATCGACGCGAATCGCTTTGAAACACGCCTCCGTCAGGTTGAAGGGAGGCCAACCACCGCTGCTCTCCTGCTCTGCATGCCCCCTCAGCTCACCGCTGATGGTGAAATCCAAGTGCATGATCATTCTCATTGGGCTGTGGCTCTGATCGTCGTCTTGGGGGTTCTGCCGCTTGAAGTAAGAACGCAAAGCGACTTGAACCGGCTGGTGGAGGCGTGCTTCGGTTAGGAGACCCTCGAGGCACGTCAAAAATGCGCCGATGGTCCAAGCAGATTGTCTCAGCGACAGAATAGTCAAGTACTTCTGAGCATCTGTGACGATATTGTATGCGGCTTCGATGGAGGAGGCGATGTCCGCCACCAGCGTCTCGGGATTCGGGGCTATACTGTGGTCTTGTCGCAGCAGTAGGTCGTCAATGAACGACATGTCATGTGCGGTAGCATGTTCCGCGGGTTGCTCGTTACCGCGACGGAGACATGAACGGATTACCCAGCCTGTAAATTTGACAAGCACAACGCGGAGGAATACCAGTTCGCCATCTGACCAGAGCCCGGATACACGACCTCGCTCATCTAGCGAAGATGGCAAACGATTGAGGTCGGTGGTCAACCTCGCCAAGTAATAGCAGCTAGTGCGCAACACGTCTTGCCACCTCGAGATTGGCAGTTTTGAATGTCTTCGTTTCAGCTCCAGAGCGGATCCACAAATCCTGAGTACATGCCGAGTGAAACGGACGCGAGTGAGCGTACTATGCTTGGGCAGCGATACGCCAGCAGCCTGAGCAGCATCGGCACCGCCGCTGCCGGGGAGGGGCCGCGCCGTCGTCCGAGTCGCCACCCTTGACTTGAAATACGTCCTGAACGGCTGTAACATCTGTTTGGTCCACTGCTCGGGTCCCTCCGGGTTGAGCGATGGATTTCCCTTGGTGGCGATTGCTGGGCTCTGCAGCGACATGAGACTGTTCAGAAGGGCGATGTATTTGTCGAGTAGCGCGTCTCGTAGTTCTGCAGCTTCCTTCAGCTCAACTCCCAAGCTGGTAGGATTCGCCGATAGGAGTTGGTGATGATGCTCCATTTCCCACCAGATGGTATAATCGAGGAGCCCCAAGGCCGCGTAGCAGAATGATGTCTCTCCCTCGCGGTCCAGTCTGAGGAGTTCCGATAGACTGGGGGCGAGTTCGGTGGTAGATTGAACCACCGGCACAAGGAGTCCAGACAAAATCTTCGAAGTAGGCATCGACAACATCCATATACCCCAGCATATCTGACGCAGAACAGGATACCCCATGTCTGGTCGAATTGTGATCAACGTGGCCATTATATGGAGTGATCTCGATATGAACCTGCTGTCGGCTCCGGTTCGGAACCGAGACACGATGTTCAAGTTTCGACGACTCATGCCGATATAGATGATGGTGTTTACGAGTGATATGAGGTTGTCGTCAACATCAACGAGTGCGGCCAGCATGCCTGAGACACGGGCAGATAACAATTCGTCGTAGAACTGCTCCACGAGGTCGCCGACTCGTTCCTCGTGTCCGAGGTCAGCCCCGCCGGAGGCCTTGTGTATTCCAGAAGGGACCTGTCGGACGAGACGCAACCTCAGGACGTGCGAGAATAGCACGATGTCCGAGATTCCCGCTGGAGATTGTTCCTGAGGCTGGGCCATGAAGTCCATAGACTCGAACAAGCCTGATTGAGCTAGTGCGTCTTCGGGACGGAAGTTATAGGGAATGTACCGCGGGAGTCGTTGTAGTCGGATGTCCCATGGAACTGGGATCCCTCTGATATGGAATGTGATGGTACGAGCGTCATGGCCTTCGTGGTCAGCCTCCGTCAGAAGGCGCACCAAGGTCCTTCCGTAGTCAGAAACGCTGCAGCCGGATGATTGGTTCGAGAGTTGGTGTGTGAGGAGTTTAATGGCACCCGCATGGATGAACAGGGACCTGTGCCGGACCAGGGCCGGGAAAGAACAGAGCTCTTTGAGAGCCAGGCTGAGGCGTTTGTCGTCGACTCGGAGTCGTGTCCGGGGATGCCTGAGCACGATGAGAATCCGAGCCAGCGCGCGTGCATTCAAGAGAGTCGCGTTTTCCGATAGGAATTCGTCTTCTCGCAGACGGAAAATATTAGCGGGCCCTAGAGCGGTGACTTCCGGCGGCATAATTCCCTCGCTCGCGGGGAGTGCGTCTCGTAATGCAGGGATTGAACGTTTCCACCATCCTCGAAACCACGACATCACCACGACATCCCAAGCGACGTGGACAAATTGATGGTCCCCGTATTTGCGGCTCCTCCTGACCATCGCGATGACAACCCACATTTTCGCCAGGAAAGCTGGGATATGCCAGACAAAGACAGTCCAAAGAGAGCCGGCTGATGACAGGATGAGGGAGGTGAGGGATGTTTTGTATGGGCAACTCGGGCTTAGGATAGACTGGACGTGGGTCCAACAATATACGAAGGTCATGGCGCAGACTAGGACAGCCGCGAAGATGGCAACGGTGCGATCAATATACCACAAGAACGTCACGAGGCCGGCAAAGAAGAGCAAGAATGATATGTGGAGGAGGAAGGGGAGGAAGGGGAGAAGCTGCGATAATCTCCAGCTCTGAACACTGTCGTGGCAATGCTGAAGCCGTCGACCTCGCGTGCCAATGTGAGGATCATTACGGCCATCGAGGAGGTCACTGAGCCATTCTTTTGTCAAGACAGCGAGGAATGCCGTCGAAACGCTTGCCACGAGGCTGGAGAACCAGAATACATTCACCCGTACAGCCACAGTACGAGGGTTCGTACTGGACAGTACTGACGGCGAGGTTCGGAGATCAGCTGAATCGTCCGATGTCGGCTCGAGCGACTTGTATGATTCTAGGACGAATGCCGTAACCATAGCGGAGAAGAGTGTGGCCTAGGCAGAGTATGTATTTGCTGTCAACGACGGCTTCACAATAAGGCTTGAACATGCTTACGAAGAGGAGTAAAGTATTCAGGTCTTTGTCCCAGCCTTTGATGAATGCTCTGTCGCCATCCTTGAACATGTCCTCGTACAGCTTCCATGTGTCTTCTGTAAGCTGGGCGTCTAGTCAGCAGGCGGCCCACTGATGTAGCGTCAGACAAAAGTGACTCACCTCAGGCTCGGACAGGTGTCGCTGTGGGTCCGACGTAGACTTTGCCATCTGTGTTATTACGTAGAGTAAACTTTGTGTCTAATCAGCGAGCGAGCCAGCTGAAAATCACTGACTGGGTTGCGAGGCGACGTCAGTAGCTTCACCTTGAGCCACTACTTAGTGCAGCGGGTGGAGTAGCAGGGGAAAGCACGACGAGGGTACAGGGCTATGTATTATAGACTCACTCAGGTACTCCCTGAGATAGGTCCGAGGCCGGCAGATGGTCGTTGCTTCTAACTTCAAAGGTTGAAGTATCGCCAGAGGCTGGAAGGGGGCACAGCCAGCTCATATAGGAGACCACCATACTTCATCGTGATATCAACGAGGGTGTGAACATGCTGAGAGACAACGTACAACTCAACTCGTTGTTCATGGGCCTAAACTTGTGCATCAAGAGTCGTAGAAGGACGGATGGAACACAGCAGACGATGATTCATAGAATGTCATCCTGACCGTATTACATGTAACCGTTGTCGGTCGCCGTCGGCGATGAAGCATGCGTGTCGCATGTCGGAGGCATGTCAAAGTTGTCGAGCCACCGCGACGATGCTGTGTTTGGACCTATAGGGATGACTGACTTCCTGTCGTGGAAGACCATCAGTATGTAACGGTGGACACACTCACCAATAAGGTTCGCATGCGCATCCCTCGCATGCTCGGCGTGGTTAGCCAATTTGCATTTCTGTATTGTGCCTATGCATTGAGTCGGCCTACTTCCTGCTGGCAATGAAGTTATGAACGCTGTCATCGGTTCTCCAAGACCCAATAACACGGTTCGTTGCCCTTGCATATTACAGTAATGACATATGTACTTCCCAATATGTCAGCCTGAGCGTGGTCCAATCATGATGGTATTCGGACGACACCAGTGGGCAAATCTGGGATAAATCAATGCACACGGTCGGCACCGAATACGCACAGTCTCACTTGTTTTCGGATAGTCTCCCCTGGGCAGACCTTAAAAGAAGACCTCTCGGATGGTGAGGAGGGCGGTCCTGGGCGGTCTTGCGACAGCAAGGTTAGGGCCAGAATTCGGGTGTGAGAATTTCCGGGGTTGTTGGCCTTGTTTGTTCCCCTTTCAAACAACGGTCCTCGGCCTCACAGGACTCGGAGAAGGAGAGTTTCGCGGCTACTTTCGCCCAGGTTTCGCCCAAATCTCGCAGCCGCATCAACCAGCCGTTGTTTTGCGGAAGACTCCGCTCCTTGTCGCATAAGTAGGAACACTGAGATTGTAAGTTTGATTTCTCGAGATTCAAGACTCGTTAGGAAACGTCTAGAGCACTATACCTATATACCCTCGTGCGAATAAATTGAACAACACCACTGTCAGTGCAAGCGTTTGGAGCTGATTGTATCATATTCCCAGACGCACGCGACTGCGCCATCCTCATGGCTGTTGTCGTTTGACATGAGCCAAAAAGCGTCTCAGCCTATCCGTGGAGAGTACGTCGCGCACATATCGAACCGTGACATCTGTTCCTGTAGTGTGAGCCACTGAGCGAATGATGTAGTGATGAATGACACAGTACAACGAAATAACACGAGTGAATAAATACATTGATGCTCCGAACTGTCCAGTATCTTGTGCACCTGAGCATGTGGGGCATCGTTTATGACGGTACCGGTGTCGGTGGGACCGACAACGGCTGCATCGATGGCTTTGACTGCGCCATGTGGGCCGGCATGGGCTCAGGAAGAACTTCCCCAAGAAATCCTGGGAGGAACCGTTGAATGCGCTCGAAGGTCGCGTCCCAGAGTTCCTTCTGACGCTCATTGCGTGTATCTGGGTTTGCAGGCTGGACCAACAATCCCGTCGCATTCATCACCAGGACAACATTCTTGAGAGATTCGGGGATCGCTTCATACTGCCAATGATGGGCTGTATCAACGACTCCTGCATCTGAGACAATGAGTGAGCCTACGTACCAGTTGGTCCCGCCGGTCGACGTGCATTAGTCGATCAAGTAAATCTAAGACTTGCATCCACAGCGCCTTGACATCTGCGCTTTGTCCCTCCCGCGCTTCCAGATGCATGAAGGATTTGCACAGCAGGGCACTGGCCCTCAACCGCGTTTCAGGGAGACTCATGGGATCACGCATGAGTACTTGAGGTTTAAGTAGTTCCTCCAGAAGCGGAAACACTACCCTCCGGAAGAGCTCCTCCACCTGCGCGTGGTTCGATGTATCCAGAGGAAGGAACGGTCCAAGTACGACGCGTTGCAAGTGAACCAACGCCGTATGTCGAATCTCGCGCGAGACATTGATAGAGTGCCGACCCAGACAGGCAACTAATGGCATCGCATGTTGACTCCATACTACAATGGAAGCATGTGTTAGGGAGAGCTGCCAAACAAAAGCGGAAACTGACTTTGATCCTGCGGTACGCCCGTCTCCGCGAAGCGATTCCAGAACTTCTTCATCTCAGCCAGTATGTCAATCGCCTTCCGACCTCGCTCGACAATAGGCGAACTGCGGTGTGTCACGATCAGGAAGTGGTTCATCACATAGCGTGTGCGGGTCACCTACTTCGATGCATTGAGCGCCTGATTGCGCCGACCCTGCTGTTGAGCTTCGACTGCCATGCTTGCTGCCGTCATGAACTCATCCAGCACGGCGACCAGGCCAGGGAAATTATCGCCCGTCACATATTGCTCCGGTCCATCACCCGCCAGTGCACTGACCAACTCGAACGCCTGTCGTGCGGCCTCGGGATTGCCCAATGTTGATCGCAGAAGCGCGAAGACAAGGTTCCATTCCGTCGAGGAGCGGACAATGTCTTGGTGCGTGCGTGCGATGCGGATGAGACCCACAACGACCTGTTCGGCGACAGATGTCGCAATCTGGGCAGGCAGACCAGCAAGAAGATCGAAGGAGACGAAGACTTGGTCACGTAAGGACGGCTGCCAGGAACATTAATAGACCACTTTGGAAGATGGCAATGCACTAACCTTTGCGGCCAGAATGAAGCAAAGCCTAAGTAATCCGACCACCGCACGCTCCATGAGTAGGATGCTGTACTGCAACGGGGTGGATAGCAATGCAGACAGATGCTCGAAAATGACTGGCCTACGCAGCGTCAGGTTACGGATGAACGTAACCATGGCATGAGACGTACCACAGCTCCTCGATATGTTGCGACGTTTGACATGCGATGCTTACCATGGTCTCCAGCAGGAATATGGACGCAGGGTCATATGGGAGTGAATAAGGACCTTCCTGATATGTACCTCCTGCAGGTATTTCATCTGCCTCTTGCTTCAAGCGAGCCACAGTACGTTCATGCGCGAGAGCCTCCAGCGCACGTATCGCAGCAACAAGCGCCTCAACGTCCAGCTGTCTGTGATGACATCACATCAGCGGAGGCAACACAACACAAACGCAATGCTGCTCACAGAATCTGGCTGTACAGTTCATCGAGTCGACAACTCGTGATACAATCAATGGTAGACAACGTGTTCTCCACGTCGGCATCATTCGCATCCGGCACGAGCGCTTCTGCGCTCGAGCTGTAAGGCGTCATGAGATAGGACGATAACGCAGAAAGCAGGCCGTCAGAGCGTGGTGGTTGACGTGCGGGCTGAGAACGACGTAGGGGGATGATGGACACGCCTCCGAGGAAGTCTTCCATTTGGAGCATGCGAGTTGGCAAGAGGGAGTGGATGAACAGCGTCTGGAACATCTCAAAAATCTGCCGCATGTCCGGTGTCAATGTGGTCCACGGCTGCAACCTTGCAGACATACCTGGGTCCAGCCTTCTCGTAAGGCATTCCCATTCCCATTCACGATGTTGAACAGCACGACCGCGGCAAGCTGTCCCTTGAGGTTCGTCCCAAACTTCACTGACAGTGACGATACGGTCACGCTTTGTCCGTCGACCTCGACAGCCGGCCAGTTGGGCACTTGTGACGACGGTAGCTCAGAGACGAGACCTGTCGCCTGCGACAGCTGCACGACGACGTAGTCGAAGACGTCCGCCATGCCGAAGTGTCTAGCGAGAGTGGCGCATTGTCGGAATCCAGTGATGGCACGCTCAATGATGTAGTCGTCGTCGAAAGTAATGAACGCATATGCGATGGCTGACACAACAGGCTTCCAGACTGTCTTGAACATATCGACGTCGAAAATGGAGTTGTTGCACGTCATGAGCTCCCCTGATATCGGACAGGTAAGTTTCGACAGTACATGAGTTACAGCATCACTCGCCTGCTTGCCGCGAACGGGCAAAGAGTTCTTTCCACGCGTACTCAAAACCCGCCTGACCAGTGTGCTCTTCAGGCATGATGATCTCCCGCTTTCGGATAGAGTCATAGGTGTTTTGCTTGAATACAAGTCAGTTACAGTTCAGGGTGGTCAACATGGCAAGAAACACACAAGGTACTCCGGCGAGAAGTCTGAACCATCATTGACACCCTTCAAGTTGCGCTTGTAATCATCGATTGTCATTCGTTTCTGCAGTCATATTAGCACCAAACCTGATGCGGGTCAAGGTCTCTTACTCTGATCTGGGGACTGTGCAGATCCGTATTCAGCATGATAATCGAATACGCGAGGACGTATACTGCGTCCTGCGACTTAGTCTCGGCTGATAGATGTCAATACCCTTCGTTCGCACAACACACGAGATACGCACCAGCGCCAGTGGCGAAGTAAACCTCTGCGAATGTCTCCGTAATTCGATTGATCTGCTGAGATTCGCCCGGCAATCGGAAGGTTTCGAGCAGCTCCCGCATAGCATCTGCGACGGATTTCTGCATGTAGCGATGAGGCCGCTACACGGAAAAAGAGCATATATAGGAACCCACGTCTTTGAAGTCGAACAAGCCCATGAATGCCTTCAAGACGTCGATGTTATCTGGCCTGCTCAGGAAGTCACCCAAAAGCCGCTTGTCCATTCTGGCGGAGTTCTTCAGGAACTTCGCGAGGCTGAGAGGTCGTGGCTCATTCGGATCCGTGTAAATCAGTTTATTCTCTTCCAAGAACGATATGCCCGTCTTTGGCTTCGTGTTGAAGCGCGCTGTGCCCGTGAGTACAAGTTTCTTGCGCGACTTGGTGTGCTGGAGATCTTCAGGTGAGACGAAGTGCTAAAGGAAACAGAGATCAGCGTTAGTTCGTCATCGTATGACATAGCCTCACAGATGGCCATGGTTCACTATGCTGTAAGGATGCATACATGAGTTGTGCGGACCATGAGCAAGTAGACGAGGGTACCGACACCTTCAGCTCGAGACGCCATATGGTTCACAAATCCGAGGACGATATCCAGACACAGATCTTGCGCATTTCGCTGGTTGACTTCACGCCCGCCCAAAGCTTCCACGGGGTAAATGCCCTACAGACGGTCAGAACTGGGGCCAATGCGGTATGTCATCTCACCAACCTTCGTCGCAAACTCGGTGACACGCTCGAACATGTTCTCACAGTTCATGTCGCAGTCGTAGTTAATGTATAGGTCGACCATAAAGCTCGGATGCCGTGAGATCAAGCAAAGCGTCTCCAGCAAGAGCTCGCGAGTGTCGCCCTTGGCCGGCGCAACGAGCAACCTGGGCGTAGGCGGTGGCTTCTCCGCATCCGCGTCCAGATGTGGTGGAATAGGCGTCGACTGGCCCTTAGCAGGCGGCGGCGGAGCTAATCTGTCGACGGAGAACGCCAAGAACAATTCTTGTTGTAGCTTCAGCTTGGGACGCATGATCTCGAACATGGTGGCAATGGCACGCAAAGCTGCTTGCAACACGCCGAAGTTGTCTGAGCGGGCAAGCTGAAAGAGGAACTTGCATCCTTGGTCCACGATGAGTGCCGTAATCGAAGGGAATGCACAAAGATGCGATCCTGAGGCTTCGAGCGCGACATTGAGGATACGCAGAGCGGTTAAGCGGATGGAGTCTGTATGCAAGGGGTCGTTGGGGTCAAGGACATTGATGACCACTCGAAGGAGCTCTACGATGGAGGCTAGTCCATCTGTGGGACGTGTTTAGTTGACTACGCGCGAAGTCTAATTCCGTACGCACATCGTGGTAGACCATCTGTAGGGCGTGGTGTCCGCAGGGTCTCCGCATCTCCATCAGCTCCGGCACTCGAGGAGGGTATGTCTTGAGTGGAAGCCTTGACGTTCATCTTGCCTTCCTGTTCTTCCACGTCATAGCCATTATCCGCAAGTTTTGCCTCCTCGGCGACAGGGTCCAAGACATGCAACTCGGAGCATACAGTTCGCACGAGTGCATGCATGGTAGCCTCTGCTGACCGACGTAGGATCTCTTGGCGCGAGATTGAGCACAGCAACTGATTCTCTGAAACTGCCACGTACCACTGAGTCGCATTTGGCAACACGTCGTCAATACTGTCTCCAGCATCTCGCATACTTCCACGTCTCCCAACAGGTCCCCGACCGGTCCGCAGAGTGCGTCATGGATGACAGTCATAATCTTGAGCAATACAACTTCGTCGCCGGAAGAGTCGCTCGTCTCAAACTTGCAGCGCGAGATTGCGTTGCTCAGTTCTGACAAAGCAGAAGATAGAGACAAGGCATCTGGATGAATGAGACCGCAGACAAAGAAGTTATGCAGTGAAGTGAGGGCCATGGAAGTGATAGGCCCAGTCGACAACGGCGAGCGGATGATCGCGCAGAAAGGGGAGAGAATGGTAGGAAGGGGCAGATCAGCTACAGCTGTAACATTTCACCTCAGTGCGTCTGCATATCCGGACGAAGCAATGCCGTACCTTCTACGTCCTTCAACAACCGCTTCAGATCCTGAAAGCCAGCCATGAGGTCCTGCTCGGTGCTCCCGCGCTTCATCGATTGGTTTGCTGACTCTTGTCTGATACGTCTGAGTCCGAGGCTGCTCGCAAGCGCGGATTCGCGAGTGCTAAACGAGTGGGTTGACAGTGCCCATCTCGAGTTCTTGCGCATGACAGACGTCACGGCGAGGATTTCCGAGAGGACGAGGTGCTTCGTCGAAACGGCGTTGCTGCCTGAGTTCAAAGCAGAGAATTCCATGGTGTAATGAGCGAAGACCCCCGAGATGGAGGAGGAGGTGATAGAACGCGTCGCGGGCTGCAGGCGCGTATAACGTGTCGGTCCTAAAGAGGCAACTGCTGAGGTGGATGTTTGGATCAGAGGCCCTTGCCAAACAAACCGTCACCAATTAGGGATTGCCGATGCCACAACTCGCCCGCACCGCGGGCAAACCAGGTTTTTCGGGCTCCGAAAATGCTAATAACATCGCTCCTCTATGGGAACCTTTTCGGAGAGCTTGACTGACTCCGAAAATGCTCCTACATTTCTCATGTTCGTAAGTTAGCATGTTCGCCGAAAATGTTGGAGCAAACGACCGTACGTCGTCCTCGCCGGCTCTCCGGCTTTGCTATACCCGCCGTTCATCCGCCATGTTACTTACTCCTTACACTCATTTACTTAACGCGCTGATGCGCTGTTCCGTTCGCTCCGTCCCGCCGTGCCCGCCGTCCGTACCCGAACGTTCATTACTATATATGAACATCGATCGTGCCTCTCGTTCCTTGTACCTATTTGTCCGCTCGCTCACTTATACCTGTGCCCTCGCGTCCGTCGCCCTCAGTCTTGCTTGCTACGAGCACGAGAACTGAGGGTGAGTTGATCTTCTGTCTATCCCTCCCGTACACAGTAACTTACCTACTTCGTAGCCGTCGTCTTGCTGTGTACAGGTATGCATTGAATATATTAGTCTTGCTTGCTACGAGCACGAGAACTGAGGCCGTCGTCTTGCTGTGTACAGCCTAACGACCCGTGCTCGATCCCTGAAGTTCCGTTAGGTTATGAGCCCTGCGCTATAGCCAAGGAAGACTCACCAATCGAATTGCCTCGCCCGTCCACTCTTTCCCAACCCGTCGTTAGCCCGTTGCCGCCGCTATGACGAGTTCGTCACTCGCCGACTACAGCTCAGCTTTTGAGAAGCTTGATGCTGTAGGGAAGAACTGGATTACCTTTCGCCAGCGTTTCCAGATCGCTGTGCGCCAGAAGGAAGTATGGGGCCACCTCGATGGGACGTCACAGCGCCCGACACCTGCCGACCCCGCGAACATCACACCTGCCGAGCAGCCAATCATCGCAGCCTGGGAGAAGAAGGAGTCGTTAGCGATGTACCTCCTCACCCAGAAGCTGCCGGACATTACCTTTACGAAGCACGCTAGGAAGGAGACGGCCGCTGCCATCTGGGCTGCCATCGTCCAGGAGTTCTCCCAGAAGTCAATGTTGCTGCGCGCGAACCTTCGCACGCAGTTCCTGAACATGCGCGCCACACCTGGAGCAAACCTCCATGCCGAGCTTGATCGCCTGCGCGTCAAGTACGAGGAACTCCTGACGAACGACATCACTGTCAGTGAAGCCGAGTACGCTTCGCTGGTGATCAACTTCCTGCCCGACGAGCTGGCGACTTTCGTCTCGCAAGTCTCCGCAACTGCGAAGCTCGCGCGTCGCTTCCAGGTCGTACCCCTTACCCCGCTAATCCCGGACCAACCAACCGAAGAAGTACCTGCCCTCGATGCGGAAGCCTTGATGGAGATCGCACTCGAGGAGTGGGACCGCCGGCACAGCGGCAAGCTGAAGGCGAAGCCGAAGGACACTGGCGTGGCAGCCAGCGTCATGTCGACGGAGAAGCCGAAGGGGCATGGGCGCCGTGGGCCCCAGAAGCCTGTGGGCGTATGCTGGAACTGCGGAGGGAAAGGTCATCGTCAGGATCACATCTGGAAAGTGCCAGGTTACTATATAACACTACATAGGGCGTGTAGGACACGGTAGAGCGCTAGGTAGGGTATGCTTTATGTAGAACTGTGTAATAGATGTGTGCTACAGAACAGTCGTAGTGTAGGGCATGTACGCACTGTAGCATAGTGACGTCGGTGTAGTGGCTTGCGCCGCCTATGCTTTAGTCAGCGTCTCATGCCATTTATGGTCTTTCATTGGTGCTGACTCAATATGGCGACTGCGCCTGCAGGCTGGGAGTGAACGAATTAACATATATTATTATGCGACACTTCTCATGGCCGATCTAGTGTAATCTAAAAGGTAGCTGTAACGTCCCGTTCTATATGCTCAGCGTGTCTATGCTTCGAATTGCGAGAAATCATAATACTCCGCGCGAACATTGTTGGCCTCGCCGTCTTCATCCAGTTGATCCACGTCGCCACCTGCGGCTCTGATGCTACTCATGATCATGAGTAAACTTAAATGATACTCGACATGTCAACACGTACCGGAGTGAGCGGATTAAGTCTTCCTGCATGCGGACGTCAGCCTTCGACAGGTTACTTGAGTATCTCTCCCACTCGACGAGCCACGCCAGATGCTTTGCATATATACCAGAATACGGATTCTCTCGGAATTCTAATTCCTTGAGAGATCCTGTCTTCCATTCGTCAATCACACATTCAACCTGACAATCCATGCAGATGAATATGCTGAGTCATTAATGATACACGATAGAATGTAGACACGTACCGTCGTCAACAACTGGGCTATCAGAACCTGCATGTGCTTCCCCGGCGTGAAGTATTGCTTGTAGCGATAACCGTCTCCCTTTGTGTCCGCAAACCACTTGCACGTTTTCGCCAGTATATCAGCAAATATAGGGTTACGGCATGCAGTGGTTGGATTGCGAGGATCCTAGTACAAGAATCAGTTGAGGAATACTAAGAGTACGATGAACGGCTTGACTCAACGATGTGTGAGAACGGCCGGTTGTTACCAGCCTTCAGACATGCTACAAGCTCCCGGTTGTGTGCTTGGATTGCCTCTGAGCGGCCATCTTTGAAACCATACTGTGCAGCAAGCAACCCACGAGCTACTGTCTTCATCGCACCGCGTAATTGCGTAATGCGATCCTTGATCTGTCAGATTCATATAAGTGATTATTGCAGCGCGCAAGCAACGAATATTGCTTACTAAGCCGCGGCTTGTGGTATCTGGTTGCAGCTCGTCAAGATCATACTGGAGCTCAACACACGCGACCTCCCAAGCATCGTCAGCATATTCATCGGCTTCAGTCCAGGAGACCCAAGGGTCTTCTGTAATAAACAATAGCTTAAAATGGTTATAGGCCAATTTTGTAACCTTCCGACGCGTGTCGGTCAACGTGCGAAGACTACGGCTTTTGCGATCTCGTTTGCGAGATGGCTGTTCACTGTCAGACTCGGGATCAGCACCTTGACTGCTGTTCCGCGCTCGTGTCCCAAGCACAACATCCTACCGGAAAGTCGAGTTTGTCAGCGGAGATTATGCAATGAAGTGCCGTGGCATTGATAGCTCACCTGCGCTGACCCCGGGTCAGGTCCAGGCGAGCTCGCACGCTGTCAAACACGAGCGTTCAACCGTTCATCAGTCAGCGCTCAGAGATAGAGCTTGGGATACTACACACCTCAGAGCGGTGTGGGGTCTGCGGACCACCTCCAGGCATCACAGCTGCGGCGGCCTGAGGCGTGTCAATGCGGCGATGCGGCGCCGCAATCGGTACAATCAGAGGTCGAACCGCTGAATTGGATGGAGCTTCGCGCCGTGCTGCAGTAGTAGTTCGTGCTGCACGGAGCCTCACCGGAGTGGAGGAGATCTGTATAGAGGTTTGTGTCACATGACAACCGCAACATGAAAACGACGGTCGAGACGTGCCATCTGCATTCCACGCGGAACATCTTGATCAAGAAGAGCACTGTCAGCATCGTGCGAGTGCTCCTGAGGCTCTGTGAAGGCAATGATGGTATCGTCACCCAGATCTAGATAGAGATCATGAGCTGGAAGTGACTTACCGTCGTTATTGACAGCAGCAATGGCCGCTGAATTGGACTCCAAGGACGTCATGGTGCCAGGTACCAGAGCGTCTGGGATAGATGCAGGCAAGCGTGTCTGACAAAGCGGTGTCTCGATGCGAGCCTGCTGAGCTCCATGCAGAGCATTCACACCTGGAGATTGAGGCCCGGGCATGATACCCCGCAGTTCGTCTAAGAGAGATAGAGTTTTGGAAACTGAGTCTTGCTCCAGTTCTGAATGATAGGTAGGTTCATCTAGATAACCGTTCTGAACTCCCTGACCACCCCACATCGGTGCAGAAGGGTTCATGTACCCGGGAATAAAATTGAAAGCGTCAGGTCCCGGTATTGGAGGCAGAGCAGGTAGTCCCAGGTCCATGCTGCTATATGCAATGAGAGCGGACTATTGAAGACGGAGAACGCGAAGCTCACAAGTTTGACCAGTCAAACGTACCTGTAGGACCTTGCCCGAGCTGAGGCATAGGTCCTATCGGAAATTCAGGCTGTAGACCCGGATCACCACCTGTGCTGTGGGAAGCCGGCCCGTCTCCAAACATCTGTGACGTGGACATAGAGACTTGCTGGGCCTCAGGCTGTCTGTCGGATGCGGCAGGTGAAGTAGCATGCGGTGGATGCAGCTGATTTGATTGCTTCGCCCGTTGACCCTCGCGGCGCGCTCGTGATACAGCGATTTGAGTTTCTGTGATATGGATATTACTACCAAAACCCAACGGTGGGCGCAAAGGGCATACGTACGGTACTCTTCCATGCGTTCTGTCGGTCGTGACCTCCGATGTCCCCTGCCAGCTGGCGCCGGTGGTTCTTGAGCAGTGAATTGAGAGGCTGACGATCTTGGGGCCATGATGAGTTCAGGCTTGGTTGGCCGCCCGTGCTCACGTTGACTCAGAGACGTGTCGTGTGGAAGGAGGCCTGCAAGTCACGGTTACAACAATCAAAACCAAACAGCGGGATGATGCGCCGGCACGCCCTGAGATGCACAGTCCCTGTACTGATGGCTAGTTGTGAGTACTAGCGTGATTGCTGTACGCTCTATACACACCCACACTCCACGTCGTCTCTCTTCCACTCACAAAGATGGCAATCTGTGTGTACTGCCGACAAACATTCAAGAGCCAGACGGCCGTGGCGCAGCATCAAGCACAGCCTAATCTGGTGACCAGATGCCAGCAAAAGCGAGATGAACGCCTCGCAGATCTCTGGAAGCAGCGCGGAAGGCTTCGTCGCGAAAGAGAAGCTGAGTCTGCGAGCAGCACCTCAGCTCAGACCGAAAAGTCGGATGTGATTGACACTCACCTTCCACTATCCGAGTCCGATTTGCCGGCAGGTCCTGCTACACCAGCGCCAGCGCCAGGCCCGAGTACAGTGCCAGGTGCCCTGTTTGACCAAGACGCTTCTCCCCCTCTGTCGACTCATCAGCATACACATACAACGATCGAAGACGTACCAGATGAGGACGACACACCTCACGTCTACCCCCAGGCACAGTACCGTCAGGACTTTCCGGCACAAAAGCACGCTGGTCAATCGTTTGGCGAGTCGCCGACGACGTTTGAGAAGATTCGCAATGAACGCATCCGTGACGAGCAAGTCCTAACGGGAGATCAGGTCTATGGTCCTTTCGTAGATGAAGACGAGTGGGAGCTGGCGAAGTGGCTTATCAAGAATGTCGGTCATAACCAGGCCGAGAACTTTCTAAAGCTTCCTATTGTGCGTTGAACGTTTTGGAGCCTGAGTGCATCGTCAATATCTTGTATACTGACCAATGAGTTTGTCATCTGCAGATAAAGAATCGTGTTCAACCCACCTACCACAATAAGGATCGACTTCTTCAGAACGTCGACTCTCTTCCGAAGGGAGTCGACTGGCAGTGCGAGCTCGTTGAACTGACTGGAGATATCAAGAACATCAATGGCGAGACGATGAAAGAGATGGTTGAGTTCTGGCACCGGGACCCGCTCGATTGCATCCGTGAGCTTATCGGAAACCCGTCCTTTCGCAACCTCATCCGATACGCGCCGGAACGTCAATTCCTGGATAAGGATGGAGCAACAAGGGCGATCAGCGAGATGTGGACTGCTGACTGGTGGTGGGACTTACAGGTATGTAGCAGTACGCGTACGCTGCCTCTTACTATGCACGTCGTCGGGTGTCAATACTGCCAGCCAGATTGTTGACAAACTGTTTCACAGAGTCTACTTCCGACAGGTGCAACCATTGCACCTATCATCCTGTCGTCTGACAAGACGAGGCTGTCACAACATCGGGGAGATAAGAGCGCGTGGCCGGTGTACTTGACCATCGGGAACATCGCGAAGGACGTTCGCCGTGAAGCATCATCGCATGCTACGGTGCTCGTAGGCTACCTTCCAGTGGCAAAACTCGACTGTTTCACCGACAAATCCCGCCCTGCAGCGAAGTACCGTCTGTTTCACTACTGCATGCGGACAATGCTGGCATCCGTTGCACAGGCTGGGCGTTCTGGCGTCAAGATGACTTGCGCAGACCGTCAGGATCGCTCGGTTTGGCCGATTGTCGCTGCCTACGTGGCCGATTATCCCAGGCGTAACGGTCATGTTGATACATAAATACCCTGTAGTTGTAGTGCAGGACTCATGCACAAACACTGTAACTGACAGGCCGGCAGTTGATGCATAAATCATACATTGCACGGCAGGCTCTGATACATCAGAAAGACCCGCAATGTATGAACGATACATCGCGCGACGCGCTTAATGTATGAATTATACATCGCGCTGCATGCTTCGGCGATGCATGAGCATATCCGGCTACGTATCCATTATATATGATGCATGCACTTGATGTATGAGTGCACGCCTGGCTACATATCCTTTATACATCGCCCTGTAGATACCTCATGCATGAGAGTATCACACATGTGATAGACCCCATTTCTCGGCAGCAGCAGGCGGTACGCTCCGCCGGGTCCTCGACGGTAGGTTGGGCTTCGGGGCACCGCGTCCCGCAGCTTCCTAATCGGGCCACTACGCCCAGCGCTACCAGGGCTTCCATAATGGGCGGCCGTCCCACTGGCCCATCGTCACTCGATCGTGGCTGTTAGAAACTCATGCACGTGCGGCTTCCTTCTAGCCGGCGCTCACTGGCAGTGTGGAGGTAACCGCCTACGTTGCTCGCGTCAAAGGTTCAAACATATATTGAACCTATGTAACGGCTGTTCATACCGCTCATCCCTAGCTTCTCTTCAACGAGCCATTTCTAGGCAGGCTGCAAACTTAGGCAACGTTGAACGAGGGCCGAGGAACCTGCTAGGCTAAGGGTAGGGACACGCGTACAGCGCTTAGCGCGCTGTGTGACCGTGGGATATTGGGCCGTATCATCATCGCCTCTAAGTCCTCACTTACAGCTTGCTCGCAGCGCTCGACTGTAGGTACCCTCCTCCTCTCCTCCTTCCCCTCCTTGGCGCCATCGTCATGCTATAGACCAAGGGATTCCGTCCACTCTTCCCTCTCTTCCTCCTGGCACCCTTAGGTTCGATACAAAACGACGTAGCCACACACATGTCGCGCCCACTGGCACAACTTTCCGTCAAGTTTCACAGCAAGTCGGCGAAGACGGGTCTTGGGTCACGTTGTGTAGAAGGTGGCCGTGGATGTTAGATTGGGTCAGGAGTCGTGACTGGTGAGCAGGCTGCGCGCGGATTGCAAGTATAATAGACGGTGCAACACTGGCAGCAACGCCCGGAGAGAATCGTATGGTGCGTACTTGCCGTGTAGCTCGTTTTGCAACGAAAATTCAGTATTGCAATAGGTTTCGCTGCAAACAGTTCCGTGATACATTATACCGCTGTACAGTAGGCCACGCAAGGCGCGATCTATCCACAAACACTTCGAGCACGTATCAAACTCTCTACTTAGTACGCTTTTTTTTCGCTCCGCTCGAGTTCCTCACACCTGCCGGCCTCTTCTTACCCGCCGTCGCCACCGTGTCTGCGTTCGATGCGCTGGCCTTCCCTTGCAGAGTAGGGGACTCGTCCGGCCGCGGAGGTCGGCGACGGGCTCGCTTGGGTCGACCATGATCACCACTGTTCGCCGGGTCATCGGTCGGCGTTCCTGAAGGGAGCCCTCCACCTTCTGACGTGATCGTGTTGCCTGCAGTGGTCTGAGTCTGGCCTTGCGGCGCACTTGGAATGCGCGGATTGCTTTGAGCGGGCTCGGCGGGATCGCGTTGAGTGGGCTCGGCGGGAGATAGCCGCGGCGAAGATGATGTAGATTGGGATGTGGACGGTCCAAGGGGTCCCGATCCAGCTTCAGGTCGGGGATCTCGAGTCTGCGACGGAGAAACGTCACCGGTACTCAACGAGACCTGAGAATTGGCTGATTGCGTAGCCTTCGCCATCGAGCTCGAAGCCTCAGTGGCCGAGGCGCGTCTCTCCTGTTGCTTGCCGTTACTCGGCATGTTGGGTTGCTCCTGCATTCTAGCATCTGACGAAGATCCTGTTATCATCGCAGGTGTCATTGCCGGACGGCCTGAAGAACTCGAAGACGGGCGGAGCTCGGAGCCTAACACCTGTGTAGTTTGATTGGCAGTCAATGGAGGTGAGTTTGTTGGCACTGTGTGGCTGGAGATCGTATTAACGGTCGACGTGCTAGGTGCTTGCACCGGTGCGTGTGGGAGAGGCTCAACCGATGGCGGGGATGGGTTCCAGGTGACAAACGATGGCGCTGCCGACGGGAATGTGAAGTTCGGACAGGATAGGCCTGGTGTCTGCGTGGAGGACAGGCCGTCCATTGGAGACGAGAAGTTGGACATAGAAGGCGAGGTGTTGGGCAAGAACGACATGGGCGTCGAGGTCGGGTTGAACTGGAATGCCGAGAACGCGGGTAGGCCGTCAAGTGCAGTGGGGTTCGCCCTTGCGGAGTCCATATCCCCGCTGTATGCGTGACCACTCGGTTGCGCGCCAGCGGGCCACAGAGCTGTTGGTACAGCTCCAGAGAACTGCGGTGCGCCAGGCCCGGGGTCCGGATGAGCGTTCGATGCGTCTGCGCTAGCGAGGAACTCCGAAATGGCTGAATAGTCAGTATCGTCCAATGCTTCATAAGGTACCTCTAACATATTAGAACTAGGCACTGGTGAGACTGCACTAGACGCGTGGGACACCTGTGAAGGCCCGGCCACTGAACCATCCCCGCCCAGCTGCTCCGCGGTCGCAGGGGACGGGTGTAACGAACCAACCGGCAAAGCAGCAGGCGCAGGCGCAGCTGTGACAGTGGGGTGCACGATCGTCTGCGGGGTGATCGCGGGTGGCGTGACAGACGGTGTGCCCACAGTCGGCGGGGAAATGGTAGACGAGGCAACTGACAGATGAGGCGACAAGGTAGTAGTTGCATGAGATGATGAGGCTACACTCGAAGACGGGCCAGCAGTCGATGGAGACGGGTTGGTCCTTGAAGGGTGCACGGCGACAGTCGAAGGAGGTGCTGCGGCAGTCGAAGGAGGCGTGGCCGCCGTTGGGGAGGATGCGGCGGCTGTTGTGGAAGACGCGGCGGTCGTTGTGGAAGACACGGCGGCATTCGATGAGGTCCCGCTGGGACGAGCGACCCCTTTGCCTTTGTCATGGGTTGAAGCGTCGGTGTTGGTGGGACCGTTGGACGACAATTGGTCCGCGCCGACAGCTTCTACCTCAGTGCGGGTGGACGCCTGAGAGACTGTGTTCGATTCTGTAACCGGCGACACTGTTGTGGCCACGGAAGGACTCCGAGCAGGCGAGCTCGTGCTCTGCCTCGATGCTTTTGCATCGTCTATGTACACGGGTAAGTCTCATTGCCTCCCTTCTTATTCTGCTATACCACTCACTGATTTCGTCTCGCGTATACTCGAGGAAGGGCCTGACAAACTGGTCGACGAAGTTGCTGAGTCTCCCAATGTTGTGCTCGAGGTCGTCGGACCCTTCCTGATGGAATCTTAATCATTTGGTGAGTTTAATTGATCTTGAGCACGAGTATGAGTACTTACGAAATGGTCTCGTATTGACCGTCCGACCCAGGTATTTCTCCAGCAGCCAGAACCAAGAAATACCAACCAGTCTTACGATGCAGCTCAAGAAAGATCTGACGGAGAATGGCAGGTAGATCATCAAGCAGTCTGACACGTTGAGGTGAGTCTAGCACATACATTCACAAGCTTGAGATACGTACGCTTGACTAGCAATGGCGTTGATAACATGCTCATCCGTGACTTCCTCGGTTCCTTCGCCCTCAGAGGTGCCGCGCTCCGCTCTCGAGGCACGAAGAGCGCGTATTTCCTCCTGTATCTCCGCCTTAACCTCCGCATCCTCGGCATCGTACGCCTCCCTTGTCCGCCGCTTGATGACCTCGATTCTTTCAACCTTCGAAACCTCGCGCTCACCCAACTCGGTCTCCACCAGCGGTTGTATCCGATCCTTGTAGTACTTACGGGAGTACAACTCGGTGTCCTTCAAGGTGCGTGAATTCTTCGGCCTGAGAACATCCAAGTTCACCCGCGTGGCTTTCGCCTTGCGGTTTTGCTGCGAATTTAGGTTATTGTACCAATTGTAGATTTTCTTTGCATGTACGTCAGTGAGATATCTGTCATCACGCGAGAGATGCACGCACCCTCTGACGAGTCTTGATAGACTTCTGTAGCAGTGCTTGCTGTTCTTCTGATAGCTCGCCCTCGACGTCTGGAAGGATCCTGGACTTCTCCGGGAACGCAGTGAACCACGCGTTGTAGACATCGGGCCAGAAACGTTGGAGTGAGTGTGAGAGCTGATGCGACCGGAACGATTCTCGATAAGACAGCAAGAACTCGAGCTCAGCGTCGGTTGTCCAACGACGTGCGGGCATGATGGTGAGTCACAGTGTTGTAACTTAGTTCGAAGCCGTGGTTCTCATGTATGTCTAGGTCGATATATACGCTGCAGTTGCGACACTGTTAGCTCGCGTCTTGAACTCAGGGACAACAAAATAGGTAAGTCCGTGCTCTACTCGTCGCGTAACGAACTGACGCTTGTTGCATGCAATGTATCAGCTTCGCGAACCACTGCGTCGCGTCTGTACGGAAGCAATAACTTGTCGCGCCCTTCCATAGGCCGCGTCCACTATGCGCACCACAATCGCGCTGGATCTGGGCCGCAGAACCTACGGCACATGGGCGTGGACATCCGATAGCCGAGAGTCATCCCAGGTATGGTCAATGGCACGATCAGCATGCCGTGACTGATGACCTTCTGACTCCAGCTGCCGTGCGAGCGTTTGGCCGGTCGCAAATTATAAATATGAGCCGATCTCAAGAGGCCGCTTGCAGCCAGACCCGTCGCAGCACCACCTCCTAGTCGTCCCGCGTCAGCATTACCATGGCAAATGACGGGAAGAAGGTCGCCAAGTCCGCCTCGGACGGTGAGCAGCGGTTCACCTTGCAGCAATTACAGCAGGTGATGGAGGCCCTTCGCCTCGTCACGGAGCAGGAATGTAAGTTTGTTCCCGCCGTTCTGTATCCTGTTCAGACGTGCTCAAGACAGTTGCAGCAGCCGAGCGTCAAATATGGCGAGATGTTGAAGCCAGTAGCCCCCCAAGTAAGTCTCTTCGCTGGCACTAGTTGTCTTGTTACTCATCATTCATAGCGACCTCAGCTCCTCAGCCCTCGACGTCCGCAGGTAACGTTACCCGAGCGGGTGGCGGCAGTGGCGGCACAGCTCCTGACCCGGCTCCCCCGGCTCCTCCCTCTTCACCTGCCGTGCGGATCACAACGGGCGCGACAGGCCATCGAGGTGCCGCTCGCAGCATGGTACACACCGCCGTCGGCAACGAAGAGCGTGGGGGTGGAACCTGCGACACCTGCGGCGGCAACTGCGGTGGCGCCGTCTACCATCGCGCCGTCGAGGACATAGATCCTGGAGAAGCTGCCGGGGGCATCCGGTGGTATAGCATTACCCGTGGCCAAGCCGTGGGGGTGTTCCGCGACTGGTAGGGCTTGTCAGCGTTTGTAACTCATAATGCACTAACAAAGATTTGCAGGATGACCGTCGCTCCCCTGGTAACGGGAGTTCCGAACGCAGTTTTCCAGCGCCACCCGACGTACGGTGCTGCGCTCGCGGCGTTCATGCGAGCGGCGAACAACGGAAACGTCGCCATCATTCTTTAGAGTAGGATGATCGCTTCGTCTGTGGAGTCTCGGTTCAGTTAGCTCCACTCCTGTATACCCGTCGCGTATCTTGTATCTCCTCATTTTGTATGTACTACCTCGGAAGCTATGGAACCCCCACTCTGATCTTTGCTACCACCCTCTTCCGAAATCATACACGTCTTCTCTGACTCGTCTCGTAAATGGGAAGACGCGCGAAATACGTTACCCTCGCAGAAAAGCGCGAAGCTAAACGACATCAGCAAGGGAGGTATAAAAACACAGAGGGGTATGACGTCACCAGTAAATTGGTCATGCTCATTACTGAGCGGTGTTGCAGTGGGAAGGCTAGGCGTCTCGTGCAGAGTCGTCTCCGGTATGCGTCACGACATGGACACCTCGACACCCCATTTCCCAAGAAGATCAAAGGCATCGCTGCCACTATTGTCGCGCATGCACAGAAGCCATTCGGCATCGTCGTGTATCCCGAGACGACCGACCCAGATTGCCCAGAGCTCGGCCTCTACACGCAGCCGTACAAGCTTGCTATCCCCCCGCAGTACTCCATTCCTTACACGGAGTTTGACGAGATATTCACAGATATCGATGGTGTCTTGGACGATCTCATGCGTAGTCTGAACACGCAGCAGTTGAGTTTGTTGGAGCTCAGTGGGCGCGAGCGACACGAACAATTCAATGCGATTGGGGGCAAGGGTTTGGCCGAGAAGCTACGAGAGGAGATAGCTTTACGAGTGGCGAGCTGGGATAATGGTGCACCAACGGAGATATCAACGCAGACTGCTGTTGCGCAGCTTGCGGGAGTTCAGTGGGCGGCCAGAATAATCTGCTGCCTTACCCTGGAGTTACAGCTGGTAGAGTCGAGCGCAGACGATTACGAACAGGCTTTCAACAACACCTCCTTACATTGGCAGCGTTTGTATCATAGTCGTACCTAGATCACGTACCGTAGAGCTTAGAAAGTCCAGTTGACGTTCCAGGGTCAAAGCACGAGTCATGTCCGAACTTTTGAGACAGTCAACATTATTGGCAGTGCTACAGTGCACGTACATCCACGGTGCAGCTCGGCGCACAGCTGAGTTTCAGGATCAGCGAGGTTTCGTAACTGTATGTGTCAATGTACAAATAACGTGAATACAGAATGCAACCAGGGAGTGACTTGTCCTTGTCCCTACGATGATACCGTGGTTCGTTGATAATGTCACGGTCGCGGCGGCGCGATCGTTGACTACTAGCAAGTTGTACCGTCCCTGTGTTCGCACATACACATCTGTGCTACAATAGTACCCTTGTCATCACTGTTCCATTATTCCTCTACCACTGTAACTCTTACAGAACGTTCCCAATGCGAGAACATGTCCTCCGCTAGGTATGTCGCTGACCGTTATACAGTCTCTGATTGGTCAGTCTATCGTTTGCATACTAAGCGCTCAGTTGCCTAAAGCGGGTAGTTGGAAGTCGTGTGGCTGTGGCCGATGCTACGCTATCCAGCTCCCGTCAAACCTCGTTCTCCCAGAAGAGCTTCGTACGCGTGCGGTGAACATTGAGCTATGTGAGTCGGCTTATGATCTTTCATCTCTTCTCAGTCTGGCTCAATCCTCGCAGCACAGTGGTCCTCAGCGTCCCCGGGCCGTTGTCAAGTAATCCATGTTGACTCTCAACAAGCGTCGTGTTGGCAAATGTTCTAGGGTTGGCCCGGATCTCCACGACTAAGTGAGCTTCTACCTCCTCCTGGTCACCGCTCATTACTGATACGGTCTTCTACCGAGTCGGCACCGGAAAGATCAAACCTCCTCCCGAAACATGACGCACACGACCACAGCGTCCGAGGGCTCATCTTAATCAGTATGTCAGCATGGCAGCGGGTAGTGGCCACATTGCTGACTCCACCTCGCTAGTCGGCGGCCTCTGCCTGGACCGTGCAATTGGCAAATTTACATCTGCCGGCTAGATGTCAAATACTCGTTGACAAACATGACGGTATGTCGCTGCCGATGTCATTTAACATTTTCACGCATGCAATAACACCTTGTAGAGAGTGTTCCGAGGCAAGGTACGCCACCATCATGCCATCGCCGCGTTCAGAGCGAACCACCAGAAGCCTGGTGAGACTGCCGAGGCGGAATGGGACAAGTGGGTTCGCTCGCAGCCCGGAATATCAATTCTCTGGCAAACTCACCCCCGTTTCAAGGAAGGCATTCATGCGCCGGTGCCGCAGCGGCACCAAAAACTGATGGAACACCGCCGCGAAGTTTCCTGCGCGACCGGTGGCAACTAAGGCAGCAAGGTCGTGCATGGTGAGCCCCCAATTCGTGAACACTCTATTTCGAGTATCATACTGACTTTCCCTCTGCTTGTCTGCCATGGCGACACCTCGTCCTACCGCTCCTGGGCCACCCGCACGAAAGCGCCGCCGCCGTGCCCCGGGCGTGCAAACGTACAGACTAGACACGGACGTGAACCCCAATCCAGTCCACCGACATGTGTCGATTGCGTCGTCACAGCAAGCTGTGTCCTTGAGGGCAACTGCGGTACCTATCCCTGACCCGGCGCGTGAGAGCGTCCCCGACGTTGACACTAACTCCGCACTGGGAGACGCGACTAACGACCAACTTGAACCCGATGAACCTCTTGTCGTTCATGATGACGAGGCCTTCGAGACATTGCCGCAGGAGATCTTCCATAACATCAGTGACTTGTTGGAGTTCGTGCACGTTCACAAACGCCGAAATCGAACCATCAGTGTAAGAACTCCTCAGTATCACACGCATTCGTACAGCACGCTCATGCTTTCGTAGGACAACCCTCTCGAGAACTGGCGCCAACACGACATTGATGACTGGTTGTCCGAGCTCCTTCGTCTTGAAGGCCGATGCGGTTTCATGAGCCAGGCCTGTGCTACTTGCGGGGAGGAAGACCAAGCAGAGGTCCGGTGTGATGATTGTGAAGACCTACAGCTGTACTGCCGAGCGTGTACGATCGCGCAGCATCGCCGCCACCCCTTTCATCGCGTGAAGGTGAGTTGACACTACGTCTGTTCGTCTCGTTTGTTCATTCTCTGTCAGACTTGGTGCGGGACGCATTTCCGCAAGACTACGCTGAAGTCCATTGGCCTACGTATTCAACTTGGTCACCGGCTCGGCGACCAGTGCCCCAACCCGCTCAGGGCATTTGGTGACGACTTCGTCGTCCTCGATGTATCTGGTGTGAACGCGGTTGCTGTCGACTACTGCGGTTGTGAGACGGCACAGTCCAAGCCAATCCAGCTGCTTCGTTCCCGACTTCTCCCGGCCACTGGCATCGATCCGAAGACTGCGGCGACGTTTCGGCTGATGGAGCTATATCATCTCCTGCATAATCAGTCAAAGGTATCCGGCTTCGAATTCTACAACACTCTCGTTCGGAGGACTGATAATACAGGGACCGTCGAGATTAAGGTATTGTGAACTCAAATTCATGATTATCCTGTACATTTGCTCACGGAATCTATCATTAGTCCAGGTACACTGGCTTCATGCGAATGTCGAGGATGTGGATGCACCTGAAGCTTCTCAAGCGCTTCGGCCGTGGTCACGACCCACTTGGAGCGAAGGCGACAACCCCCGGATCGTGCGCGGTGTTATGTCCGGCATGCCCGCAACCTGGCAAGAACTTGCCCGATGGCTGGGAAACATCACCTCCTGAGCAAAGGTCAGTCCATGTACAGAGCTTTGCGTGCCACTACAACCAGTGCTGAATGCCTGTTCACAGCTGGCTCTATCGACTCTTCCTTGGGATGGACGCTAACTTCCGCTTGAAGCGGAAGAAGGTCTCGTCCGATAACGCCGACCCGGGCTTCAATAACGGCATCGCATACTTCGTTAACGAGCAGGAATACAAGACCCATTTAGAGAAGCATGGTAAGCTCGACGTACAGGAAACAAGCACGTGTAGCAACCATGACGCCGTCAAGCTTGCAAACATGCGTGGGAGTCACGGTACAGCAGCGAGTGGCGTAGCTACGGTCGAGTGCATTCGGCATGATATGAAGCGACCGTGCTCCGTTGGAGACTTACAGAAGGGGGAACGGTCCGTCGGTTGTTATCTCAGCAGAACATCGCCACTAACGTCGAGTAGATATGTCAACATGGACTACTTATTCTCTAGCAGCATTCAGCACCACACATCCGGAGGCGACAAGCTTCGTCTGGTCGTCTCTTACGACATTGCGTGTCAGTGGAGTGTTAACCTCTGGGACAGGATGCTTCGCTACGACCCTCAGTGGGATTACGACGCTCGCACGATCACCTTCCTAATTCCGAAGTTCCATCTACCAGCCCATCAAGACAGCTGTCAAACCAGATACTCATTCAACTACGTCAAGGGTGTAGGACGCACTGATGGCGAAGCGGTCGAGCGTGGCTGGGCCGCGATCAATGGGTTCTCAGGCAGCACGAAGGAAATGGGGCCAGGTTCTCGCCGAGACGTCCTTGACGACGCATTCGGCGATTATAACTGGCGGAAAGTCACGAATATCAGTACGTCACCGCTCCATGATGTTTCTTCGGCAACTCACCTCTCGTTAGCGAGGACCCTCATGGACCGCATGAAGGACGCCGTCGGAGAATGCTCCACGCACGCTGTCATCTTCGATGAGCTCACCTCAGTCACAGACCCGACACGAGTGACGGAATGGAAGCAGCAAGTCGAGGCGTGGGAGGAGGGTGCAGAGCTCAATCCTTTTGTGGTGACGCGTCATCGTACGTATTATCTCCTTTCCTGTGTTCATCTTGACTGATTTGATGCTATTGTGCCAACGATACCCAGCCATCACTCTTGCGGCCGTTCGGCGCGAGCTGGCTGAAGAGGAAGCAACGAGTATAGCTGACGGAAGTCTTGTGATTCTGCATGATAAGGTGTCGCCAAGTACACTGATCACGGCGGGGCTTGAGTTGGAGGAAGCACAGTAAGTACCACTATATCTTTCGGTTTGTGCACGACTCACACGCGACTCAGACGACGTCTCCGTTCCGATGCCGCCGAGGTGAACAATCATTCTCCGGACGATCAGCGCGCAAACATAATCCGTCGCCGTAATCTTCTGCAAGTGCGAATCGACGCCTGGCGACAGATACAGGAGCTTTACATGCCACATGTAGTGGTGATGCGTTCTCGCGACGCAGAGGCCTCATCGGCTTCTGTTCTAGCCGAAAATATCTCACTCTACCTCCCATCCAGCGTGGCCAAGGACCCTCGCATATCGTCATCAATCACGGGTTTGCTCGACATCGAGAGACGGCTGCGTCTGGCCCAGGCAAACGATTCTTTAGACCAGATGCGGCGTCATCTTCGTGCCCGCACGAAGCTATACAACATCAAGGACCAACACGTCCGTGGTCAGCGCTACAACACCCGGTCTCGTGCTTACATCGACACCATCCAAGCGAAGATCGACGGTGACGCCGAGCGTTATCGCGTGGCCCATGCCGCACTCCTCACGTTAGACCCTGACGACACCGGCAAATGGCAGAAGGCCCTCCGCCCTCTAGCTCGCACTGACGTCCGAGCGATGCATCAAGGTCTCGACGACGAGACTGAGGGTCGAAAGACCCTCTCCTGGATATGGCGAACAAGCGGGAGCTTGGGCAGTGATGATGACGAGGATGATCAAGAAGGTGAGCGTTGGCATTGATTCTCAAGTGATGATACTGAGTCGTATTTCAGCTGTACGTATTGAATGGTGCAAAGCACGCGCGAGGGCCATGCGCTGGGACGAAGAGTGCGACCTTCTGTATGAAGAGATGAGACGCGTCCGTGTCTTCTTCGAGTGGCACGTGAATTGGTGGATGGGTCAGATTCGAGAGGACTGGGATGGCACGGCAGGGCGCACACCAGCACATGCCGAAGGTCGTCGGGCGTATGCCCATCGGCAGGCGGATATACGGCGAAAGCTACTCACTTACTGTAACGTGTCTTGGAGGAGCATCCCCGAATATGTTCAGACTAGAACTAGGCCCGAAGCATAATATTATAGACCAGTAACAATTCCATTGTGCAAGTGGGTCTCATACATCATACTACGGATCTTGTACATCATAGTGCAGGCCTTATACGCTGAGCAACGAGCCTTATACGTCAAGTGATGAAGCTTGTACATTAGACGGCGGGCCACATACATACAGTGGCCAGCCTTATACATCCCGGCCGAGTCTCATACGTCGCGGCGGCTCGGCGAGCCTCATACATCGTCTGTGGACTCGTACATCTCCTCTGAGCCTCATACGTCCCCCGATGAACCTCATGCATCGCCTGACGACCCGCGTACATCCTGCGGCGAGTCTCATACATCGCGCGACGACCCTCATACGTCGCGGCGGCTCGGCGAGCCTCATACATCGTCTGAGGACTGTTGCACATCTCGCGGCGAGCCTCATACATCCCCCGAGGCCCTCGTACGTCGCGGCGGCGACTCTGCGAGCCTCATACATCCCCCGGCGAACCTCATGCATCGCCTGACGACTCGCATACATCCTGCGGCGAGTCTCATACATCGCGCGAGGATCCTCATACATCGCGCGAGGATCCTCATACATCGCGCGAGGACCCTCATACATCGCGCGGGGACCCTCATACATCGCGCGAGGACCCTCATACATCGCGCGGGGACCCTCATACATCGCGCGAGAACTCTCATACATTACCTGGCAAGTCTCATACCATCGCGGTGGCGAGCTTCATACATCGCGACGGCGGACTTGGAGAGGCGCTGGGGCCCGCTCTTGGACGAGGTGGCATGGGCGACGGAGGGTGAGGAGGTGGAGTATGCAGTTGGGCGTTGCTGGGTGAGGAAGCGACAGGCTGGGCGAGGCTGGAGAGGAAGTGTTCTGCCTGGTCGGTGTGGCGCCGTGCGCTGGAGAGGCTGAGAGTTCGCGGCGGAGGATGTCTGCGTCGCGGAGGGCATCGGAGAGGAACGCGGCGAGTTGTGCGGGGGACTGGCTGGCGATCAAAAAGCGGATGCAACTGGTCCAGTTGGAGACAAAAGCGGACAAAACATGCACTTACCGATGGCCCACTCACTCCTGCAGAACGTCCGACCTCAAAACTCCAGATATAGGGTAGGAAACCCGCGGATGGCTCAAAGCCGGGATGCGCAAGTTACGCCGGCTCATGCACGTCAATCCCGTGTAAGGTCGTAGCAAGCGCCACGCAGTTCGCAATGAGGAGAGGCTGGCCGCGAGGAACTCTAGTCTGCGAGGGCTGAGTACGGTGGAGGAACCTGAGGTGGAGGATGGTGGAGGAGGAGGAGGTACAGCCGGCAAGCAACTGCCACGTCCCGAGGCATGTGTCATGTGACGAACCACCGCCGGGGCCTGCCCCAATGCCGAATTAGGAAGGAACGGTCTAGCAGTACCATCCGCAGTTCCAGCGCTTCACTCTATACGCGCCGCCTGGTTCAGCCTGGCTCGTTGAGAGGCGCGCACCGCCGCCGATTGCGAAGCTCATAGTCGGGGAGCTACGTCGTACTAAGAAGCAACAACGCCCCCAGCGAGCTTTCAAGCAGTGTGCCAGCAATGATCCGGGCCTGGCGACGGTGGACCGTGGCATAGCAACGACACCACGTGATAACCGCAACGGCGTGGCCCGTGGCCTCATTGGGTCTCCCCGGCTCTGCCGCCATCTCCAGTAGACTCGTAGAGGCCATCTGGAGATCATATCTGAATCGCGAATCTGTGCCCGTGGCACCGCAAGGTCGCAGTGGTCCGCCGGAGTTCACCGAGGAGCACTTCCCTGTAAGGGAAGAGCTTACATAAGACCATCCCACTGATGCATCAGGGTATGTATAAGGGGTCGTCTGGTCCATACATCGCGCGATGTATGATGGACCATTTATGTATGACGATGTAGGGCGGCGCGCAGGCAATTTATGTATGAAGCTGTGAGCTTGGAGCAGCAGGTAGGTTACAGTATTTATGCATGAGCCATGGACTACAGTAGTAGAGGTTTATGTATCACTATGCCATTGGGAGGTGATTATCCGGAACAATGCCTTGTTGCGTGTTGTATGGAGAACCGCTGTCCAATGTGTCAGGTACCTCCGGATGGTCGAGGAAATCACGAAGCTTACCCTGCGCGTGACAAAGACGAAACATTATCTCTCCTTCGGGAACAAGACAGCCCGGCGAATGGTGTTCTCGCTGGCACTACGGAGACTCGCCGATTCAAGGAGCTCGGCCTACGTCCCGTGTATCCGCCCTTCTGGGTCGATCTTCCCCATTCGAATGTCTTCGAGTGGTTCACACCGGATCTATTGCATCAAATACACAAAGGCGTCTTCAAGGACCATGTGGTCAAATGGTGCACCGCGATCGTAGGAGAGGACGAGCTGGATGCGCGTTTCCGTGCGATGAGCAACGTCACAGGGCTTCGACACTTTGCGCACGGGATCTCAACCGTATCGCAGTGGACTGGGCACGAGCATAAGGAGATGGAGAGAGTGTTCCTTGGTGTTCTCATGGGCCGCGCAGACGCAGAGGTTGTCCGCGCGGTTCGTGCTGTTCTAGATTTCATCAATCTCGCCGCCCTCCACTCCCACACGACGGAAACACTCGCCTTGCTCCGACAGAGCCTTGACGACTTCCACGCGTACAAAAATGTATTCATCGAGCTCGGCGCGCGCACGCAGTCCCACTTCAATATCCCCAAGCTTCACGCGATCGAACACTACGCGACTATGATCCTCAAATTTGGCTCTGCGGATGGGTTCAATACTGAATCCCCTGAGCGCTTGCACATCGACTATGCAAAGGACGCTTACCGAGCCAGCAACCACAAGGACTACGTTGCGCAGATGGTAACTTGGCTTCGCCGCCAGGAGGCGGTCGATCGTTTTGCTCGGTATCTGACTTGGTGCCGCGATGGGTCGCCCTCAAGTCCTCAAGTCACTGGCGCGTTGGACGTTGCATCCGAACAATCACGAGCCGGTGATGAGCAGGGCGAAGATACAATTGAAGTGAGCGCGCCGGGAGACTCTTCGGCGACCGCGACCATTGCGACGCAGGCCCAAACACCACACTGTGTGGTGCCGCAAGGTACTCACCGTCAAGATAGCCATACCGCTACGTCAGCGGTGCCAGTGGTCCCTTCGGCGAGTAGTCCAGTCATGTACAAGCTCCCGAACACCCAGAGGAAGACGTCGCTGAAAGGCATTACAGCGGCGACCATCATGGAGGAGCATCACGCACCTCAATTCCTCGCCTCGCTCACAGCCTACCTGCGTCGCCAGGGCTCTTCCTTCACTCCACAACCCTTCGACGGCTTTACCTTGTATGCTCGCCTTGCGACGCGCCTTCCGCAGATCGACGTCACTGGCTCACGCGCCCTCAAGAACGTCGTCCGTGCCAGTCCTCCTGCACCGGCTCAAGGGCGCCAACTGGCAAAAGCTGCGCATCTGGACTTCGCGCTCGTGCGCACAGGAGAACCAAATGAGACGACGGCAGGAACACCATTGGAGGGTAAGTCTGAAGATTAGCATCTCTTGCGGACTGATTCGCTGACTGTCAGGCTCCGGGTAAACATGGCAGGTCTTCGCGTGGCGCATGTTCGAGCGATCTTCACGCTACCTCATCATTACAACGTGGAACCGTTGCATCCACTGGCCTATGTCGAGTGGATGACTCCCTTTCACCGCGTCGATCCTGACTCCGGTCAGTACATCCTTACGCCCTCGACTCGCCAGCAAAAACCATACGGCGAAGTGATCGAAATCGACCGGATAGTGCGTAATTGTCATCTCTGGCCAGCGTTTGGTAGGGCAGTTGACGGGCGTTGGAGTACGGATAACGTGTCAGAACTATGCACAAGGTTTTACTTCAACTCGTACTTCGATCCTCATACATTCTGCATGGTTCGATTGAAGTACTTTGGTTGTGTACGCTCATAGATAGGTCTCCGGCGCGATAGTGATGCATGTACTATTATCAGGTCAATGTAAAGCCTCTATTTTAGTATTTCCGTACTACCACGGTCCAAATGCTTCAATGACTGCCGTTTGTATACCATTCTTGTCAAGCATGACTCAATGTATGGAACGGACAGCGACCCATTCCTTGAATCGCACCAGGGCATCATCACGGTGTTCACCGGTACTATCCCAGCGGTGTTTGTACATGTAGCACCCATGTTACTACGGAGCACTACAGAACGTATGCATTGCTATACAGTGCTACAGTATCTCGCGTCTGCTATCCAGCCGTATGTAATAATGCGTGGCTACTGAGTCTTGGATAATAAGGCTGGTGCTACACCGTCCAAACGCACTTTCCAGATGCAGTGTCCGAGTCCGAAGGAGGAAGGCGCGAAGGGAGGTGACTCATCTGGTACGCCTAAGCCTGCTGCCCCCAAGTCCAAGCCCGTAAAGGGCAAGGATGGTTCCGCCAACACCGCCGCTACTGTTGCATCGCTCGACGAGGTCGCTGGCGCGTGGTCTGCGTATGTCTCCTCGCCCGTTGTCTCGGATGAAGATGAGCTCCCCGATTTGTTCGACATCGACACTCGCTCCGACATCACCGGGCTTACCGAAATATCGGACACGGATTCGATGCCGTCCCTGCAGACATTGTCGGTGTCGAGCGACTCTGGTTCCGTACGTGATGGCCTGCCTAGCCCCAATCCCATGCCTACTGCCACAACTGCTGCCGAAATTGAACGCTGGGTTGACAACATCATGGTCGTCACGGACGCTGGACCGGAACCTGTGACCGTCGCTGCGTGGAGGCAGGCTGTTGAGGAGGAGCGTCGTCAGTGGTTGGAGCTCGAGATGTTGGAGGATCCAGTTGATGAACCGGAGGATCCCGACGACTTGTATAGTACCGCCGCTCCTGCCAGTGCGCTCGTCGCCACCGAATCTACTGTCATTGACCTCTATGATTCCGGGGCAAGTCATCACATGTCACCTTATCGTGAAGACTTCCTCACCTTCCACGAGACGGCACCGCAGACACTGAACGCCGCGAACCAGCAGCAGTTTGAAGCCACCGGCACCGGTGACATGGTCATCTCCGTGCCAAATGACCCACTGCCCAACTCTCCGATCCGTTTAACGCGGGTGCTGTACACACCCGCACTCGGATTCAACCTCGTGTCGATAGGTCGCATCGACGACGCAGGGTACTCCACCACATTTGCCGGTGGGAAATGCATCGTCGCCGATAAGGATGGGCGCGCTGTAGGCGCCATCCCCAAGTCCCGAGGCCTCTACATGGTGACGCGTACACGTGCCGAAGGATCAGCCAACGCAGCTACGGGAATCGAGAAGCTCACCGTGATGGACCTACACCGCCGCCTGGGACACATCGCACCGCGTGCAATCCGTGAGCTCGTGTCGCGCGGACACATCGCCGGCATCAGTCTGGAGCCTTCCGACGAGCCGGAAGCGTGCGAGGTCTGCACACGCGCGAAGTTGACGCGCAAACCTGTTCCTGCCGTTCGTGAAGGTCAGCGAGCAGAAGAGATGGGTGAGGAGATGCACTCCGACCTGTGGGGCGCGGCGCGCGTTGCCACGATTGGTGGCCGGAAGTACTACATAAGCTTCACCGATGATGCGACACGTTGGACGTTGCTCTACTTGCTGCGGCTGAAGAGCGAATCGTTCGAAGCATTCAAGGCCTGCGAAGCCTGGCTGGAAAACCACCACAGCAAGCGCATCAGATTCTTGAATACTGATCGCGGCGGCGAGTACCTGAGCGACGAGTTTAAAGCTCACCTGGAGGCGCGCGGCATCGAGCACAAGCTCTCCGTGCACGACACGCATGAAGAGGCCGGTGTGTCGGAGCGGCTCAACCGCACGTTGATGGAGAAGACTCGCGCAATGTTGATCACGGCAGGACTCCCCGTGTTCCTCTGGGGCGAGGCCGTAATGCACGCCGTCTGGTTGAAGAACCGCACGTCAACCAAGGCACTCGATGGCAAGACGCCATTCGAGGCTGTCAACGGACACCCACCGCGCCTAACCGGTCTGCCGGTCTGGGGTACAGCGGTGTGGGTGCATGACGTGGCAACGGGCAAGGTTGGCGAGCGCGCAAAGGCGGCGCGCTGGGTCGGGTACGATCCCCAAAGCAAAGGGCACCGTGTGTATTGGCCTGACGGCCGGCGCATTACTGTCGAACGCAACGCATCAGGAAAAGCCCCTTTTCAGAATACGTCAAATTGCGGAGTATTGTATGGAATAATGAACTATTTCAACTATTCACCTGTTCGCAATATTATAGGGAATTAGCTACCCCCCCGAACTTTTGTACGAATTTCAGACAATATATTGAGAATGCGAGTGCATTACATGTACCTACCTCGATGTTATGTGCCACAGATTGAAGAATATAGTAAGTATGATTCATTATTGTTCATGTTGTTGGAAGCCTCACACAGACAGAATATTTCAGGAACATTAGATGAATTGTGAGGCAGTACTGTGAACTGTCTAGATGGAGCGAGTACATGTGATGGACAAACGAAGTACTACGAGCAAGCCTTGATTAATTCTATGTCCCAGTGTCCGTGACAAAGAACATGTATGTAAGCTGGAAGTCCCATAGAGAACACGTAACATGCACGACAGAACTTGAAGCTTGAATACAAGGTAAGAGACAAAGTCAAGTTTCAAACTATGTTCCATGGCTCAGAGGCCCGCCGCAGATGCGAGTAGGGTGAAGCTCGGCGTGCCGAGCCCCGTAACCTGCGAGAGCCATTATCGTCATCGTCAGAACCCCACAACGCACACGACACAGTACAACACTTACAGGATCCCATCCCTGCGCGGCGTAGAACCTAGTCGTACCCCCGCTGCACGCGAGGTTGTTCCCGCCCACGACATCATTCAGAGCGCCCATACCCGCCGCGGTGCTACACAGCCACAGGTTCAAGAACCCGAGTACGCTCTTGCCCGCGCCGAGCAGCTGGTCATTCAGCCGCGCGACGATTGCCGCGAACATCGGCGTAGAGCAGCTCGTCCCGCTCACGATGAACAACACCGCGCTGGACTTGATGTCGTACCGCGTGCCGTACGCCGATACGTCCGGGTACGCGCGGCCGGTCGCGTTCAAGAGCCTGCTCGAGTTCGACCCAGGCGCGCTGAGGTACGAGACGACGGCGGCGGACTAGTAGGCGGTCTGTACGAAGCACTGGTTCGAGGAGCCGCCTCCGGAGAAGCTCGCTCCGATCTCTGTGGGCTGCTCGGTCGTCGCGCCGACGGTGGTCACATTAGAAGAGGTCAGAGAAGGACGAAGCAGGCTGGGGCGCACGTACTAGGGACAGCTCGTAGGGAAGACAGGCACGAACTCCGTGCAGCAAATTGCTGGATGCCTGGTTGCCGGACACACCACCGTTGGCAGAAGCGTAGAGGAGGGAGACGCCCCGCGCACCCAGGTGGTGAGTTAGGCAGTGAGGAAGGCCAAGAGAGGGAATACACGTACATTTCATGCAGCATCTCAGCCGCGCTAGCCCTCTCTACTTTACATCCGCCGCGTCCTTCGTGAGCACACTGGCGACGCTTTTGCAGCGTCGCTGGTGCTGTTATGTACTGCTGACTCGTTGGGTTGGACGCGCGTTGACGTCTCGAACATGCCGCGGCGTACCTGTACCTCTGACAGGCCCATGGTAGGCCTGTCTCTTCATGTAATGGCCGCCTTTCATGATCTTGAGGCGCGGACGAGTGGCGGACGAGCGGCACAGAGCAAGGGCGTGGAGGAGGGAGTGAAGGGAGGGTCAGCACTTGCGCGCTGGCAGGACGGACGCAAGCGCTGTCGGACTTGCCTTATGCGGCCTGCATCGGAAGATCCCGAAGTGGGCGTTTAGGACTTGCTCTGCGCGCGACTCTCGCGTCGATCCTCCCTCCACCTCAGTCCTCAATCCGTGCACCGCCTTCACCGTCCCAGCAGCATCCCGCGGCCGCGCCACGTCCCAAATTGGACGCCCGCCGCATTCATCAATCTCCCCGCCACCGCCACCGCTGCCAGCGCGTCGCATCCGCGGTGCTGTCGACGGCGAGGCAGCGCGACCTCGCTGCTTCCCAGCCTTCGCGGATGCGACAGAGGAACGTCGCTGTTCCCGCGCTCAACGCGAAGAACGAGCAGCTGGCGACGCGACGCGCAAGAAACCGGCGCGAGACTGCGCCGCCCACCTGCTACAACAGCCCTGCGCGCTCGCGTCTCAAACGCGAGCAATGCAGCGCAAATGGCATCCGGCCGGCCGGCTGGAGGTACTGCCAGCGACGCCACAAGAGCGTTGCCGGGTACTCTCCGATGGATGGGGCAAGAGAGGAGAGGATGCGCGCGGCAGAGCTTGCGCACATAAGGTACGTTAGCACGCTCACTCACACTCCCTCCCGCTCACTACCACCTCTCAAAGGCATCCGAGGATGCGGAGCAGACGTCCGGTCAAGCGATTGAACTGCTGCACAGGCGACACGCACGGCGACCGCGAGCGGGCGGGGCAAATGCCCCGCACGCAACGACGGCTGACGAACAGATGCCACGCGCGCAAGGTCGAGCGCAAGCGAACGGCGGCAGGTATGGTTGGGGGCGAGGTCGAGAGAGGGCTGCCGGCGGTGAGCAGATGCCGCAGGTGAGTAACACTTCCTGCGATTACACCGTCCTCATCCTGCGCGTTCGCGTGTATCCCCGCCCACCTCCGTGTGTCCCAGCTGCTCGCCCAGCCTGCTCACGCCAGCGTACGTACCCATCCACCCACCACCATGATCGCTCGTTGCACGACCATTCACCTGCCCTCCCGCACGACCATGATTGCTCGCCCCACATGATCACCCCTTGCCCGCATGATCGCCCCTTGCGCGCGTGGTAGCTCGTCGCCCACCTGCATGCATGATCGCATGCACACACGATCGCC